CACTATAACTTAAAAAATTTACCAAATTACAGTAAATAATTTAACATTCAATTTTTTTTTTAAAAAAAAAGAAAAAGCAAAACAAAGTAATTGACCGCTACAGTAAACTCTTATGTTGCATTTTTAACCTTAGACCCAATGTAACTTAAAAAATTTGCCGAGTTACATCCAATAATTCAAAATTCAACTGTAGCGGTCAAAGTAAAAAAAAAAAATCTTGATTTTGCTTTTTTCTTTTTTTTAAAAAAAAATTAAATTATTTACTGTAACTCAGTAAATTTTTTAAGTTACAGTAAGTCCAAGGTTAAAAGTACAACATAATTACCATTTAGGGTTTACTATAGCGGTTAGAGTAAAAAAATGGTTTTGCTTTTTCTTTTTTTTTTTAAAGAAATTGAATTTTGAATTATTTATTGTAACTCGGTAAATTTTTTAAATTACAGTGGGTCCAAAGTTAAAAGTGCAATATAATTACTATTTACTTTGACCTAAGGTAAATGATAAAAGAAAAAATTAATTTAAAAATAATGTAAATTTTAAAATTTTATAATAATATTTTTAATTAATAAATAATATTTTAACAATTACATAATGAAATCTGAATTTTAAAATATTTTTAATGATTTAAATTTTAATAGAAATTTAAATTAAATTAAAAGACAAAAATACCCTCGATTCCGGCATGTCAACGGTCGGAAACAGTGAAATGGGACCAAAAAAGTGTGAAAACATAATGTTTGGGACTACGATATTAAAATGTTAATGTTAGGGACGTAAATTCAAGTAGGTCCAAATGTAAGAGACCATTTGAACATTTTAGTCTAAAAGGAATAACTCTTAGCTTATTTTTTAGCTGATATATACTAGAACTTGTACGTTTATAGAAGAGTTTAATTTCCTACGTACATTTGACGTTGTGGAGAATCCAGAACTTCAAGCGTGTTTTGTATCAACTATGTTATATTAGCGAAACACGATTTTGCAAACACTGGAATTTATTTCAATAAATCGAATCATTCACTAATAAAATACAATTAGCATACCAAAATTGAGGCAGACGATCATTTGCTCTCGTGTTCTCCATGGAAATACCTTTAGGTAATCAGACTCAATGTGAAGCGTATAAATTTGTAACAGTAAAAAGATCTAATATCAGCATAATGTATCTATCAGATGAGTCATGAAATCAGGCTCTTGAAGATCGATGTGTTATTTTCAACAGTTCAAAAATTTAGTGTAAATTGGAAAAACGTAGCATCAGGGCTTTATTTCGAACAGTAAAATTGATGGCCATGATCATGGATGTAGAAAGTTTCTTTCTGTCCCTCAAAAGAGAGAATTATTTACATGATTCATTATATGCTTTCAAAGTAGGCGTTTTTCATACTTCTATCATTCCCTTATGATTAAATCAGATTGGAAAATGACAGCCAATCAGTAGATTATCCATCTTCAGTAACTTATTTGTCTACATACGTGAGCATCAAGGTTCTTGTTAACTCAATGAATTTCGAGAAACGATATGTTCTGTTCTTTTTAAGTTTTTTCGTCTTAAACTATGAGTTATGTTTAGAGATGTAAGGATTGGAACAATATTATTATATACTCCCTACGATCCTTATTATAAGGCATTCCGATTTCGTCTTAGGTTTCACCTACGATATCTTTTTAATTGAAATAAAAACTTTAAAAATATTTCATAATAATTAGGAGAACACAACGAATCTGAAAATATATTTTTAAGATTTTTTTTCCTAATTAAAAAGACATTTTTAGTTAAACCTAGTACGAGACCAAAATTCCTTATAATAAGGACCGGAGAAAGTATTAATTAGTAGCGAGTTTAATAATTAACCATGCATGGGAATATATAGAGTTATAAATTTTTTACTTATTAAAGTATACTAATAATTTATTTTAAGATACAAATGAAAGCATAAGAACCTTGAATCACAACAAATTAATACTTTGGGGATCCCTAGGGTAATTCCAACAATTATAAACTCCCAATTCAAAATCTCGATCAATACATTTATGAATATTGATGGAGTGTGCGACTCCTTCATTACGATCTAAACATGTTACTTTTAAGATAATTACTCCCTCTGTCCCAAAATTATTTTCCAGTTTGAAATTTTACTTTTAGTACAATTTAAACTAGAAATGAAAACTCAAACTGGACAATAATTATGGGACGGAGGGAGTATGTTGTTTCACTAATAAAATATACTAAAAGTGAATTAAGAGATCACTTGCATTTACATAATTTTACATTAATTATTTGCATAATGTACTCATCAAAGGTGGCGTTGAATTGATTGCTTACCTTGTCACTATCATCCTCAAAGTAAAATAGAAAAAGAAAAGGTAAAAGAAGAAAAATCCCAAGCAACTTCATAAAGCTCCAACACAATGAACAGGTGTTTTTTCTTTTTTCTATATTTATTTTAAAAGCCAAAATAGAAAAAAAAAAAAGAAGAAAGAAAAAAGAAGAACACTATTAATTTTCTATAATATTAAAAAAAAAAGTAATAAACAGCGAAATAAATGAGGATCGAACCTTCACTGTGTCAGGTTTGCCCATTTTCACAGAAGCAAAAACAGAAACAAAGAAAAGATAAAGATAAAAAAGGTACCTCCCAAAGTGAAAATTGACTACCTGGCAAGCAAATTCTGATGTGGGACCCTACCAATTTTTAGACTTAAGGTGGGCCCCCATTGGCATGTTACCCATGTGTAAATATGGCAGTATAAACAAAAATGCTTGTAGAATGTTTTTCTGGATCCAACCTACAAAGGTGATTCTCTTGCACCATTTTAATGCTAAGTGATGATCATTTGAACTTTGGAAGGATTCCATTCTCAACCATATTGCTCTTGGTTCTCAGTTCTAACATTATACATGTTGGTAAGTTTTGTCCTCATTCCTTGTAAGTTGTAATAAGAAAATTCACATGAGAAATCTGATTTTTTTTTTTTTTTACTCCGGAACTCTCTTAACGAAGAAATCTCATATATTCTGTATAAATTCAGTTACCACTAGCAAAATGAGAGAAGATAATAGAATGACTGCGACCCAACTATTAATATGTACTGTTTCAGAGGATTACAGACATTTTAGTACTCCCTTCATTTCAAAATGTAAACCACTTTAGACGTTATACGTAAACTAAGGAGACAATCATCTAACAAGTAATTCATGTGTTAAATATATGTTTTATTCCTAATTAATTAGGTTGTTACTATAAACAAGACTAAATGAAAATAAATTGGCATCATTTATTATGGGTAAAGTTGGAAAAGTAGTCATTACTTTGCCTAGAATTTGTAAAACGACCTACAATTTGAAAACTCTCTTCAAAACTAAAACGACCTACAAATTAAAATGGAAGGAGTAATAATCAGTATTAATAAGTACACTAAATTGCTTAAGTAATAGTAATGAAACAAATAACAAATTAATTATAACCATGATGTCATAATTGATGATTTTTGTTTTGTATGTGTCTCGTCATACAATTTTACAATGCAAATTATGAAGTATCATGAAATGTTCACTAGAAAACAAGCTTCAAACCGATCCAAAACTAGATTACAAAATCAGGTTCACTGTACCTTGTATCTAGGTAGAAGAACTCAATCAAAGTCATAAGATGCAACCAGGGGGAAGGAGACAGAAAGATAAAGGGGCGAAAACATAAAAATGATTAAGTGGCCGGATGGCAAGAGAAGAAAGTTAAGTAACATGCATTATTATGCATGCCCTTGTGGTTTGTATATTTTACACATGTTCAAATGTGTTCAATGATTGGACGCGGATGAACTCGTACTGAATGTTTAACAAAAACATGGTTAAGAGAAATACACATCATATGGTTATAGTTAAGTAGGGTTTCTTAAAAACAAATAACAGTTCAAATAATATTACAGACTTTCTCAGTAAAAAAAATCAGGAGTTCGATTCCAGCATTTACAACAACATATATATGCAGCAAACTCCTCATTTTCCCCTAAAACAATTAGGGTTCCTCATTAGTGTTACAGTTTGTTTTGCCATTTAAGGCATGAGTACAGAGGATAGATTTTACATGCTTGATAAAGCGGAATAGGAAAATTGTAAAATGAAGGATTGCGATCATATACTAACCCTACAAGCTAGGGCCGCCCTGAGCCATTTTTTCTACACCATTTTGGAAGGGATGGCCTACGGCTGCTATTATGTGATCTTTCTCCAATTCCCCAAAATGATGCCAAAATTGCATACACATGAAATCTGAATCAAAACACATAGGTATCAGGATACGACTACATTGATGTATTGACATGAACAACAGTCCAACAAAAGTGATTGATTATTCTCCTTCTCTCAATTATTTTTCCACTACTGTACCTTTTTGGTCACATATACACTACACTGGGGACCATTATGCAAATACAGTTAAAATTCACGAATGGAACCAAAAAGTACCTGGTTTTATATGTATCAAGCAAACAAAGGATAAATTGCTATACACACCCTAAACAGTTTACAATTCATTAAACCAAGCCTCAACTATCCCTTGTTGCATTTAAGTGCTACTAATTTTTATGCAGTGTTACCCCTAAACCATAAGTTTCTTCAAGCATTAAACCCTTGTTAAACATCAATTTCATCATTCATGATTATCGAGCTGCAAAAGAGTATTCATCACAGCTCTCGTCGAAAACCAATCACAACCGCAGCGTTGTTGAGAGGGCTACTTTGCAAATTACCAAAACCACATAACTAAATTCTAAATAGATGACATGAAGGGGAGGGGGAAGAGGAGAAGTTACAAGGCTTTGGAAGCTGCCACACCCACACACAATGGTCTTAAAAACTCCAAAGAAAATAACTGATCAAACTGTAGTCCTACTAGAGTCCTACTCTACTACCTAAGGTCCCATTCCTTCCATCCCCTCTTATTTTTTTTTTACCTTATTCTTTTGTGCGTATATATTTTTTTATTTAAATGAATACCATTTTATGTTAGAATCCAAGAAGCCCATCTGCCCATGTTCCTCTATTTTTATGTACCAATAATCATTCCACATTGTCACATTGTTCTTCACTCTATATATCACACACACACACAACAAACTCTCTCACATTTAAAATCCTCTTCCTATCATGGGGAAACAAATCCACATTGGGAATCTACTACCTCAAACCAACCACTTTTCTCCATCCAATTCTTCCACCACTTCCACATCCAACTCCTCCTCCTCTTCATCATCTAATTCTTCCTCCACTGAGAAAATGAGTAAAACCCAAAAACCTAGTAACCAAGGCGGCCAGAAGAATGGGAATGAAAACAAGAAGAATCGTCGGAATAATGGAGATTCCACCGTTGATGAGAAGCACCCCACTTACCGGGGAGTCCGGAAACGGAATTGGGGCAAATGGGTATCCGAAATCCGGGAGCCGAGGAAGAAGTCGAGAATATGGCTCGGCACATTTCCGACGGCTGAAATGGCGGCTCGGGCTCATGACGTAGCCGCCTTAGCCATTAAAGGTCACTCGGCTTACCTCAACTTCCCGCATTTGGCTCACGAGCTCCCCCGTCCGGCCACCAATTCGCCCAAGGATATTCAGGCCGCCGCCGCCAAGGCAGCGTCCCTCGCATTTCCCGACCAGCTCGAAAAACACGAGGACGACGACGAAGCCAGAGCTGAAGCCGAGCCCAGCCGAGCCGAGATGCCAACTTCTCACTCTTCGTCGGATTTATCGTCGCAACAAGAATCACCGAATTCTACGTGCACTACTGATGTTGATCACGGCGACGAGACGTTTTACGACTTGCCGGATCTTTCCTTCGACAGCTCCGACCACCACAAGGATGTTTATAGTATCTGTTTTTATGCTTCATCATGGCAGCAGCAGCCACTTCAGCTCACCGGAGCCGAGCCGGCTACATTCCGGCTTGAAGAGCCGTTTCTTTGGGAATGCTTCTAGCTAATTATAATTAGCTTAATACCCTCCAATATGTCTCTCTCTCTCCCTCATACAATGATAATAATAATTCTGTTTTAGTTTCTAAACATAACAACCATTCTGTTCCAACTCTTTTCTGTTCCGGAAAAAATAGTTTACTTTGTTGAATTATAACAGTTTAACAAAGTAGATTTTTTTTTAGGCCGATGGTTTCACTACTAACTGTATTCATCTTTTGTGGTAAAAAAAAAATGTACAGCCATATATCCCTTTTACTTTTTTGCATGTAAATTTTAAAGATAGAAACCCAAGATTAATTTTATCGAAATTCATCATGAGTTTGGTTGTGAGAGTAATTTAATTTTCTAGTTTGGTAAATGCGTGGTGTTGTTACACGGTTATGGTTTTACTACTTTTTTCTTGTTTTATTTTACCTGCAAATAACCTTTTCGGTGCCATAATATTAGGTATGAGAGTGAGCTAGCTCATTCATACTTTATTCGAGTTCAAACTCATAGCACTCCATTTCGATAGTTTTTTTTCCCCCCCTCAAATATTGTTTTTGTTAAAAAAAAATGAAATATTAAAAATGGAACGAGAGGAAGTAGTTAGTATAGTAACAAAACCAAATATTTTTGTATAGAGTAGAAGGAAGAAACAGAGAAATTGCAACTTTGCAAAATCGAAAAAAGAAGGGAAAAAAAATAAAAAAATAAATGACAAGTTGGTTTGTTTAGGTAATATGTGTACGTGTTCAAGGATACCCTGTCAATCTCTATCTTTTTTCCTTTGGATGGGCAAACGGAAACATTTTACATTTCACAACTTATGCTACAAGCATTGCCATACTTCTTAATAGTTAATAGGTGCCAAATTATTGTAGTTAGATTTTATATATATATATAGTATTTTGGGTGTGTGCATTTATCAATAGTGTTTAAGATTACCACATACACTCTATTCGTCACGATAAATTAGTCTATTTTGTAAGTTTAAAAATTAGACTTTTTTAAATAAAAAGAAAAGATAACGGAAAGGTCTATATGAATAAAATGAGTAAGGATGTCCAGATATCAGTTATAAGCCAACACTTTGTTTGCCAAAATTAATCATGTCTATATATCAATCTGTTGCAGTTCTTTTCTTGATTTGGTAAAACATCAACATACATCATATCCTTCAAATCTCTGCCTTTCTACAGCTTGAGGGTCCCAGTGTTCGATGTAACTTTTTTTTTCCCTTCTTAATTGTGTTTGGAAATAAACATATGTGTAAAGTTAATCCATCCATGCAAAATACGCCATTCCTAAGTTTTAAAATGAAAATAATTTAATAATTATTTTGGAATGAACGAATATAGTAGTCCTTCTGTTCCAAAATTATTTATCCAGTTTGAATTTTTATTTTTAGTACAAAATAAACTAAAAGTAAAAATTTAAATTAGACAATAATTTTAGGACATAGATTATATAAAACGGTAAGTTGAAACGGGCAATATAACTAGGGGACAGCATCTTGAAATGAAAGAGAGAAATTCAACTTTGGTAAACTGGGAAAAAAAAAAGTGAGGAGCTTTAATAAAATTAAAGATCGAGTATCCAACAAGCACAAAGGAAAAAAAGACTAAATGTCCCATTAAACCATTTTGTTTAAGCACTATTTTGCAAGTGATCAGTGACCTCAACATATCACTATCTTGCTTTTAGATATAGTCTTTTTCTCCATCATTTGGGGCTGCCACAAATCAGCCAACTATTGGCCTAACCACCAATGATCAGGAACAAATCTAATCTCTTTGCCCCCATCAAATCTTCCATATTGGCACTAATAAGTTAGTTTTCATATAATTATAGGGGCTATTTTGCATATATAAAGTATTTGGACAACCAGTAAAAAGAAGGTATTCTTTCTTCCACAGTTCCACTAATTAATTAACAGCATTAATATAATATGTAATATGGTGAAATTAACATAAACGGATAGTTGTTTGAACAGTTTAAAATAATTTATGCAATTCAGAACTGAATTTTTAGGGTGCCATTACTCATTGCATCAAGTAATTAGATTGCTGACTACTTGGATAAGCGGCACCTTCAATTGGAAAGAAAGAAATAAAGGGTAAACAGGGTATATGAATTTGGTTACCTTACAAACTTGTAAGGTGGATTTTTTTTTTTTTTTCTTATTTGCAGAGTGTCCACCGTGGGCAACAGTAACTAATCCCCCCTCGCTGAATTGTAGGCACCTCAATGGGTGGGACAGCTAACCAAAGTATTTGAGATTGCTCCATGTCCATGGTGAGATTCGAACCCCCGACTTATAGTTAAGGGTGGAGGAGTTCTTTCCGCTCCACCACAACCACTTTGGTTTGTAGGGTGGATTCTTGAGTACTCCATTCCTAAGAGGCCCATTAATTTCTGAATTAAATAGTTCCTTGGAGTTATATGGCTACCTTTATGTTCATGGAATATCATTTTTGGTGTTGTATATACAGGGACCCCATATGAATTGTCCTCATTGATTAAAGGAAAAAATTTTAATCTAGAAAAACCAAAATGGATGTAACACATCTGCAAGAAAGTCCAACGTTAACTTGTACAATAAAATTGGTAAACCAATATGAATTATTCTTCTCAACTTGTACGTTTTACCTGATTAATTAACTAGGGTTTGGTAAAACGATGATTTTTTCTTCTCAAGTTCTGTGCTTCTTTGGTTTCTTCTTCTTCTTTTTTTTTTTTTTCTAATTTTACCCTCTAAAGAAAATTAAACTGTTCATTTATATATTAAGATGTTTATAATTGAGCGAAAAGATAAATTTAATCGCAGTTAAAGAAAATATAAACTAGCTAAAATGTCATTCTTTCACAAAGGGTACACAAAGGACAAAAACAGAAAGAGAGAGAGGTGGAGCATTATTTTTTATTATAATCTAAAATTTGTCTGTTTAAGATTGTAAGGACATCAATTACCTAAGGCCATTAGTGATATGACAACATGATTAATTCAGTTCCTGAACTTAAAAAAGAAAATTAAAATTTGCTGACAGTATTGCATCATTTTGGATTCATTAGGTAACAAATTGCAATTATATGTGTCGGCATTCAGCGTGCGGAATTTGGTTGATTCAAGCCCATTTTATTGGGCAAATTGGAAACTTTCTCCACTTTGGTACAGCTCATTTTTAATCTTCCTCGTATATTATTATTATTACCTTTACGGGAACATATGGGGTTAGAAGATGCTTTTCTGCCCTATTAGAAGAGGGCTTAATCTTGTTTCTTCTCGTTTCTAAAAATAAGATCTTCGAACAAGCCTAATGAAGCTCTATTTGTTGCCAATAAGAATGATTATTGTGTTGGCATTGATTCGATAATCTAAAGTAGTACAAAATCGATAATGTCGGTAGACTCTCTCTTTGGGAAAATAGGAGTAATTTTGAAAGTAAAATTGAAGTACTATTATAAGTATAAATTATATATATATAATAACACTCGTGTAATTGAATAGTAATTGAAGTACTTATAATATATTATATATTACAAGTATAAATTATATATATATATATATATATATGTTCAAAACACTCGTGCATTCTATAAAGGGTTTATAATGGTTCAAAGTTTTTCGCTACAGAAAACTCTGTTTAATTACTATATATAAGTCAGTCTTCCAACTGGGGATTTCTTACCCTTACTGCTGGAATTTCCTGCCCTTCAACGTTACTGTTTTTGTCTCACTTTTATAATATACTTTGATAATGTATTAATTCAACCAAAAAATAGACTGATTGTTAGAATAATTGGAATAAATAGTTAAATACATCATATTTAGCATTTCCTTTTCTCGAGATTAGGACATCATACGTACCAATGACAATCTAACTCATACACATTACTTTCTTCTTCCCCAAGTTGTATAATAAAACCCACCCCCAAAAAAAAAATAGATTGATTCTTCAAGTTAAAATATCAAGTCAGATCAATCAATTTCGCTCAAATCTTATCTTTAGTTATTCCTTCAGTTCCAAAATAATTATTCAGTTCGGATTTTCAATATGATTTAAATTATAAAAAAATTTCAAATCATGATTTGGAGATTAAAAAATAAAAATAAAAATGGCGTCTTCGTGCTCATTTCTTCCCTCCCGAAGGTTTCTCTTTTTCTTTAGATTAGATGTACCACCAAACGGCAGATTTCTTTTAGAACTAATGACTAATTCTAGTAAGTCCGAAGGGGGTACATCTATTTTTAGTTACTTTGTCACTTCCATGCACAACTTTTTTGAATCTAAAACCATAACTTAATTAAAGTGATCCATACACTTTGAAATTGATGTATCATTGGTTTCATTACCGTTTGAAATAAAGTGCCCCAACTCGGAGCACAATTAATTGAGCGGAATAAGAAATTGTAACAATTAAACAAGAAGGAAAAGACAGGCAATTCAGTACATTTAATTTGAAAGGGTTGTTAGTATATGATTTTTTTTTTTTGGGTTGAAAATATTAATATTATGCTTTATGTGTTTATCAAAATTTACATTATACTAAAATAATACATTTTAAATTTTTAATATAAATTATGAGACGGAAAAAATATTATAATTGATGACGGAAACCATGTGATGGATCTTAACGAAACTAGATTTGTAATTTCTAAACTAAACAAATATAGTTTCATCTCATTGATAATTAAGCACACTGATTATACAGCATCAATTAGAACAAAGGCATCTCATCCCATCTCTTTATCATTAGTGACCCAACTAATTAAAGAAGGTAATCCCTGTAATTAAAATACAATGGACGATTCAAAGCTCCAAACAAAATACATGAAAAGAAAATACACAAGTTGCTAATCATTTCCATGTTTATGTACAAACTTTTGGAAAGTTTGAGTGGAGGGGACATATACACACCAAGAAATAGTCATTGGAAAAGGGAAAGAATCTAATATAGTCCTTGTTCCCCCCTTGCCTTTTATGTTGGAAAGCAATGCTTTCCCCAAAGTTTGATGAATTTCTTTTTTTTTTTTTTTTCCCTTCGTATATTTGCCTTTTGGAAAGTTATAAAAAAAAATAAAAATAAAAAGAATGCATGTGTGTTATCAATTTTGGGTCGTGGCTCTTTTTAATTTTTAAACAGCTGGAAGAATATTTCTGACTCAGATTATTATCTTCAATGCATATACCCCAATTTTAAATAAATTATTTTTCCCCCCGGAAATTCTCATCTGATCAACAATAATACACTTCCATTGTTCATTAGTTTAGTCCTCAGTATTACACATATTGTTAGTGGTGCGGTTTGAGAGTCTGATACGCAAATTTCAAACTTAAGAGGTGATTGAATAGATTTTTAAAAGAAATAGTACTTTAGTTGCATGAAATTGATGAGCAAACATGTTTTACCTACGGGTCAAGAAAATAGTAATGCGAACGTAATTTGTACTGGGAGGCTACTAAACGCCCTAATTTTTTCCTTTGAACGCCCTAAAAAATTTTAAAAAGACTATTTTACCCTTACATTCATACTTTTTTTTAAAAAAAAAGACGTTGGCGATGGAGCACTGCGCCAGCCTTTCACGGCTGGCGCAGGAGAAGTGCGCCACCCTTTAAAGGGTGGCGCACAAATTTCTCGCCTCCCAATTAAGGGAGGCGAGAGGGGATATTACCCCCAAAATGGGGGTGGCGCAAAAATGTGGCGCCACCCCCTTCGGTTTGGCGAGCGTTTTGCTCGCCAAACCGAAATTACTTTTTTTTTTTTAATTTTTTAATTTATTTAATCAATTAATTATTTTATTTATTTATTTATTTAAGTTTATTTTTTATTTATCTATTTGGCAGTTAAGAAATATTTAAAAATTAAATAAATAAATAAAATTATTTTATATTTTTCCCAAGCTTTTTAATTTTTCGTTTCAACGTATTTTAAATTTTATATTTTTTTCCAAAAGAAATATTTCGGAGATTTGCTAGATGTACCGATGATGAATAATTAATTTATTTGGTAGTAAATTCATAAGTTTTAGTTTTTATTAAATGATAATTTTTGTTTGCGTTTGAAAAATTTTACATAACAAAGTGATAAATTTTTATAAAAATTTACTACATAATTAAGCAACATTCTCTAAATATTTAAGTTAAAATTATTTGTTTAACCAACAAACAAATAAATAAACTTTAATAAATAAATAAATTAAGAACATACATGAATTAAATAAATTAAATAAATACATGAATTAAATAAAAGAAATTAATTAAATACATTAAAAATAATTAAATTAAAGATAATTAAATAAATAAAATAAAAATTAAAAAATTAAAAAAAAAATAATTAAGGTGGGTGGCGCACAAAATGGCGCCACCCACCCTTTGGTTGGCGAGCAAAAAGCTCGCCAACCAGCACAAATGTGGCGCCCAGAAGGGCGCCACACCTTCGCCATGCGGCGAAGGTTTTCTCGCCACCCCTTAAAGGGGTGGCTCATTCCTCCCTCGCCATCCATTTTTTTTTTGCAAACTAACTCTATTTTGTAAGGGCGTATACGTCTTTTTCGGGCGTTCAAATGAAAAAATTAGGGCGCTCAACAGCACGACCCAATTTGTAAGTTGACTTTTAAAAAATAAAAATAAAAATTTATGAGAATAGTATTAAATTTAAAAAATTAAATTGAGGTGTAAGGTCCACGTCAATGGCCAGGTCAGCAAATGAATGAAACACGTTGGGGAATTTAAAAAAAAAAAAAATGAAAGGCTGAAAAAACTTGATGCTGACAAATTTGTTTTTGTGCACAAAAAGCAAATGTTGTAATCTGGTCCTTTGTAAAGGTACTTCAGTGATCAAATCCGTATTCAAGGCTATTCAATTCCATTAAAAAAAAAAAAAATAGGGACATACACTATACTACCTAGCTCGACAAAAACCAATCAAATCAAGGGCTTTGAAATAATAGCCTTGTCCAAAAAAAAAAAAAGAGAGAGAGAAAAAAGGACCAATATCTTGTTAGTTCCATCGTATATAATCACGTGGATAAAAGGGGGGAAAAAAAATCATAACATGACTCTTATTTTGACCTAGAAAAAATATATACACACCATGATACAGTACAATAAAAAAAAATTAAAATAAAACAAATACTTACATACGCATAAATGACCAAAGTTTTTTAAAATTAATCACATTTCTAAGCTTATCTTTTCTTGCTCTCCTTAATAACATCTCCACGATGCACGGGTCGGTGAAATGAAAATAGCGACCGACTGATATGACATTATTTTTTTGTTACGATAGAGGAGATCGAAGACTTAGAGTCTTACATTATTAAAAATACGTATCATGCCTTAAAATATTCATAATTATAAATAAAAAATAAGTTTGATTTTATTTTATTTTCTTTTGTCTTTTGGCGAATTATTATCTCGTTTATTTATAAAAATAGTCACTGTTCATATCAATTACTCTTTTTACAAAATTGTTTTAACTGGACTGTAAAGTGTTTTTGCAATCATTAGCTCGCTTTTGGTCTTTTGAATAATGGCATAATGGGCCAACTTCCCCAAAACAATTTCTTTCTTTGCCTCCGATAACCCAATAAAACCCACACACAGGCTGACTCTGCCCGTTCTGAATGAATGAAATGGTAAAGAGGACAGTAATAATCCATAAATCTAAACAAAAGAGGACAGTGTCTTGGCCATAACATGCTCTTCGATGGGGATAATCCTTAACCCAATTCCATCATTCACATCAAACTACGAACACCAATGCAGCCAGAAACTACCCTTCTGGCTTTAATCACTGGATTAGCTTGATAATCCACAGCATATCACGGGGACTTAGATTGCTCCCCCGCATTCAAAATGAATATACATAGAAAAGAACAAATAAAAATCCATAAGTTCCACTACAGAAACTAAATCTATGGCCAAAAAAATCAGACAGGCAAAAACCAAAAATATACAATGGCAAGACGAGCTCATGGCAAATACCAGCTCACTCTGTATACAAAAAGCTAGCCTTTGAATCTAGGTCTCCATCTTACTTATCAAATGTAAACAGGCTTTACATCGTTCGCACTGAAACTAGCTGCACAGGTTGGGCACTTGCGGTGCCGAGATTCAACAACCCGTTGGATACAAGTATTGCAAAATAGATGGTAACATTTTGATATGACAACCTGAAAACAATAACAGGAACATCACTATTGGTAATAATGCTAACAAGAACAAGACCACTTCAGCAAATCATATAATTACTATTACAAACATCCATCCAATGGCCAGATGCAGTAGAGAAAAGTTAGAAGCCTGAGAATCAACATGGAAATCTCGGAAATGCATAGAGCATGTAATCTTTCATTGATCCTCTACAATTCACAAGATAAAGAAATCTTCCTATGTGTTCATTGTGTTAGGCTACCAGTCAAAACAAATCAAGAAACCTCAGTAGACAGACACTAGAATTACAGACTCTTACCTCTTTTCGGCGGTCAAGGCAGATGCTGCACTTCAAAATTTCTCTGTATTCTTTGACTTCCTGCCGAAGCTTATCAAGAACAGATGACCCTTCCATCTGTGATTTGAGACGAGAAACCTTTAACCTTGCAGCTTCTAGCTCCTCTTCCTCTCTTTTCCTATCAAACCTAACAAGTCCCAACACCATTAAGGCAGAAGATTAGTCTCAATGATATCACGGAAAAAGAGAGTACAGTAAGTGACAAAAAGATCAGAAAATCTTCAATCACCTTTCTCTTTCTGTTTCTATTTGCATCTCTGCAAGACTCACACGGTTTCTGTCAACCTTTGACTGAGATTCATCAACACTTTCTCTCAGCTGCTGAGCTGATTTTCTCAAATCAACGATTTTTTTTTGGTTATTCTCTAAAGAAACTGTATTTTTCACCCTATTTTCTGCAAGTCTCTGAACCTGATCCGAGCATAATCTCAACTGCATGGGAAAGTGTCATCAATTCAATAGATGTTTTTCTACAGACCGACTTAAACGTCGTAAGATAAGGAGCCCTTTGACATTTAGATAAAAGGAACTCTGACTCAAAGTTCCCTTCAGTCTTCAATTTTTCTAGCCACTTGTACGCCTATTAAAAGTTTACTTCATATCGTAGTAAGAGAGACTAAACAAACCTGGTCTTCAAATTTTGCGGCTTTTATGTTATGGAATTCAACAGAAGCATTGGCCTGCTGAATTGTTCTCTCGATAGTCTGTTTCTCCAATAGCAAGCTCTGCTCAAGCTGTCTAGATTTGACACCTTCTAGCACAAGCTGAACCATTATGCACATAACTGTTAGCACTTATCCACAAAAAGAAGCCCCTTTGTTGCATTCCAGAACCAAAAGAATTGGAGAACAAATGATGAAAGAGAGAGAGACAAGATTCATAGAGAGCGGCAATTGAGTAATAAAGCGAAGGCATAAATTTGATGAATGTTATAAGAACATCAGGAATAGCTGCATCGAGTCTAAAGAACAAACGTCGTCCTTCATAACCTTACAATCACCACCCTTCGTTTCAACTTTTTCCAACCCAACCCATCTCACCATCCAAGAAAGTAATCAAAATGCTCAAGAGTTTCAGATCTAAAAATGACACTAAATGCATTTTCATAGTGCTATAGAGATGACAGGAAAAGGGAGGTAAATGCATTTCCATAAATGAGGACTACATAACTTGAGACATAGAGGATAAAATTCCACAATGCTATAGCAGTACGAGAGTAGGAAACACTGGGACAGTATCCACTAGAAGTAAAGCATGTGACCAGATTCTTGACTTTACTCAAAAGGGTCAATCACTAAAAGAAAATTTAAAAAATTCACAATAAAGTTTGCTCTTATCTCAAAGAAAAGAGTGGATACAGGCTCATTCCTCATCAATTCTAAAGCCAATCTCTCTACAATTTCCAATGCTTATCCAAAAAACTTGGAAACTTCAAAATATACAAACTTAGAAGTATGTAATCATATAAAAGCCTTCATGCTTCAATCACGCAATAGAAAGAGTTCCATATATGACAATTTTTGGTAGTTTTTAGAGGTTTATGCCCAAAGGCTCCAATCACAGGCTAATCCAGAGACGGATAGCTATTTAATCTTCAAAAACATTCATACAACAACCATCTCAAGAACACTGCAAGCTGAAGAGCACAAAGAAACATGCACACAATATGCCAAATTATGTATTTTTTGGGAACATAAATAAATGCAATTCTGGAAACGAGAAGTTTATTTAACTTGATTCATTACCTTAATGTTGTAGTCATCTCTCTCGGTGATTTGCTGCAACAGCTGTTGATTCTGAGTTTGCATATCATCGTAGGCCTGACCAATTGTCTAAATCCAGGAAACCAATAATCTAATATTAGCTTCAGAACTCAAAGAAAACAAAATTCATTCTACCATTGTAAAAGGAGTAACAACCTCTATCTCAGAAAGATAGGCCTCAGTCTCTTCATGTTTGAATTTAAGAGTATCAGAAAGTTTGGCTTCCTCCCTGGAATGGCACAAAAATTACAGATATTATGTCCGTGGATCAAATCACTGAATTGGTACAAAACTCATAGGTTTCTGTATCTTCTTCTCAAATATCCTTTTCACTATGTTGCAGTTCACAGGAATCACAATTTTTATTTTCTTTCTTTTTTCTTTTTTTGCAATACCCGAATTACTGGCACAAGAAACTTAGCTACACAAAAAGAGAGGCAAACTATCAAGTTTTGGTTAAACAAACATGTACAGTGTCGAGCAAACACGCTACAAAAACAGACAGATCTAATTGCTGAAGAAATGAAACAGTAAGTCCAATGCAGTATAACATGAAAAGTCTCACTCAAAGTACTAGTCGCCAGTATAGCTCCACAATACTCTAACTTGGATATCCCAAACTGTTCTTTTGTTGTCTAGCATTAGGAACAAAACTGCAATGTTCATCATTCAAAAGTTGGGAAATCTAAATTAAACTCAATTGCAGGGATGAAAATCTGTTTACGAAGTTACAAGATTTCACTATGGCAATCTAAAGGACAAAAAGAAAAAGAATGAAAGGGCTGGTTATTTAAAACACACTTGACACTCCCATGCATCCTATTCACACCAATTAAATTTTCCTTCCTGACCTAAACAAAGCAATCATACGCCATTATCCAAAAAAAAAAAAGCAATCGTACGCAATGCAGGATAGAAGATCGAAAATTCATATACTCCCAATTATTTTACAAAATATGATGCATTAACATTACATTACCATCGTCCGAACAAAAACACGCGAATTCTTTTAACACAATGTATATAAACAAAACAGACAAGCCTTTCTCTTGTAAAACAAGCAGCAAAAGATGACCAAAGCATTTGAAAAATCAGAGAACACATCCAAATTACTATTAGGAGCTTAGAGCCTGGGTTTAAAAATAATAAAACCTTTTAGAAGCCTCTCGCCTCTGTCTTAGCTCTGCGATCTCTGCTTCAGTGGCCGCTAGCCTTTGCTGCGATGTGGCTTCTGCTTCAATAGCACATTTAACTCGCAACTCCAAGTTGTGCTCGTCAAGGGAGGTCTTCAGGCTTTGTACATTAGCCCAAGCCTTATATTCCAAGTCTCTAGCGTCAAGAACATCCCTGTGTTCCATTGAAAACAGCTAAGGATTAGAATCCCAACTCAATCTCAACATCACAAATGACAACAAATGGACAATCTGGAACCAGAACATAAACAACATCAATCAATGAGCATGTTACATATCTCCGAAATGCAAAAGAAAATATTTGATGGATAAAACATGTTTTCAACTCGAAGAGAAAATGCGCTGCAATGCAACATTTCATCTTCGGCGATCTTAACCTGCTCTCTGGTCAGAGAGATCGCATTTAAAACCTGTTAAGGGGAATTCACGACGTTTGTTCTTTTATCATGGTTAAACAAGTATATGAGAAGAGGTTATTGCTGTTTCATATGAGTGGGGAGGCTACTATTTTTACTGTGACAACTTTTTTTCTCCCTTTCCAATTGCAAACGTTTTCAAAACAATGTCCATTTTCATGATACCTATATGAACAAACTGCCAAAATATCGAAGGATTAAGTCTTCAGATCGGTGAATTCTCACGAAATTAAGTTCCAACATTAGAATGGCAAACATAGTTCTCTTTTTGTACCTTAAATTATGAAAGGGAAACCCTTCTCTGACCCAGAGTCAAATTAGTGTAACCAAAACGAGACTCCATACCACCTATAGTCATAAGATGTTGACTTTTGCCATATTACAAATTATAAAAAAACACCAACCAGGTTACATGTTATTTCACCCTACACGGACAAAGATAATTGTCTCCAAGGACTCCTCATGAAGTTACGACCAGGTTTTCATCCAGGTCAGACAAATATTTAACCCTAACGAATTACTCCATCTAATTCATTCCATTTGGAGGGCTTAAAGTGCAAGCAGTAGATGAGTAAGAACATACACTAGCTTCCCTAAGCAACCCATTGCAGACTTCACAAAACAGATGGCTTTACTCATTATTCTGTTCAAACCATACAACCCAAGGTTGCTTTTGCGTATCTAATCCAATTATAAAGACGGTTAAAAGGTAAAATCTACTCCTTTAAAATGGTTAAAAGGAGAAAACTCAAATAAAACAAGACCACTCAGCCAAGGCTTAAAAATAGTACTGTAATTGTTTTATAAAAAAACTCATATATATCACAAACCTTGAGCAAACAGATTCACGATTGTACATCTGCAAAAAGAGTTTCAACTCCGCATCACTCTCCTTCAAGTCATGGATCTGCAAAAGAAATAATCCTCAGCTATACATACTCATTTCACATAATTATGAAACCTATATGATATTACAAACCAACGGCATAATCCAACCATCCTCTCCACTCTGGAACAAATAAAATGGCAAACTTTGCAAAATCAGGGAAAGGGAGTCCTCAAAAAAGAGAAAGGGAACATCTTATCAGATATCCAGATGATGATAACATGAATAGTAACAGAACCAAAAATGCTTGAATTTTCGAAGGACCAGTAACATTGAGTCAAAGTTGTTTAACAAGATAGAATTTTTGGATCTACCGGGCAAATTCACATTAGTCCTGTCGCATCGTGAGACTATAATGGTTGATGAATTTCACATTCAGTTAAGGAAGAAGGACACTAGTTGAGCCATAAATCTCGTCTTTTCTGGGTCTTAAAATCCATCTTCAGATTTACAAGGCATCAATTTTCTCTTCCCGCTTCTTAGAGATAGTTATGAAAATAAGTGCTTGATCAAGAAATGGAAACTGCCGAAAGAAATTATGTTTCAGACTTGTATCTAAGTTGAGCATTGATTTCCATCATGTACACAAGTTAACCTTTAAATACATCAAGTACAGACAGTATAACACAATACTCAGCAGTCTCTGTGCAAACATGTCTCTCTTCTCTCACTCGACTTCATTGTTATTAGTACGAAACAAATCAACAGCATTACACTCAATAAGTGCCAGCATATGATTCAAACCGATAAAGAAAACCTCAGGTAAGAGAAACCAAAATGCTCAAAAAGCACCAGAACAGAGACTATAAAGATTCGAACTGGAGTACCATTTAAATTGCAGGTTGATAAGAAAACACTTACCAAGGCTTGTAACTTCAGTATATCAGCAGCTTGCTCAGTTGATCTAGCAGACAACTTCTCCATATTTCTAGCCTATGTAGATCGTGGATGAAATATAAAACACAAACTGAGTGCTTTCCATCAATATCACGACCACTATGTAATAAAATAGAAAACGTAAAAAACTCCATAACAATAGCTACCTTGTCTTCAAGAATACCATACAGCGATCTAACATCAGCTCGCAAAGCATGAATGTCTTTGGCTGTCTCTTTGTAAGAACTTAATTGACTCTGCATACGACCCATTTCCTTTGGGAAGGACGCAACTAAAGTTTTTAACTCCGCGATGACTTCTTTCCGACCTGAAAAGAATCAGATATCAACAAGGATGGCTGCAGGTAAAAGACACAATTCACTTATATAAATCATCCAAAAACCTGATAGGGTGCTCCGTACCTGGTTCTCTTGATGTGTGCTCCAGCTTGGCTTCCATTTGATTCTTTTCAAATACACATTTCTGTATCTCTTTCTGCAGCTCACTGATCCTGGAATCAGCAATAGCAGCAGATCGATGGTTAAAGTCAAGCAACTCAAGCTTCATCTGCATTTCCTTTTCCTTCCACGCAAGAGTGTTTTTCTCCAACTATATTCAGAAAAACAAATATCCAGGCTAAGAACATCATCTAAAAAGACAAGGGCAGAAAACGGAGGGGGTCGAAAAAAAAAACTACCGACCAGTAACAACCTGTAGTTTTTCATGGAGTGCTTGGTAACGGATAATATCTGCTTTAGCCTTTGCAACTTGATCTTTTAATAGGAGATAAGCTTTTGAAGAACAAATAGACTTGAAATTCTTCAAAGTGTTCTGCAAAGTGCACAATCCATTTAACAAACTATTCGCCTAATACTCAGAAGGTTTAGATGAATGAAGCAATTTTTAAACTCTAACAAGTCATGAAAAAGGCCAACTGACTTGCAATGTTGATAATTGCTTCAATATGTCTATCCTTTCTTCATGAAGGCGTTTGAGTTCCACCACTCGACAAGCAGATTGATCCTGACCATAACCAGAAAGTCAATAACTGTTAGCGAGCTGACTTTAAACACATGCCATGGAGAAGGAAGTAAAGGGTACATTACCAGTAGATCCTTGAGCGAAGATTCCATGTCTTCCAAATCTTTTTGATTGTCCAACGACTTATCACTATTAATAGCATTATTGCACCGGTCAAGGATGGGGATATTGGTTTCCTTTGTGGCATTTTTGTCTGCTTTTAGATTTGACAATTCACAAGCACTTTCTTCCAATTCTGCAATAGTACTTTCCAATTCCTCTTCACAAAAGCAAAAACAGAAAATCCTACAGTCAGTACAATAAACTCCAAGCAATAACACCCACAAACAAAACATAAGAAGTTTACACATCGTTTTTGTTTTTTTTCTTTTTTTTGGGGGTGGTGGTTTGGGGGTGGGGGTGTTGGATTCAGCAAACTTATGTATCAGTTATACACGAGATTTGCAGTAAGAAAGAACAAATAACTTAAGTTTTCGTCTCATCATGTTCAGAAAGCCATATCTATCATATGTTGCTGGACTTCTGTCAAGCACGTGGTTCCCTTTGTGTTCTGATTGGACTTCTTCCTCCACAGGGTCGTTCCAAGTCTTTTAAGTCCCCCCTTACCCCTTAGTAGCACTTAAAGGATTATTTGCAGAAAGAGAATAAACAAGCAAACATAAAATGTGAGACGTGAAATTTAACACAACAAGCCAGCAAGCAGAGTAATTATGTTAAGATGATAACCAAAAGCAACTAAACTGGTGCATTTAGTTTAGGGGTTGCACATTACCGAGCAACACTGATGTAGCGATTATAAAAAATCCCAAGTTGTACATGTACAAGAACTACGAGAAGCTTATAGTGGACTTCTAATCCACTTATAAATTGAACAAACACTTAAGCGTCCAAAGAACGACACTAACTTGAACAATATAACACCTTCAAGGTTAAGCAATCTACAGTCCCAAGCTTTTTTACGTGGAATTTACTCCAAGAAATATCTCCAGTCTAGTAGCGAATATATCACATCTCTTCAGAAAACAACAAAAATTTAACAAATGGATGATATTGCCATGTATATTATTTGCACCTTCCATGACAGTGAACTCTACGACCAAATCCCGAAAACAAGCATAATCTTAATCAGAACTCCAGAAAACAGTAAGCGCCAGTAAGCACACAAGATAACTCTTGACATACTGAACATTTCTCCAGCACAGAAATCTTTCCACAAAGACTTAAAGAATTCACCTTTCAAATGTTTCAGCTCAACCTTATTTTTTGCTTCTTTATCCTTCTGTTCTTGCAGTTCACAAAGAAATGACTTTTGCTTTGAGAGAAGATCACAGATTGCCGCTCTCACATTCTTCACTTCTGTCTGCAAGTCAAGAAAACTCTTCTGCTGGCTCAATCCTGAGGTTTTGGGAGAAAAAGTGATCAGGGTAAGCAGCTAAAGGAAAATTGGTTTTGCCTTTATTCATTTCAAACTAAAAACATGATTTTGTGATAATCTTCACCATCTTACCGTCTCCTGGAACTGCACTGTAAACTGCATTGTACAGTTTATCCCTTAATTGCCATTGACTATCGAGATTAGCTAAAATAGTTTGCAACGCGTGACTGATCTTTTTGCTGCTTTTCTGATAGTCTTCCCCTTCACCGATTAAAGTGTTGTGACTAGAGCCACATTCAGCTGCACCACTAACAGAAGGCCCACTCATCATATCATCCTCAGAAACATCCTTTGCGGAAACAGATTCTAAGGAAGACGAACATCCATCTGCAGAGCAATTATCAAAGAAAAAAGTAAGATTATTCCCATGAAACATGAAATAAATAGATCACCCAACCCCAATCACATGTATCAAAGAGAATACTAAACTAAATGAGGAACCAGTTCACGAATAAACAAAAGCGCTCTCTGAGCCATGACCTGAACAGAATTCAAAACATAAGGAAATGAATAACAGGTGAATGGACCAACATAAGCCTTTCTTTTAAGACCAGGGGTTTGAATCGGGAATCTCAAATGTGATGTTTTACCACTTTTCAATTTCTGTTAGGAGGTGATGTTTGATTCCTTCAAATCAAAAAGGCAAAGAGCTCACAACAATCTGGGATTCTGGAGTATGAAAAAATGAAATCGACAAAAAAACCTGTGGCTTTCAGGAAAAAGCATAGACTAAAAACACAATAGAAAACCAAATCAATTCAAATTTCTTTTTCTGGAGCTTGAATAGATTACAGGCCATGAAATACATATACCTTAGATGAATGAGAGACAGAAGTCATACGTACATTTGGAGAATGCTACTAGAAATGTAAAGGGAATGATTTAGTTAATCAATAGGGGCGGAAAGCGAGAAGAATGATGACAATACCAGTCTGAAAAAGAAGGTGCGCACAGTCCCTGATAAGCAGATCTTCGAACCCTTGCTCGAATCTGGCTACGTCCTTTCCACAAATTGAATGGGATTCAAAGTCTTCGACAACCTGGTAGAAAGACGCACAAAGCAGATTTTCACGCGATTTAAATTGAATTCCATTACAATCGGAAATCAAGAGCCATTCCACAAAAAATAACTGCAATTAGAGGCACATAACACAAAAATACCTCTTCCCACACTTGCCAGGCTGCTGCTACAATGTTCTCATAAGGCCGTTGTTTCTCGGTCCATTTATTGATTTTCTCTTCCAAACGAAGAATCTCAACCTTCTGTGTTTCTAATTTCTGAATAAGTTTTTGATTTTGAAACTTAAGAACCGCTGCGTCGAGCTTTACCACGGAGAAACCAAAGTAAAGAAGGAAACACGTGAGCATCCAAGTAATAAACAAATTGTAATAAAGCTACATTGAAGGTGGTTGATTCCCAATAAAGGCGATGATTAATTTTGAGTAACTGCCAAACACACAATATGACTCAGTCAATATGTCCAACCGAGTCTTACGTGTCAAACACATGCATACATATGTACACAGACACACACAACACCGTTAATTTCAAAATAATACACAACAGAGTAAAGATAATAGTTGACTTCGCATACTATAAAGTACTCAAGAGGCCAAGTAACAAATAAGCAGTAGAACCAAAATACAAAACTCGACAACGATGGAAACAGTAGCAAACTAATCGAAAAAGAAATAGCAGTATGACACCTACAAAACGAGTCAAGACCACCATTCAACTTGTCTAAAGTCACTCCGATAGCACAAGGCTTACCACCAAGCTCAAGTCAATTGTCAAGATTGAGAGCAATATAGCTCCAGTTAATACTAGGTTTAAGAGATGTGCCTACTCCCAACAAACGGCCAAAATCCAGAGCCAGAGATAAAGTTCTAGTATGAAAATGTGTATACACAGAAGGAATATTAGGGAAAAACATATCTAATAGTTATCTATTTATTAAGTAGGAAACAGAAAATAAGTCACACCAATCTTTCATTCTGGAAACACGATGCTGCAAATTAACATGAGCCAAGTTAAAATCAGACTCACGCATACAAACTGTTAAAGCCACTAAGTCCTTTAAAGATTTAAAATAAATTGAAGTTCTTGGACAGAAGAATTTCCCTCGGCATTAGAGCGAGGTGTTGATTTCCAATGTACTAGTAATGCAACTAGCAATAACTTAATGCATCTTGAATCAGAACAAACAACTAATACAACTTTTCATATGGACCAAAGTCATCCAAATATCCAAATCACCATAATTAGGCAACACAATAAAGTTGTCACAGAAGAGTGAGATGATGGAAGCTAGAAGAGCTCACACTGACACGTATTCAACACTAAGAATCATAGATGGAAAGTCCAAAAAACCGTTCAATAGAAACAACAATCATGACAATCAAATAAGTTTAACTCATGCTGCCATTGCTAAATTTGTTACCATGTAGGAATAACTACTCTAAAAAGACAAAGCTTAAAGTATTTCTAAGATAACACGTTGATGCATTAACCAACAAAATTCCACATAGTGATAAGCATGAACCTTAGCTTTAATAGCGTTCCCATAAAACAAACTCAAATAAAAAAATCTTCCACTATACTCCATCTCAAAAGTTCCCAATATAGTTAATTCAAGATATACAAACAAGTACATCCCTTTTGCAAACCCGATCAGGAAAGAACTTAACCAGTCGAGGTTCGTCTTAAGCATGCTTGCCCAGCATATTACAGAGAAACGATATTAAAATTGATAGTGAACAGAAGTGATCCGAAGTTCATCAGAGGAGAACACGTTAATGATCGTCGCAATCAATAAATTGAAACTCAGAATAAAACTCAAACCCTTGAATGGATTATTCTAACTGCCACAAAGCAATAAAATCAGGAACCGATTGCAGGCACAACATATACTGAACATAATTAAAACAGCAGCTCCTGTACAGAATTCATACAAAGGAGTTAAAAATACATAAACACCAATTTCATCATGTAAACCCTAAATGAGCCTAACCTAAAATCCAATCAATCATAAAGTGAAAATCATGCAAAACCAAGGACAGTTGCTAATCTAACCTGACTCGAAAAGACTAATGAAGTAGAAAATCATGGCACGAAACAAAGATTTCCCGTCTGAAATCGACAAGCAAGAATACAATAACTACCTTCTTATCCTCGGAAAGAGGCATAAAGGGTTGCTTCTTGGCCGCAGCACTTGTAGGTGAGATGGAGCTAAAGTGGCGACGCTTCCTATCTGCTTCACCTGTGCTCCCCATTACACTAAAAGAGCTCCGGAAATTCCCAAATTCCACAACACAATCCTAATTCACTTAACCTAATAAACTACCATTGAACTAGACAATTCCGAAAGAAAACCCAAGAACCACCATCAACATAAGCTTGAACAAAAACCCATCATCTATATGATCATTGCATGCAAAGGGTCATCAAAAAGCGACTTTCCAACCTCAAATTAACAACAATTCACTGCCCAAAGTCAATTGAAAAAAAAAAAAAAGGAAGAAGGAACTTTCTGCAAAAAAATTTCGCGGCAGTGATACAATCATCAAAAGGAGGGACGAATTCTTGGTGAAGTTCTTCGTTAATTTCGTATGGCTCGTCTCTGTGACAACATCGAAGAGGTCGTCTGGGCAAGTGAGGAATATCTTTCTTCCGTTTCTGTAATACCAAAAAAGAGAGCATGTATGTAGTGACGGAATTTGACATATGAAAGAAGAAAAAAAATTGGAGAAAATAAAATATGACGACGTGGTGTTGCTGTTGTTACAAAATGTTATGAGGGTATTCTTGTAATTATGAAGGCATTACATTTTTTATGTAGTCAAGAAATGGCGAAAATACATATAGGTCCTCGGGAGATACATTTCTTCTACCGGAATTGTATCTACTTTTACAATAGGTAAAGAATTATTTCGCTACTCCAAAATTTCTTGGACAAAACTAGACTTCATAAACATGCATGGATAAAGGAATTATGTATATTGCAAATATGGAAGTTAGAATGTTATTACTATCTAAGGACAAGTCAAGTTTGAGTTCCACCACTTTTCTTTAATTTCCCAAATATACAACTAGAGATTTCATTGGTAGGTGTAGATTATCTTAAACATGTGTTACTTTAATAATGTTAGACGTTAGCCTCCTTTTTTAACAGCCGAAAAAAATCATGAACAAGTACCATTTTCTTTCCCCAACAAGCAACATAAACTATCATGAAATACTAAGAAATTTGTATATTCTTTTGTAAAATCACTTCATATTTGACATTGTAAAATTTATTAACGATATAGAAAAAGACATCAATCAGTTTCACACTTGTAATACCAGAATCTAGTTTGCTATTATGAGGCTATTATCTAATTATTACCATTGTATCGTTGTTATTGAGTGATCTCTAGAAGAAAAGCGAAAATCAGATAAAAAAGGGGATAAAATTAGGATGAAAATGAATAGGATGTCATGGTTAATTAAACTAATTTCTGGTTATTCTAATAGTCAAATTATTAAGGTGAATCTAAGTGTTGAAGCGAGAACGTTCATTCTCATCATAGTCTATATACCCTTCATCATGATCTTCATACACGAAAAATCCATAGTCATATTGCCCGAGACTTCCATGTTACAGGGGTTTCCATATGCAGTTCACTCTTGAGTTTTCATTATAAGAAAACAATGCGCTTGTAAAGAATAGGTACCTTCCGGCTCCAAACCATCTAACAAGGGAGCATTCATTTCATCATGTCCTGGCGAATCAAACGAAAAATGAAAATCTAACTTGTTCATCAGAACCACTTATTAAAAAAAAAGAGTACAAACTGAAACTCTCCCAAAAATTGACCGAAAAATCACTTAAAAACAGTAGAAGGGGACAATGTTGATTTTGAAACATGTTTTCCCTCGTTTCCATCACGACCCTCATACGCAGTATCAATTCACTTGGGGGAGAAAAAGCAAAAGCACGTTAATAAAATCAACTGAAAAAGAGAAAAATTTTACAGTTTGACAATACACTAAAACAGAGACGGATGAAGAATCTTGAAACCAAGAAAAAACAACTAATATATTTCTGATATAGTATAACCAAGAAGGAATTGATAATGTTCTTCAATTTTTTCATTTTTGTGGCTTACCAGTATCAGGTTTGTCTTCCATAATGGATACAGAAATCAGAATTCTTCAAATGAACAAAGAACAGAGAAGAAAGTTGGGTGAGAAATTTGATAGAAACTGAGCTGGCAGAGTTAATAGAGAGGGGAAATGAGGAAATTTGATTTCGGAAAAGAAAAAAAAAAATTTCTTAGATTATTAATAAAAAAAAAAAAGGATAGTCCAAAGGCATTCTTGAGGTGGGCGAGTTGGGGATTAAAGAATCAGGTCCAAGAATAAAGAGTTCTTACTGCAATTGGGTTAGGCCTTACCCCAATCCACAAGCCTAATGGGTCAAAACATTTGTATCCAAATATGAACTATTGAGACAACATTTAGTGTGTGGATGTTGTATACATATATGTTTTATAGCTGTGACCCCACTTACCTCATGAGCATCATGCGCTAGGAGGATTATGTATTATATGGTTCTAGATAGTTGTCATTCATCTCAAAAATTTGTATTTAAGAATTTTCTCAATGAATAAGCAAATTTCAAGCTAGTGTCAAAGAGAGAAGAAGAAATATCAATAATGGTGAGATTCTAGTTTCTAAATTCTATTTGATGACCTTGTGCTATGGAGTTTTGGGCACTTTATGTGTTCCTTCACTGTATTCAGGTTCTTCCATAGTTGTTTTAATAGTACTTTTGTTTGAGACCATGAGTTTGTAGTTGAGGATGAGCTTCAGACCTTTTGATTAAGGTGTACTTGGTAGGTTATGTTTTTCTTATTTTTTGTTCTTTCGAGCCTCGGATAAATTAATACTACTTTGTGTTTCAGCAACCAATATCTAATCAGTGATCAGAGCTTGACTCGACACTGATTAGGGCTCGAACGAGGAGTCGACTCGAATGACGTCATAATGACGTAATAAAATATTTATAAATTAATAATTATATTTTTAATAAAATTTAATATACATTTCTTAATTGTTAAAGTCAAATTCGTGTTTCATAAATTTTAAGTGAGTTTGGGAAGAACAAAATTGTGATATTAGCTAAAATATTAAAATAATTAATTTTTAGTATCGTTAAGAAAATTACACTGAATGTTTAATCATTTTATTTGGTTATAATTTTTTTTAATCTTAGTTAAAAATGACAAATATTACTCAATTTATTTGGTCCATAATATTTTATATTAGTTCAAAATATTTGGTCCAAAATATTTTACATTACTTAATTTGACCGATGGGATAAATGGTGAAATTAAAATTTTAGACTTATACATTAAAATTAAGAGCTTAATCACACAAATATAAAAATTATGGATCATTGAAAACGTAAAAAAATATAGTTGAGAGCTAAAAGTTAAAAAATCAGATAGTTAAACCTCAAAAGTAATGCAAACAAATTTAAAAGATCATATCAAAGTCAATTTGACCCAATTTGACTAGAGTTTTGACCAATTTGACCGAAATTAATTGGTAATTCCATGAGCTGCTCGGCCCGACTGGGAATCTGGTTCTCAATTAAACTGGTTCAATCGTCCGGTCTGAACTGAGTTCGACAACAATATATGTAATTACTTTAGATATCAACGATTGGATCATCACATATCTTGTGCTTTCCAGGCCTATTGTAACTAGGAAAAATGATAACTGTTTAGTTTGTGTTTGAAATTAATAGGGTTATTTAGTAAAATGTTACATGTAACCAACTGTTAAAGAATGAGCAAAAGTTACTTGCACTTTTGTTAAGTCCAGGTTGTTTATTCCTCTTCATCGCTAATTACAGCCAAACATCCTTAAATTAATACTCTATTATTTTTCAAGAATATATTATTAAATATAAGTCTTCACAATTTCATAAATTAATTACTTAAAATAAAAAAAATAGATTTGATGATTAAATTAGATTTTAATTCAAGTATTTTTTATGTTTGTAATATCATATTTTTGTTTCATTAAAAATTTCTACTAATGTAAATAGGATTGCAAAGACTTTTCTTATTGTCATATACAGCCCTAGAATCGCCAATTGAATTGAACATTTTGGTAGGCTTGGGATAAATTAAAGAAATATTACTTTTATGGTTTCTGACATAAAAAAAAATAATTAGTTAAAAGTTTAAGATTATTTCATATCTAGTTTCTTATTTTGATTTTTTTTTTTTAAGGAACAATGTACAAATCAAGATTATGACACTAGAATATTTCTTTGGTAAGAAATATCGATGTTTAAATATTTTTTATTTTAGATATTTTTTAACTTATAAAATTGTAGGGAACTAAATTTACATGGTGAATTCCTTATAAAAATAATAAAAAATCAGCACTATTAATGTCAATCAGATCCTTGCAAGTTTGTCTCCTCGCCAAGGTTGGACACCAAAGTTTTGATATCTATATATAAACTCTTGTACCTAACAGCAAGTCTCATTATTCGTCCGAGATAAGCCAATTTTAGCATCACCGGAAAAGTATTGGAGACCTCTAATGTATATAAAATATGTGGAACTCTTGTGAAGTTGGGAACACAAATTGCCGACAAGCAATAGTTTAATTTTATCCTCTGCATCAATCAAAAATATATACTACCTCTGTCCCAAAAAAATAGTCCATTTTGAGTTTTGAGTTTTGTACTGTTTTAAAAATTTTTAAAAATAGTTCATTTTGAGTTTTGAGTTTTAAGTACAAATTTAAAAATTCAATGTGGACTATTTTTTTGGGACGGAGGAAGTACTATTTATTTTCCAATTGGGAAATTTCTACCCAATCCAAGTACTCTCCTATTTCACATGAGGGGTGGTGGTTGGTCATTTTCTTTTTCATCTTAGTAAGCTTGTAAATCTTGAATTTGTGCACGACCAGTTTATCCATGTGCGGATGAAGGATTCTTAGAACAAGTAATAGCTGCATTTTTTTGTTGAACCACGATTCCACCAAGTAATGCTTCCCTTTGAAGCATATAACACAACTCTGGCTCTAGGGAACCAGAGTACCGGAGTTGATAATCGGCTCACTCTATGCTGAATTGCCAATCTTTTTGCCCCAACTCCTGAAGGGGCGCGCAAGGTTGTCCTGGCCACGAATATTGCGAAAACTTCTCTCGCGATCGATGGTATAAAATACGCGATCGATGCTGGATTTTGCAGGACCAAGTTTTATGATCCTCAAACAGGAATGAAGTCATTGAGGCTCACTCCTGTCTCTAAAGCATCCCCAACTCAGCGAGTATTTCTTCAGGACGGGGCAGCCCTGACACGTGTTATCGCTTGTATACGAGGCATTATCTTGACCATGATATGCACGAAAATGATGATCTAGAAATTCAGAGGACTGACCTAGCGAATGTCGCGCTTATACTCAAGTGCCTTGGAGTTAAGGACTTGTCAAACTTTGATTTCATGGATCCACCATCCAATGAAAACTTGTTGGAAGCCCTGAAACTGTTGAATGCTCTAGGTATACTGGAAAATGATCGTGAGTTGACCAAGGTGGGTGTGAAAATGGCACAGTGAGATTATTTCTATTCTTGCCATGCTATCCATTGGGTATTCCATATATAACCGTCCCAACGATAAACGTGTTGATGCAGATACAGCTGGAAAGAGATTTCACATGGGGAATGTAGGAGACCATATTGGCTTGCTGAATGTGTATGATTCCTGGAAGGAAACCAACTTTTTTGTGCAGTGGTGCGACGAGAATTACATCTATGCGAAAAGCATGAAACGAACAAGGTATATGAGAGATCAGTTGGAAGATTTGTTGAAAATTGCTGAAATTGAAGTAACATCAAACAAGAATGATTTGGAAGCTGTAAAAAAAGGCCATAATATCAGGTTTCTTCCCTCACTTGGCTAGGTTGCAAAAGAGCGCATTGTTGTATCAAACACTCTGAATCTCCCCAAACAGTTCATACCCTTCTTGGAGCTCAAGTTTAGGTAAGGTGCTTCCGAGATGGGTTGTTTACCATGAGCTTGTTCTTAGGGATTCCAAGAAATACATGATGCAAGTAACTGAGTTAAAACCAGAATGGTTGGTAGACGTAGCTCCTCACTATTATAGCATGAAGATGTTGAAGAATGAAGGTTAACTGGCCTCAGTTGACTTTGGCCTGTTGTACTTCTCCCTCTGTGAAAATTGAATTCTCAAATATAGACCATCTGATTGACATTGTTAAAAATATTGGTCCTTCGAGCTTCTAGAGTATTTTTCAAGTTCTTTTTTTCTTCATATCACTTCACAAAAACGACTAGTCTCCCTTATTTAGTTGCAAGGATCTCTATAGATACGTAAGACAGCATTCTGCAACGTCCAATACAAGAATGTGGCAAAAATGGCCACACGTCGTCTCTATATTCAAAGCAGAAATATAAAAGAAGAAATTCTAATTGAACATGAATTGATCCGGAAAATTCTTAACTAGAAGGGGAGAATTGGATTGGCAGCGGCGACATTATATGTATTTGGATTCTACTTGTCAGAAAGTTAAAAACAATATCACAATGTGACAAACGAAAGAGATTATAGCAAACTGAGATTTTACAGGATAATTGGTTATACACTTACCTCTTTTTCCCACAATAAAAGGAATAAAGGAGAGAAGTGTTGAAAAGGAAACTACAGGAAAGAACTACTTTCTGCTTGCACTACTGTTACATGAAGTGTGCTGTGATTACCAAGATGGATGGAGTGATTCAGACTTCTCCAAATGTAAAAACAGAAAATCAAAGCAAAACTACTATTCTATTCGTCTTTCTTTGCAAATTCTTGTCTCTTCTTCATCCCAACTTCAACGAGCAATGTCAAAAGTGCTTCGCAAACTTGGGAGGCATCTGCTTCTGATGGATCATCATTCAATGATGAGTAAACCATCCATGCATGGTCTAGCTTCCGTTTGGGACGTACTACAACTGAACCAGGGACCTCGGCGTCACGACAAGTGACCAGTCCGTCGCTCTTCTCGCCATATCTGATCTGTAGTAGTTGGGCATTTGCAGCCATTACAGCGCCTAGAGGCATTACCACTGGGAGGGTTGCTCGTTCTCCTGCAGAGAGAGGTGTAAAGGTAGGTAGTTCTGCATGTGCAACTCGAGACAGAGTTGCCAAAACTGCAGGTGATATGCTCGCCTCGGTATGGAAAGATACGACAGGGAGTTCTTTAGGTAAATGGTATTTCCTTAAGAATTCCTTTCTCTTGTCATAAGTCAAATCTTCAAGTGCTTGCATGTCACCCTTCAAAAGAGAAGCCACTATTAGACTACAAGTTCCATTTGATCAGTAAATGCTAGTACATACAAAAGAAACGACAAAGGCTTTAATAAAAGATAAATTGCTCATATAACGCAAATAAATGGAAAATTTCCATCCTAATCACAAATTGCCCTAGATGATAGTAGCCATAGACAATCTTATGCCTAACCCAAGAATCTGGACGGTGATGCAAGAACTACAACTTAATGCTCACAAGTTACCCTATTCAAGTAGAGGAAAGAAGTTTGAAGCTTTAATCTAAAAATTCCCGAAACTGGTGAGGAACATAACGTGCAAGTAGCATACATTTTTGAGAGGCTATTAGCTTCGGAGTTGCCAACTGCGACTAAGTAGGAGATATTACATTTTCCTTCCTACTCATTTATGCACACACAAGAAATCTTCAAAAGGAAAAAAATAAAAAAAAAGGATTTTCTGAATTAGAAGTTATTGTGAATAACTGTAACCAACTTGGCTGCCCAGAATGGTTCTCCCAAAAATCTCCCCCCCCACCTGCTCGCAAATTCACCAGTAAATTCTGGCACCACGGGTACATTTATTCCTGATGCACAAATCTTGACAAACCTTAAAAACTATTTTGTCTCACTTCTTATTACAACATTATTCCTAGCTTCTAATTTAAGCATTGTTGGTTGCTTAGTTTGAGTTTTACACACAAAGGAGTTGGGAAGTTATCTTTCCTTTTCTGGAAAAAGTCAATAAATCATCTATGCCTAATCACTTATGGAGGAAAATTTCCTAAGAATACCATTTGAAAGGGTAAAGGAAAAAGATATCACTTCTGCCCTGTTTCTTCAAGTAGTTCCTAGTAACAAATCCAAGTTGTTCCTGTATCTGGAGTAGGATTTTTTAGGCGATAACTCGTCCACCAAGAAACATTAACTAAGCATACACCAAAACATATCTGCTATGTGAAGCAATGACAAGCTTATTTGCTAGCTAATATTGAATTGGGAACAAAATTAATGACCCTTTACCGTCTAAACTCAATCGCACAGGGACTGAAAAAGATTGCAAATCAACTAAGAGCACCTAAGCTCAAAAATACCTTAATCACTTTGCAGATCAGGATCTCCATCAGCCTACGGATGTTGACATAATCACCCAGCTGTCCCTCACGTAGTATATCAGAAGCAATTGGACTTCCACCATAAGGACTCTGGGCTAATGCCAAGCCTGCAACCTTATCTTTCAAATCAGGCCAATACATAGACAATGCAGCAGCCGCATCTACGCCACCTTTACTGTGCCCAAGAAGCAGGACACGCTTCCTTGATCCCCAATAAATTTCTTCAATGTAGTCTTTTAACTCTTTGGCATTTGTTTCAACTGAAGCCTGAATATCTCACGTCTATTATTGAATGATAAAGGTACTCCAGTGACGCACAAAATGAGTAGCCAAAATGTACCTCGCTGTGAATTTTGGCAATGTGACAAGTGAGACCCATCTTCGAGAAACGCGTTTTGGTACTAACAAAATAGAGTGGACCATGATTGCTGAAAAGACCTATAGAAAAGCAAAAAGTTGATCATATAAGATGCAAATCTGAACCATCCCGAGGACAACTTTCATTTTTGAGATATGATCCAGCAAGTCACAAGCTTGGATGAATTGATGATGACAATCACACTCAACTCAGCACAAAGTGAATCTCAATCTAAATACATTGTACATTCTGCTACCTGGAACCAACAAGTAGACCATCGACTTGGGCAAAAACCGCAAACCATGCCTGACAGAGGGAGGTGCAACCGCTCACAAATTGGTTGGGAGGGGGAAAAAAAAAGAAAGAAAAGAGAAAGGCAAAGAAACTGCAATATTCAACCAAAAGCAGCAACTGTTCACCTGATATCATCGAGTATTTCAATAAACCTTTCAGTTCCATCCTCTACAGGTGGCAAGTCAGGGGCACGCTGCAACCATCCTATGTCATCTGCTGAACCACGAACTGTCTTCTTTACTCGCTCGATAAGACTGAAAAGAGTTTAAAAGAAAAGAAACAGTTTTACAACGTATGAGAACTTTAGGAGATCTGATACCTGAAGAAAATAACCCATGTTCCTAGCAAAATAAGAAAACTCTCCCAGTAACAGTTCTACTTAAAATGAATGATGAAGATTGCAAGGGCTAAAAACTAGTTCCGACCAATAAAAGAAATCCAGTGGGTGCTTCAGCTATTAAGAAACAAAAACACATGCTTTCATGTATGTAAAATAAGACAATACCAAAGATGAATCCTTTATATTTAGTTTCTGGTCTATGTTATCCTTTCTTCTACTGGGACAACCACGTTTAAACAAACAACGAAATGTTCCTCCGAAATATTTCAACCTTCCCACTTCATTCTCTTCTTATCCCAGACGTTTACCAGATTTTAACAAATAGTTCATTGCCAAGTGAGAACAAGGGAACCAGCTAAAATGTCTAGCATTGCAAGTAACAATTCTGCATATCGTGGATAGCAAGTACCCTTGGAAGATTGGTATGCCACTTTGACTAACTTGAGAGGAGTTCACCAGTGCAGTTGATGTTTGGGATGAGGCAGCAACTGTTGTCCTAGCTATCTCCTCATGAACTAATGGGGCAGATCGAGCACCATTAGAGGAATTTGCAAATGATGAAGTACTCCGATGCGAAGAAGAATTTGTAGTTAGTGAAGATCCAGCAGTTTCGCAGGACACAAATGAGACCATTTCTCTTCCACCAGAGTCATCAGGTACAGGTTCTACTGCAACATTGGTTAAAATATATACATATCATTCACTTCCACAACTCGTAGTGCAGTTCAAGTTCAGTGCCACAAAAATAGAAAGCATACACTCATCAATTCATATTTACACCATAGATAACAAAGAGAGACAAAAAATATGATGAGTGTTACCAGTCAATAGCCAAATATCAAGCAGAATAGAGGAAAACCAAGTGAAACCACCAGACTGAAAAACTAATTACTGACATGCTAACTCAACATACCTATATAAACATTCAATTCCAGAGATATCATCTTAATAAACAAGAAGGCTGAGTAATTGAGTCATTAAATAACCAATAACTCCAACCCTTAAGATGCCATCCACAAATTACATTCACCTATGGCTCCTACAGCAGATCCCAAACACAAAAATAACATATGACACTTGTGTTTTTACTGGTGAATTCTTCCGACTAGTAAGAATCTCAGACAGGCCCCTAATAACACATACATGAACTATGGCTACAATTAAAATAATCTTACAGGACACAAAAACTACCTATATCCAAAGGATGACGATTACGTCCATACCTGAGTAATCAGAAAAGCATCGAGTAAATAAAGAAGTTGTCTCTGCTAGATATGAAGCAGCTTCATTAAGAGCTGGTACAGAGGAAAAAAGGGGGGGAACCAACCGATCGCTCCTCATGGCATCACCACTTTCCTGGTAATGACAGATTCCACGGTAAGTTGCATAAAGTAGAGAAATGCATCATAAAACAAGCGCATACAAATCATATACCGCTATGCAAAGCGAGTTAGAAAGTAAGGACAAGAATGAGAGTGAGACAGGTCATTCATCACTACGAAAAACTGTTTACAAAAATAATAAAAGGAGCAGCATCAAAAGGAAAATAGAACGTAAGATCAAACCAGCCAAGCTTAGAAGTCAAGAGTCACATGGTCAAACTGGTTGAACTGGGAGCAAACTAAGGATGCATTAGTAATGATGTCATCCGTTAATTGAGATAATAATTAGTATTTTAAATTTTCAGATGATTCATTGAATAGCAAATACTGAACAGATATTAGGAAAACATGTAGAAAGTCCTTAAGATTACATTTAGTGTCTAGTTGGGTCAGGCGGTCAGCAAAGCGATGCCAATAGACAAAATATATTATTTCCTAAGGCCGCAATACTAGCTAATAATGAACAGACAGCAAGTGCTAGCTGCTAATATCACATACAGAGGCAGACCAGTTCACTTACCAGTAATCGCAATCATGTAAAACAATGATTCACGTTATAACAATGATCAAAGCCACATACACAGAAAAGATAAAGGAATAAGAACTTCACTGAGCAGAACCATCATACATTCCTCAACAACAACAACAACAACAAACATTCAAGAAAATAATTTACTCCCAGCAACGAAAGAACAATATGTATCCACATACAGATACAAATACACCTCACGAAAGGAAAAAATCGGCAAAGGCTACATATAAAAGTTGCCTCAACTTTTTTAAAATGAGAGCTCTCTATTAAACATAGTGTTTGGTTTAAATTACTCACTTCTCTGTATTTACCGTACATAAGAAATACCAAATACTGTGGTAGACGTATGAAATACTCCCTGCAGTCTCTTGCTGTTGATTGAACTAAAACAAATATCCACGTTTCTAATGCCTACAGAGTTAGAACAGACTGGATAAAACAGAAAAAAATTTCCGATACAATAACCTAAAGATATTCAGGGGAGTTTGACACCGAATTTACCTTTTTATCTCTATTCCCAGGCGATTCTAAAACACTTTATCTTTCCACGAATTACAATTAAAAACCAGTCTAGTAAACCAAATTCTATTCAAACGATTTAACTCAATTAAACGCGCCCCGATGTCTATTCCTCAAAAGTCCTCATTTCAAAATAACTTTTAATCCAAAGAATTGCTCTAAAAGTGCAAAACAAACAATAACATGATTTTTCCGATGAGGCGACCAATAAAAAAACCTGAGAACGGAATTCTCTAGAAGAATAGTAATATACTTCCAGAAACTGCTCCGAAGTGATATTCCAATCAATCCAAAATAGGCTAATGGCTAAGTTTCAGTTCTTACGATCATCAATATTCATGCACGCAGAAAAACAACTACGAAGAACAAACATTGATATTGAAGATCAACACCGCCGAGAGAGAAAGGAATGGAGGATTACCACAAAAGGGGTAGAGGTACTAGATTGGGCGCTGCTTTCGTTCCTCGCATCCATAAATCAGAGAGAAATTTCTTCTCTATTTTAAACGCCTGAGAATCACTATATAAATGATAAATCCAGATGAATGAATACAAACAAATTTGGGAAAATGTGAAGTTAAATTCAATAAGGCATCATCGCTAAGTAACAGAAATTCAGATTTGGTCACCTATGTTACGGTGGAGTGTAGCTTATAAACGGTGGGCATATTTATTCAGAATTACCAAAAATACCCTTGCCAGATTGGTCCTTAACTTTGTCTCTTTGCCTTTACTTTGGTTGAAGCTTTTCTTTTTTGTTTCATAATCGTCCTCAAAAAATGGATTTTGTTTCAAATTTGGAAAGTTGGAGTATTGGAAATTTGGACCATAGTATATCTGAAAGCCCGGAAACTTTCTTCTAACAAGTCCCTTCTCCTTAAAACGAAAATCATAGTTTTGGCGGCCAATAACAAAAACTTGAAACAGAATTCGCTAGACAAGAATTACTAATAATGAAAAGTTATAAATCGCCAATGTTTTGCTTATGGACCGCCGATGAAAAATAATAAATGGACTATTTTGTCCTACCTCCATCAGTTTTCGGAGTTAAAACGTTGGTTCTAAGTTTACAACTTTGCAGCTTGCAGTTTCAAAGAGCTCCAATAACAATTAATGTTGTCTAATCTCAAACCGTCACATTGAAATATAGGTCTGATGACAAGTACTACCAACGGTACTTTTATGATGTGCTGATATCGAAAAGTTGTTCACTACGTGATAACTCAAAACCCTCTTCATCTTGCTAAATTGTGGAATATTATGACAGGTATTGAAATCTTTCTACATATCGCAACTCCTAAGAGGAGATTTCGTTTACAGCCCCATATGTGGACGAGGTTTCTAATTGCCTCAAGCATCTAACTGTGAGGACTTGCTAGAGCAATTAAAAGTGTATAATTACAAGAAAATTAAGGACACCAACGGGGTATGTATGTATAAGTTTCAACTTGGCATGGCGAACTTCTGAGGATGTAGTTTGGTCCAGCGAAGAAGCAAAAAGACTAAAAAATTCTCACCTCATGTTTAGTCGTCTTGTCATGTTGAGGAGGCCTTTTTGTCTAATTATTTGTACTATCAAGGGAGGTGAATTATTGAGGGTTATTTAAATGCCTAACACTTGCTTGAGAACTGGAATGGAGGAAGGTGATTGTTGAATTCGACAATATGAGCATTATCACTATGGTCCTAAGGGGGAAGGCCGTGTTTGGTCTTAATGCAGGAATAGTATTCATGATTGTGAAATATTGAAGCGAAATTGAGATGTTGAGATCGAGCATGTGTTTCGAGAAACTAATTTTTTAGTCGATTATATGGCTTCACTAGCAGCACAAGGCCCAGTGACTTACAGTAACTTGATGCTATTCCGCTGGGGGTTAAACTGGTACTGGAGCATGATATAATCACGATAGCATAATCTCATAATATACTAAGTCGATTTTAGGCTTTATACCTCCTTTATTTGTAACACACACACATACACACACATATAGACATAGAGATTGTACTTTGTGGTATACTAGTTATAGTGTCAAGAAGTTCATTTTCCGGTTTTCCACAAATATTGTTTCAAAGTTTTCCATTCCTTTATCCTTTAATACGCTTTCCTTCTTCTCTCACTTTCTTTTGTTTTTTAACGAAAATATATAGTAATGATGAATTTATTGTGGTCTTTTTTCCTTCTTTTATTATTTTTTCAATAGTGATTGTAATCTTTTACTATGATTGTTAGATTTTTTCATCTCCTTTTATTGATAGTTATCTACCACATATGTTATAGACTAGTGATGTCTGGTCGCGCAATGCGCGACCCTGGCCCAGTCTATCTGTAGATCTTAGAAATATTTATATTTGAAAAAAAATAAAATTTTGTATTTGGAGCGATATATTTTAGAAATGTTTGAAGGATTTAGAAATGTTTTATAAGTGTGGTTATAGAAATATTTGTATTTCACAAAAAAAGAAATTGTATTTCGCCATGAATGTTTTAGAAATATTTTATAAGTGTTACTTATTAAATATAAATAGAGTTAATCGAATATATGTGTTGAAATAAATGTTAGACAAAATATAAAAGTATCCTAAGAAGTTTAAATATTAGTAAGATGATTTATTGATGTTCAACATTGGTCGTGCCAAATTAATGCTTAGTTTTGGAGATTTTTAATAGCTTTGTAATAAGTTTCAGTCGAAGGGTATACGCTTAAAATAAAATTGACACTTTGTAACAAAAACCTAATTGATCAATTCAATTTAGACTCCATAATTAAGAAAAGAAAACCACTCTAATTGAATGAAACATCAAGAAAAAATTAAAAAAAAAAAGTGTCACGTAAAGTGCAAAGGGGAATTAGTAATTTAGTTATGGTTAGACAAAAGAGTAATTTAGTACTTTCTTCATGTCACGTGGCAATCATAGGAGGTGTTTGAAAGGAACATCATTCTTTCCTACCCAATACAAAATCATAAAAAAATCATATAAAATACTATACAAAAGTGGGATAAAAAAAAAAGAACTCACCACCATATAAATTAGTGCCATCATGGTGTGTAGCCCTATTGTAAAAAGTGGGATAAATTAGTAGGACTGTATTGCCGGAAATTTTTAACCTCTATATAAAATACTATTACTTCTACTCTAAAAAAAAGAGTGGTCTCTATACAAAATATTATTACTTTCCTTTCGGTCAAACATCAGCCGATGAAAACATTTCTATTTGGACTGTATTCACTTACTGGACCCTAAGCCCAAAATATTACCCAAAATATTCCGGTACTGGAAGAGTTTTTTTTTTTATTTTTTGCCTAACATTGCTATGTGGCGGACCCCACATCACCATTACCGTAATTTCGCCTAACATTGTTGTGACCGTAAAGCGGCGGCAAAGGGCGGAGCTCCGGCAAGTCAAATTTTCTCGAATTCACAGCACTGCTCTCGTCGCCGGTGCTACTGCCACGTGGGTGTTGTTGCTGCATAACACTATTGTCGGTGGCTCCATGAGTATTCACCAAAGTGCCCAAGTACAGAAACTCCAAGCTCGTTTGTGACTGCCTCTGAAGCTTCGGAACTAAGTAATCCATTCCCATACTTGGAAAAGTAACCAAACCGAAAGAAATGAATTGAAAATGGGATTCAATTGAAGAAATCAAAGAAAGCTTATGGATTAAGGTAGGATTCAATTGAATTCTATTACAATAGATGCCTATAGAAGGTTTGTTTCCCATTCTATGTTACAATAGACGGAAAGTGGCGATCTGGGCTCTGGCAAGGGAGAAAATGGTTTGCGACGGAGGTGCCCGAGCAAGGCGGGGTGGTGGTGGAAGCGACGGTTTACCGGCGGTGGACGGGAGCATTTTGATTATGAGAACGTGCAAGATTTTAGAAGAAGAATCGAAAATGAAATGGGCTAAAGAGCAATCTCATCAGTTATGAAATAAGAAGTAATATAATTTACTCTTCTGTACTGTAACGGAGGAGTAGGAATTTGAAAGAGGGAAAAAAACAGAAGAGCACGTGGTGTGCATTCTGGAGGGTATTATGGAAATCTATTAATTTATTAATACCAATTAATGGCAATTAATGAGGTGGAAATGCCACGTGGCAATTGAAAGGGAGCTCTTTCAAGTGTGGTTTTTGTTTCTTATATAGTAAGATATACTTCACTTCCTCTCATTTTCTATTCTTTATTACGGGTGTTAACTTTCATCTTCCTTTCTCTTTAGTTCTTTACTATAAGTGTTATGTTTTTTTTTTGTTTCTTTTTTTTTTTTCATCTCTTACTACCCCCGTCCCAAAAAAATAGTCTACATTGAGTTTTCAAATTTGTACTAAAAATAGTACAAAACTCAAAACTCAATTTTTGTGGGACGGAGAGAGTATCATCTTTTATTACAATTGTTTCATCTCGTTGGATTTTTTTTCCGTATGCTCAATACTTTTTGCTTAAAATTATATAAGAATCACATGTTTAATTTATCCTTTATGTTGGATTTCTCTCTTCTCTTTTTCTTTATTTATCTCGTCCACTAATGCTCTCTCTTTTTTCTTTTTTTGCAAGTTCTTTTTTTAACCTTATTTTTTTAATAACAACTCGATTGACGCTTAAAAATCAATTCGAGAAGAAGTAGGATAATCCTTAATTCTTGGCTAATCAGATAAATCTAAGATGACTTGAAAGATCCAAAAACTATGAATAAGGATTCTAATGCGAAAATTTCAAAAAAGAAAAGAACAAAAAAGAAAAGAAAAAATTTGATAGGTATGAATGTCTTCTCAATATGAGGGTAAGAGGTCTTTTATACTTTACAATTTGTAAGGGATAATTTCTTAAATTTTTATTGTCTCTTACCCTAAAAATTTCTGAACTATAGATCTCTTTTGTATAAAGATTTCAAGTAATAAAATTTATAGGTGTGAAAGTCAAATTAGTTTGTTGTAAAGAATAAAAAAAATAAACATTTTTTAAACCATTTCAGGCCGGATTCAACAATTGGTGATTAAAGGTTTATCTTTAGGCATGGTCAATCAAGGACCTTCACTCAAACCAATTATCTCATCTCCAATTATTTCCCAATCAAAATACTAAGTAGCCAAACCTAATGCAAACCCAACCATCTGTATTGTTGAATTTTCCCCAGGACAATCTCTTCTTCTGGTACTAAAAGGCATCCATTTGCAACCATTCTTTGTACCTTCAACACTTTCAAATCTCTCTGGCTTAAACTATTTAGGATCTTCCCAAAGTTTAGGATCGTTCTGAATAACCCACAAGTTCACAAACAACATCGTATTCTTTGAGACTCTATAACCTCCAACCGTACAGTCTTCTCAAGATTGGTGAGGTACTAACAAAGAGCCTACCGGGAACATTCTTAGCGTTTCATATATAATGCAGTGTGAATAATGTAGATTAGCAACATCTGAGTCGTCTAACAAATGCTCTGTTCTACAACTTTGTCAATTTTCTCATGTGCGGTCTTGAAAGTTGATGGATGGTTTATCAACAAAGACAATGCCCACTCCAATATCCCCATTGATGTGTCTATTCCAGCAGATAAAAGAACTAGAAATACAAGTTTAAGGATGAACAAACAATTAGTTCCAAATCCAAAAACTAAATTATAGTTTTGCATATTTTATTAATGCAACCTTATTCAAACCTAATAGCTTTCATGCTTTTGCTTCTAAAGTCAATCAACTTATGTTTGGGTTTCCTTTTTTTTTAGTAAAAGAATGTTGTTTCTTTTTTCTTTTTTTTCCCTAAACCAAATGCGAAGACTCCGAAGATAGATTAGTCTTAGTGAACATTGTTCCATTCAGACTTCACACCATGTGATGATAACTTTGACTATATTCTTACTATTATCAAAATCCTTAGTTACAAGTTACAATTTACAACTATAAGTTCAACGATATATATTATTTATGTTACTATATGTCATTTATTTTTAAGAATATTACACCATCATTTTTTGTTACTTTATTGCAACGATGGATGAAAAGATCACGTGCAAATTAAAGAAATCAGAAAAATCCACTCGTAATCATGTAAATCAACCCTTAATCTTTGTCACAATTCTATGTACAATTTATACAGATGAGTCCAAAGGTTATATGATCTAAGTTTGGTATAAATAGATGACAATGATCTCCTATTGAATTCTTGGAGAAATTTCGGCGATTCCGTAATTTGAATTTAAAGATGAATCTTTCAGTATCTTCTTCTTTAATGAAAATGGATTTGTACCGTTGTGATTAATGAGAGAATCACATTCATCATGGTCACTGATTGAGACATTCTTGTGGCTACCATCATCAGACTTTCTTTCCTTAACACAAATCACGTGCAAATCACAAGCAAATATAAATGACCTAACATTGAATGATTGATATTGTTATTCTTGTGTCCTATTGAAAAATATTTATAGCTCCGCCGCTGGATTTTATGCTAACCTAGTTCATATTTTTTACATACTTAAGTACATCATGTTGTCTGGGAGAGAAATTATTCCATGCAATGGTTGCACCACATCAGCACCCATGATGTGGTGCAACAACCAATCCCATGATGATACATCTAAATCTTTAACACCCATGATGCAGCGGTGGGCGGTCCGGCGGCGGCGTCGGTGGTGGAGGTGATCCGGTAGTGGTCTAAAAATATTATTATTTTATTTAAAATATTACCCAAATAATTTTTTAAATTTTATCTCAAACCACATTTTAAATCACATCTCAAACTCAAATAAAAAATTAAAATAAAAAACTAAAACAAAATGTTGGCCAAACAAACTCCAAGTAATGCGGCGTATAAAAGCGTGGAGTATAGGGTGATAGTGAATAACGATAGAGAACGATTGTCACTTGCCTTCTTCCACAACCCAAAGAGCGATTTGCTGATGAGACCAGCAAAGGAGCTGGTCATACCACACTAACCGGCACTCTATCCAGCTGTGACTTTTGATGAGTATCGACTTTATGTAGGACCAAAGGGCAAATCTCAAGTGTCGAAGTTTCGAAATTCCCCAAGATAACATCCCCCAATTATGACTGTACTAATTAATTTTTTTTTATCATGTTAAAAACAAAAACGTTGTATATTTAGTTGGACTTTACTAAATACGATTAAAGCTCAATTATCGCTGCACCATTTGAGTTCTAGAAATTGCAAGACCAGAGAAATTTGAGAGTTTATGGAGAGATCATTCAAGTCATTGAAGAGTACTTTTGTTAGTTTTTTCATATCTAAATTTGTAATACTACACAATTAAATTTCAACAATATTATACTACGTATTATTATGTACGACATTTTCTCCTCTTCTTTTTCTAAATTACTATCCTTTTATTACAACATATAATCATCAATAAAGGATAGCGAAGAAAAATGAATTACATTGACAATTTTTTCTTATTCCATATACAAAACGAAACGTGCTCATGGAATTGAGACATAAGCAGTAAATTAAATGGTCTTGCTACATCAAATTCAATCCGTTACAATGTAAATAAATGTGAACAGTATAAATATTAGCACACAGAGTGTATAAAATTTACAGTAAATAATTAAATTGTTGCAACAAGAACATAAACCTATGATAAAGGATCTACATCTTGATGAAGGATCAGGTGTTCGATTGTAACTAAGATTGAGAATCTCCTTAAATGTGGTTTTGCAGCCCCTCCGTTCATCTTGAAGCCCTTTGGCAAAACCAGCTCCCATTCCTGCGCAGTTCTGCTCAAACGTTTTTGAACACCAAAAAGCCCACTAATTATTTCAATACAAAATGGCGAGCCTTCGCATTTGCTCACAATATGGTGTGCAAGTGCAACAATCCATGAATTGGCTGGACAATGACCGCCTTCAAATGTCACGCGACAAAACCAGAGTCCACGACTCATCAAAAGTCCAAGTCTGCATTCCATGAACTACGTCCTTTGCTGTTTTCACATTCATAAGATATGTATACACTACGCGGGTTGAAGACATCAAACCTAGGCATTTATGGGCAGTCTCGCCCGAGGGCTGTTTTAATTAAATGTACTAAACATTTGTTTTCTTGATTGTACCAAAAAAAAAAAAAAAACATCAATCTTAAAACTTAAAAGACAGCATAATAAGAGTAGTTATTTGGTTAACATACCACGGAGATCGTGAAAATTACTTAAGGCCATTCTTAGTTTAATCTTTAATTGGTCAATAAGCAGAAGTTTTGGTTATCAAATCATTGGAAGTAATGCTTCATTTCTAGGTTGAAGAAGCAAACCCATAGTTAGTTGCTAATTTAATTGGATTAATAGCAGAAATTCATTCCATCAGAATAACTACAGCAAATTAATTAATCCAAATAATATCAGCAAATTAGTACAAGAAAAAAAAAGTTTGGTTTGGGGAGATGAAGTAGATGTTAAACACTCCAATTAAATTATGCATAACTCTATTAACTTGATTGAAACACTGGTAAAACACGGGTTGATCAAGTTTCACAAGTTACATTCAACACTCCCGTCTACAGGGCACACCTACATGGAAGTCAAGTTAACGATCATTTTAACACTATACTTCTAACCATATGAAAAACATATTTCTATTTACACCTATAATTTATTTCAACCAAATTATTCCCTTCGTCCTATTTTAATGATCTATTTTGTTGGACAATTTTAGTTCAACAATGTAAAACATCAAAATGAGACAGAGATGGTAAATGTGTTGTTCACATGTATATACATATCATAGTCCCGCTCATCTGAACCCAGAAGACTGAAGGCCATTCTTAGTTTAATCTTTAAGATTTCCTTGCAATGCCAAAGTTCCGCTGAAAACTACGCGCTGTACGTTGCCTAGATGTGATACCAGGAATGAATTATGAGGTGCAACTGTGCAACCATAGATAATCAATTTCTCAGAGAACTGAAATTACATGAGGTTTATAGGATTTATTGGTACTAATTATAGTCTAGCAGAATTAATTTGATCTAAAAGCACAAAAGAACACCATTGCTTGATGTCAGAACAACATATTAATAAATACTTTAGCGTGACGAAATCAAACCTAAGAAGAGAGAGAAAAAAAAAAAAAGAAGTGAGACTTGGAGCAAAAACTAGAATGAAAACGGAAAAATATGTGTATATAACTTTATTGGCATTGATTCATTTCATCACCTGACCAAGAACACAAATAAAACCACATATAGCTAGTCTAGCAACTTTAAGTTTGATCTAAAAAAGACAAAAGAAACCCATTACTACAAGTATATGATGTGAAATCAACATATTTTTGAAATTACAGACTTCGAATTAGAATTCCTTCAAAGGTAATCCCGGGACCAAATGCCAATGCAAGTCCCCATTCTTCAGCATCCTCCCTCTTCAAATGCTCCCTCATGTATTCCATCACATAAAATATGGTGTTGCTGCTGACATTTCCGAAATCCATCAGAGCCCTCCTGCTGCATTCTAGCTTATCATTCGTCAAATTCAGGGTGTTTTCGAGCCGGTTAAGAATCGCGGGTCCGCCAGGATGAACAGCCCAGAACAAGTCATTGAAGTCCTTTAAATCAGGTACTTTAGACATGAGCTTCAAGCAGAATGTCTCAATGTTGTCCTCAATCTTTTGGGGGAGATCTCTGCCAAGCCTGAAATTTATACCCTCTTCAGAAAGGCGGCCATCGATCACGCTGTTGGTCCCTGGCAAGAATTGTTGAACTGCGTAGTTTAATTCCATGAAAGGGGATTCTTTCCCCTGAATTGGATCAACACCAATGATGACTGCAGCAGCTCCATCGCCGAAAAGTGCAGCGCCAACAAGATCATAAGGGCGATCCTTATTCGGGGGCCGGAATCCAAGAATGGTAGTCTCGGAAGTTGTCAAAAGCACTCTGCTTCCTGGATTGTTTTCAGCAATGTCTTTTGCAACCCTGAGGCCTGTCACACCTCCATAGCATCCCAGGAAATACAGCATTACGCGGCCAACGTTGCTGTTCAGGCCGAGTTCAGTCGCGAGGTAAAGATCGCCTCCAGGCAAGCGAATCTCGCTTGAAGAAACGTAGACAATGTGGGTGATATCTTCAACAGGCCTTCCCCATTCTTTGATGCAAGCGAGACTCGCTTCTTTCGCCATCTCCACCACAGCTGGATTCGCGATCTCGAGCTTTTGCTTGATGGTTGGTGTCCCTTCTGTGGCAATTTCAGGATATTGGTCCAAGATCTCCTTCGACATCACAGTGTATCTGGTCTTCACTGTTGTCGTTTTGCCTAATCAAAAGAAAACAGAACAGAACAAACAAGCAATAAATATTGAAAAGGTTGAATTGTTTAGTCCAGAATTGCTATTCCACAAGAAAAAGAAAAAAAAATAAAAGCCGAAATGAAGGTAAGATTGTTTTGGCTTACAGAGGCGCTCCAGTTTCTCCTTGATGGCGGAATCCACGCATTTCGTGTCGCGAATATAGCCTTCAACCAAACAGTCCTGAGGAACAACTTGTTTAGGGAATGCCTTGCCAATGGAAAGAATTGTTGCTTTTCCTGGATTTGGGACACGCCTGGAAGCACCATTGTTGTTGTTGGTGGTGGTGAACTGTGACATGGCTAATTAAGGCTTAATTTGAGCTGCAGCAAACTAAAGAAGCAGTTTGGATTCTGATAGCAACTTAGGAATGTGTTCATAGAAACAGTGCTTATAAATCCACAGCTTTTCTGCTTCTTGGAGAAGGGTTGGTGTTCAAGTGCAGCAGCATGACTAATTTTGTAATCCAAAATTTGGTTTTGGTGGATGAATTTTATAGTGTTACTGGACTGGAAGTGTGAATTTTTTTGGCTTTTGGTTAGATGGAAGATCTTTTTACATTCTCTAAAATCTTAATTGCAACCATAATTGAGGAAGTCTGACATGCATGAACATCTTTTGTACCGGCAAACAATTTTAATTCTCTAAAACTGAAAAGAAAAGGAAGTAAGGTTTTATGAGTTTCAGTTCTTAATCTTATTTTTGTGACTTTCATTATTGCGACATAATATAGCATATTAAAAGGAAATAAGGCACAACAAGAACATGAAATGGTGTGTATTGCCTAGTACTGTTTGTGTGAAATATGTAAGACCTAAAGGCATTCTAGAAGTTGAATAACGTACCATCATTCGCACCTTAGAGTTAAGTTAGACAGCGTAAAAACTTCATAATTGTGGATACTCCCGACTGCGGAACAAGAGTCTTATCTGATGTATCAATTAAATTTAATATAGGCGGTTTTTTTTTTTTTTTGGTTCCTTGGTGAGGAACAGAAATATATAAATTATTGTTTTGTTTTTCTCTTAATACAATGAAGGAGCACACTCGTAAAAAATCTCACCTCATCCTAAACCAAGTTCAATAATCACTTTAATCTGCGAAAGGTCGATTTAGAGTATTATTGCCAATTTGCCATATCCATCTCATCCTATTGTTATTGTCGTCGATAAGCAGATAATCTTCTTGAACCGTTGACGTAGAACTTCAAATGAATGCTCTCAACTCTCAAGTCTAAACTTGGGTTTGGTGTCTTTTTTTGCCAATGAATTCAAACGAGGAAGGAATACCAACTGTAGCGAAGTTAGTTATCAATAGCGGAGCTAGAACTCTATGGTTGCAGTGGTAAAATGACCAAAATTTTATTTTGTAGGAGCGAAAACAATAAAAAGTTTTTATGTACACTAAAAATTTTTTATGGATAGGAATGCATAATGTATACTCTAGTGTGTTTTGAAATGATTGTTCGGCCTGACTTTTTCAATTAATATTTTTTTTTTCTTGAGAACAAAAGGTAAGTAGAAATATTTGATTTTGGGTACGACAAATTAATTGAGCTAGCTTATTACTAGTACATCAAACCAACAAAAGTTACGGGGACGTCAAAAGCCTGAAGAGAAGACAGCAAGATTCAAGACAAATTAATTATTATGCTTTGAATCCACAGCGGCTACAATAGTAGCATCACCATTTTTCGTCCATCTGTATGACCCCTTTAACGAATGGAAAAGGATTAGAAGTTGAAACTGAAAATCATATTGATCTGATATAATAACCATAGGCTATAACGTAAAGAAATTTTTACCATGTGGGTACAATTCGTCCTCACACATGTACCAATATGTTGGGAAAAAAATTTTCAAAGGCATCAAGAAACAAAAATAAACAAATGAGGGTGGCAGCATAAATAATAATTTCCCTTAATACTAGTAGTTATTGTTAACAAAATATAAAATGATCTACATTAATCAATGACTCAAGAACCGAGACACATGCTGCTTCCTTCTACCCTTGGGTCGTGTTCACAAAAATAAGCAGTCGGTGTCGGCGGAGCAACACAAAATCGCGGGGACGAATTGGGATGGGCTGCACAGCAAATTGCCTGAGACTCCGGGTGAAGTGATCCTCGTGTAGTTTTTTATTTATATTTTTGGTAATGAGATGAACGAATTGGACTGGGAACAAACGACATATTCTTCTTTTAACTTTCTCTGATTTTATCGCAATTTCTTTCAATGATTTCATCAAGAAGGCAGATAAACTGTAATTTTGTTGGCGTTTTTTGATGTCACATTAATTCTTCAAAGCAAAAAAAAAAAAAAAATAATTAATTAATCAATCCTTAAGGTTACACTGAATGCTAAAAATTATTTTGTTGGATATTTCTAATTGGTAATCAATCCTTAAGGTTGCACTAAATGCCAAAAATTATTGTGATAAACATAATTAGTTTTTATTTTGAATACTAATTTATGTAATAATTTATTTTGTTCAACTAAAACGGTATAAAAAAAAAAGTTATTTTTATTAGGACGGAAGGAGTCTTATTAATGGTTCTAAAAATTGCCAGCAGGCCTTTACATTTTTATTCTTATTTAGATTTTTTTTTTGGTATATTACGCACTCGGTGTCCGAAGACATTGCTTCGACTAATTCGGATTCGAGCCGGATAGGTCCCTTACATTGTTAATTGGAAAAAAAAATACTATGTAAATGAAACTTATGAGAAATTAAAATGCCTTTTGATAAGAATAAAAGCAAGTAATTATTTATATTCCCGGCCTCCAAAACAAGAGTCTTACTTGATGTACCGATTTAATTCAATATAGGCGGGCTTTTTTTCCCCTTGTTGGAAATATATAAGTTATTGTGTTCCTTTTCTCTTGGTACAAATGAAAGAGCAGCCTCATAATTAAGTTCTCACTCCGTTTTAAACGAAATTCGATCACTAAACTTCTGAAAGGTAAGTTTAGAGTTTTATCACCATTTTAGAATCACATTATAACTTTATTGTGTTTAGTTGTCAATAAGTGATAAGCATATAGAATCTCCTTGAACAGTAGTCATAGCAAAAATCCAAACTTCAAACGAATGCTCTCAACTTTATGTTAATTGAATATCCTAGTAGGTATGAGCTAACGAAGATGCAGCCAAAATGCTGAGAATCATTCTAGCTAGCATTCTGGTGGTGGCAAAAGGCATCTATTCTTCGAACCCCCTTTTCTTGAAAATGTACACCATCAATAATAATGATCAATCTCCTAATTAAATAATTGATGACAGGTACCAAAAGATTTGAATTTCATATAACGCATTTCTAGAATATAAAAATCCAATCTTAAAAAAAAAAAAAAAAAAAAAAAACCTCGCATATGTCATTATAGGGAGTAGGTATACATGCATGAACAAATGAATGCAGCCAATGAGAGAATCATTTCAATCAGAGCAAAAATGCATTCTACAAATGTTGCCTCGAAATGATTTATAAAACTCTCTAATTGGTTGAAGTTAATATCCAGTTGATGTAATTAGTTTCATCATACATTTTTGCATCACAATGGATCACCAAAATGCTAGCAAACTCCCAGTCATAAACCTTTCAAAAGAAAACTTGAAGCATTCAACCTGCAAACAAGTCCGCAATGCCCTTGAAGAATACGGCTGCTTTATCGCGGTGTATGACAAAACTCCATTAATATTCTTGGAGCTGCGAGACTCGATTTTTTTTATAGCTGATCAACTGTTTCAACTCCCTTTAGAAACTAAAGCCAAAAATACTTCAAAGACGCCGTTTTTCGGGTACTTGGGAGATCTCCAAGGTGTTGTTCAACTTTATGAAAGCTTGGGCATTGAAGATGCAACTAGTCTCCAACAGATCAAAAGCTTTTGTGAGCTCATGTGGCCTGATAGAAATGAAGAATTTTGGTAAATACATGATTTTACTTAATTTGATGAATAGTATCATTTTCGAATAGTAAATGTAGAGTGGCCCTTATGGGAATTTTCTTTGTTGAAATTTGCAGTGAGATCATTCATCAATATGCAAATCTACTAGCAGAATTGGAGAAAATGGTGGTTAGAATGGTTTTTGAAGGCTATGGGTTAAAGGAACTGTGTGAATCTCACATAAATTCCACCACATTCTTACTTCGATTAAACTCTTATAGAGTGCGACAACCAAAGGAGAAAATCATTGGTGCTACAGCTCATACAGACAAGAGCTTCTTAACAATCCTTGACCAAGACCAAGTCAATGGTTTGGAGGTCAAATTGAAGGACCAACAGTGGCATGCCGTTGATTTCCTGCCTTCATCGTTCGTCGTCATGGCTGGCGAAGCATTGCGAGTAAGTTGCAGTACTCTTCTCGTCCCAGAATGATATTCGACGATATCCTGTAACTTAATTATATTGATTAATATCACGTTAATTATGACATTATTATTACTACTTTGTCACAGGCATGGAGCAACAACAGAATACAATCACCTGTTCACCAAGTCACAATGAATGGGAAGAATATTTCAAGATTCTCAATTGGCATATTTTCTTACCACAATGGGATAATACACATACCTACCGAAATGATTGACGAGGAACAGTTCCCTCGACGTTTCAAGTCGTTTGATCATCTTGGTTTTGTGGCTTTCTTTGCCAATGATTTCAAACTGGGAAGAAATTCCAATTGTAGCATTGTTAGTTATTGTGGTGTTTGATTCCCCCTACCTATATGATGACTCGGAAGCCTAATTATGACTTGGAGGTTCATCTACGTGCTTTCCTTTCCAATTCGTGGCTCGCCAAAAGATATTGATTTTTTGGCCTTGTATTAATATATTGATGAAAAAGTTTATCATTCTTCGGGTTATCGTATATATCAATCAATTTCGTTAATTTTCCATATCGTTTTCAATTTTGGTTTAATTTTAACCTAAAAACACCAGATAATTTGATAACCTCTTTATTTAGATAAATTAACCGTAAAATTTCATCTTCAAATAACTATTTAGTCCATCTAATAAAAAACTTTTATTACTCCTACTTCGAATCATATTAAGTCCACTTTGGAATTGTTCCTTTCAACATAATAGTCCGAAAAACTTCTTAGTATACCACACAAGACCAAATTTCATCTCACAATATTGAGTCCATTTTATCGAAAACTAGAGTCATTTTTATCTATCCCCCACCTACGGGAACCAAAACGGCCATTCAAAATTTCGTTTAATTAGCCTCTGTAGCCTGTATTATATTATAAAATACTAGATAGATAATGGCAAAAATTATGACTAACAGATGAAAAGGACTTTGAGAAGCTAAATGACTTTGTTTCAAGGAGAAATCTGGATTATGGGCAGTAGATGGTAAATAATTAATAAAGAGGGTAGTACTCTTGAATAATTTATATTAGAGGCATAAAAATTGAATGATACAAACATGACTCTAACTCTTGAAATAAAATTTTTTTTTATTTGATTTTTTAACACATAAATTAAAATCTATTTCCAATGTGTGTAATGATAATATTTTAAAATTAATATAGTACATGATGAAATAATATAAATATGTTGACTTTGAAAATAAAGGTTAATGGTACCTATTTCTAACCGGAGATTGTTTTTTCTCTGTACAATTTTAATTTTTATAAGTAAACCATTTCCCCCCTTCACATGAACCGAATTGAAATTATATAAATTATTTTTCCAAAACCTTGTACTTAAATGAGCCGTGCAACCCATTTTACAAGAGTTAAATTAATTACATTTATTTCGTATTAATGAAATTTTAAATTTAAAAATATCAAAACTTTTGTATATCTAAGACTTTTTTTTTTGGCAACAACCACTTTCGTATTGTTATATTGATTAGGCTTACGTAAAAAAAAATTAAATAAACTTTCAAATTATTCAAATTGATACAAATAATTTTTCTTTTTTTAAACAAAGATAAAGTCATGTTTGTGTGGTTGAATTGTTGCATCCCTAATATAAATTATTCAAAAGTACTACCCTCTTTATTAATTATTTACCCTCCACTGCACTCATCCAAATTTTCCCTGTTTCAACTTCCGAAGGTTAAAATAGATCCAATATATTTATTAATTAATGACCAAGAAACTGATCAGATTAATTTGAAGGTAGTTCTTGACCCCAAAAAACTGGACAGCTAAGAGAATTGTCATATCGATTATTTTTCTTTTTTAACGAAAGAGAGGTTATGCCCACGGTATATACGCAACCTTTTGAAGTTTTTTTTTTTTAAAAAAAAAAAGTTACATCCAAAAACCGTACATCCCTGACTTTATTAATTTAAAAGAAAAATTACAAAAAAGAGGTTGTGTCTGATGTAACATAATCTTTTAGAAGGTATACTTTTTAACAAAGGAGAGGTTGTGCCCTGTACACAACCTCTTAAATATTTTTATTAAAAAATTGAGGTTTTGCACACTGTACGTGTACATAACTCTTAGAAGATGTATTTTTATTTTTTAAAATATATCATTAAAATCATTTTCTTCGTGCTAGGGATACATTAATGCTGATGCAAAGAAGTTTTCAAGCTCACATGTGGGCAAAATTTCGATTATATAATAAGTTCTCTATACTTATGTTTCAAAATAATTATTCAATTTAGATTTTTATTCTTAATATAGTTGGTACTAAATTTGAAATCCAAATTGAATTAATGTTTTTCAGAACGGGAGGGAGTAATAATATGGATTCCATGGGAGAGCGTCCATGACTCTAAATTCAAAATAAGTCGATAGTACGTGCTAGCTAGAGGCAAACCAATTATGCATATAATTAATTTGGCTTTTAATAAAAAATTATTTAGTTTTATCGACTTTTATGATACCTAGCAGGATACCTCGATCGTGATTTATGTACTATGCGGAGCCTGATTCGCCAATGCAACGTACTCGTTGATCCCCATTTGCAAAGTGAAAATGAGGTTAAGGATGTGAAACTCTTGTCAAAACGCTGAATCGGGAAAGTTAAATACTATTTAATTTACTAACCAATGCCTTTGATCAGCCAATAAATTAAAAAGCGCATCATATGTATTGCTTAATTGCTATATCGGGATACCCTTGTCAATGTCGATCTCTCATTGACTTGGTGCATTGTAAACCCCCACGCAGTCTAGTGTCCCTCTTTGCAAGAGAAAATGATACTATTATGGATTTCGATTTTATTTTTATTTTTATTAATGGATTTCGATATCAAAGCCAAATGGCAAGTAAACTTTGGAACGAGATTTCCAATTTTACGGACTCGTAGTTAAAAACGATTTCAAAATCATCTTCAACCATGTTTCTAGAGATATCAGCTTATAATATGTTTCTAGAGATACTCTTCAGTTCAATTTGTAAGGCAAAAAATCAAAATTAACCTAATTTTAGTTGGACGGGAGAAATTTCGTAATTAAATAATCTGCAAATCACATCATGATGCGACCTATTTTTTTATGGGACCATGGAGATTTGGGAGAGCGAATTTAATCAACTTGGATTTATTGTGGATGGTCCTGCATCTGCCCAGGAACTAGTTGATCTAGGTCGCTGCCCCACGAATCGATCGGATTTGCGTCGTTTTATCTTTGAAGTCAATCAAATGGTTATTAATTAAGGGGGAAAAAAGTATTGCTTGCTAATTGATCAATCAAACTTTGCCCTTGCAATTATTGTAAGCAAGCTGAATACCGATCTTGATCTTTTCGTCTTTTATGTTTTTTAACACGCATGCATACGTTCAAATCCAGACAAGTGTATGTAGAACTGTACGGTAAAAAGTTGCAGTAAAATCCAACTCGCACTTCCTATATATTCCATCTATTTTAAAATAATTATCAGGTTTGTTTTACTATATATACAAGTTAACTAGATACAGTAAGATTCATGTAATAAGGCTGACGTGTTAGTTCTTGATTTGTTTTATAAAGGCCTAGAAGTCTCTACACCACACTCATGATCAAGTCATCCTTAGACTCCATTAAGTCACAAAATTATTCTTTAAAAAATAATAATGAATCAGACTATAGCTCAACGTAGATTAGGGTTGTGGGTCTTATGAAATAATATTTGAATAGAAAAATGGCCAATTTGCAATTCTCTTCTTCAACTTGGATTAATGGTTGGGACCAGTCGTTCCATTTACCTCAAAAATGATAAATGAGATATCGTTATATTGAGTTGTTTCCTTACAAGAGGCAAATTAAGTAAGTGTTCATTGCCTTTATAAGAGCATTCATAGCCCATAAACAATTGTCAAGAACAAAAAAAAAAAGAATACACTTAAAAAGCTAACTAAAACCCTATGGCATCGCAAACACTTTCCAGCATTCCCATTGTAGATTTGAGCAAGCAAATGATCCCAGGAACACCTTCATGGCTTGAAACATGTGCTAAAGTCCGCCATGCTCTTGAAGAATATGGCTGCTTTGTGGCATTATCTGATCAAGTCACCTCGAAACTCAACAAGGAAACCTTTGATGCAGTCAAAGAATTGTTTGATCTTCCATTAGAAACCAAGTTGAAGAACACTAGCGATATTCTCTTCAATGGCTACGTTGGACAACTACCTCATGCTCCTCTTCACGAAAGCACCGGAATCCCTAATGCAACAACTATTGAAGGAGTTGAAAGTTTTACCCATCTCATGTGGCCCTCCGGAAATGCCAAATTCAGGTACATGCAATATGTATTTTTTTGGAAAATCTCATTTGTCTTAATTTTGTAAACTACTAAGTAAGTCACAAAATATGTAAAGCAACTACGAAAAATTTACATGATTTCGTCAATATTACCTACATCCACAGATAAAAAAGGCAAGCGATTCTCCAAGCCAATATGTACACTCAATGATAATTTTAAATTTTTTTTTTTTTGAAACGGCACCTGTATATTAATTTGAAGTACCTACACTATTACATTGTAGTGTATTTCCATACTCTTTCAATTAATTAATGTAGATTTATTAACATTTTTTATATTCTTTTTTTTTTTTTGTACTTTTAGCAATGCTATAATATCCTACTCTAAGATGGTTGCAAATCTAGAGAATTTGGTGGACAAGATGGTGTTTGAGAGCTATGGGGCAGGGAAGCATTTTGAGAAGCATATGGAGACAACAACTTACCTTCTTCGACCCATAAGATATACGCCTTTCCAAGAAGGATTGGAGAATGGGGAGATTGGTTCTAATGTTCATACTGACAAGGGCTTCCTTGCTATACTTAATCAGACTCAAGTCAACGCATTGAAAGTTGAAACCAGAGATGGAAAATGGATTGATGTTGATTTTCCACCAGAATCATTTGTCGTTATGGCTGGGGATGCTTATGAGGTAATGCTCAATTTTGTGCCTGGTTCATTGAGTTCAATTTATTTGGTTTACTTGATTCGGAAGTCTTTCCTCTTTTGGCAAATAAGTTCTAGCTGTTATATGTCCCTCTTGTTCGTGTGTTGATTGTGTTTTATTAATAATCTGATACAATTTAAGTAACCCTACAAATTATGTATTTTAGGTTAGGACACGAAGTTGTTACAAAAATAATGCAACACTGTAATTTTATTAATGAGACATAATTATAACTGTCTGGTGAAAAACTTAAAAATGTCCGAAATTTTTTACATTTTCTCATTTTCTACTTAAATTTGGGATGCACGTACTATAAACTTTGTGAGTTGATTCTCTCCCTTTTAGCTCTTGATGTATATCATGAACACTCTCAGGCATGGAGCAATGGTAGAATTCTCTCTACGAAACATCAAGTGATCATGAATGGGGATAAGCCGAGGTACTGTTTGGCTATGTTTACATTGAATGAGGGGACAATTGAAATACCAGAAGAGCTGGTGGATGAAGATCACCCTTTGCAATATAAGCCATTTGAGAACATGGGATTAGTTCATTTCTACTTGGGTGGTACATCTGACATGACTGGAAGCACTGCTAAAACCTATTGTGGTATCACTACTCAAAATAAGTAATCAAGCAAAATCGTCATGCAGTGATTTCAGAATTTTCTTATGAATCCATCGTAAATTAATTATTTGTTATTTAGTGTTGATCAGTCTGGTATGATATATGTAATATTATTAAGATAAGACTGGTGTTAATATATTTTCATGTAAACGATTATAAATAAAAATGTGTTTGCAGTATTCCCTTGTCTCGTGGATCCAAAATTGGATTTTATTACAGTTGAAGCAAGAATTGCAGGTTCGAAGGTTGGAGGAATTAGAATCAGAAGATCCAGCTTGACGTTTTGTTCTTGATGTTTTGGTCAGGGACCAGTTTTATGTTTTCTGTAACTTTAGAGACTTATTTGTAATAAGTGAGGTGGTTATTCTATATAGGTATAAATATGGTTAACCGTCTGTATAATTCAAGAAATGCAATACATTCATTTTTCTCCCTTTTCCTCTTTCCCAATTCTGATCATATTTCATGGCTTCCATACAAGAAACCCTATGTAGCTTTTGAGATTTGCGCGTCATGATTGAGCCCGTACTTTTTTGTTCAAAAATCATCCAAATTTTTTTATGAAAATATTAATTATGTTCAATAGCTTTAACAAAAAATTGAAAAAAATAAATAAATGGACCTTTGTGTTTGTAGGCCAAATTAAATGGATGGTCCCTTAAATGGGAGCACGCTCAGAAATAAGTTTTGTGTAATTGACAAAAAATGTAAATTAAAAACGAAAGATGAAACTGACTAGATTCCAATTCATGGAATCGTTTACGTTCAGAAAATTGGGAGGGAGCGGAGGGTATCAAATTTCAATCTTCGTGTTCGTTTTCTTTTTTTTTTCTTTTAAAAAAAATAGAATATTGAATGCCTAAATCATTAAATTAAGTTTACCAAGACAATTGCAATATATATAAAATGCCAATAAAAATGTTCTTGAACCAAATGTTAATCACCAACGGAGGATTATATCATCACCAAAATCAGTAACAACTAAAGATATGCTAAATATATTCCATCGAAAATTTGGAGTTGTAAATACATATATCGATCTCACGTCTAAACCCAAAAATATATAGTTGAAGCAATTTCCGAATAGCAGCCCCCCAACACCATTTCCACGCTCTGGTATTATTGAGTGTATTTTTTTTTTATAGAAAAAACATACTTTCATTAACAATTAATTATTGAAAATGGTCTAGGACCCATTGAGAGACAAAGTTTGGAGTTTCACTGCATAAAGTTTCAATTTGTTATGCTTCTTCCATTCCAAAATTATTGTTCGGTTTAGATTTCTATTTTTAGTTCAAATTCTACTAAAACTAAAAAATCTATACTAGATTATAATTTTGGGACAGATGAAATAGTAAAATATTACTTTCTCGTATTACAATAATTCATTTCTTCAAAACAAAACAATATAATAAAGTAGAGTTCTTTTTTTTTTAGGGGTGGACGGGGTAATATATTAATTTTTTTGGTTATGATCCTTAATTTCATTGAGAAAAATTATGTCATCCACGAGTACATGGAATGATGCAAAAATTCCAAGGACTGCTAAATGAATGGGCATTGTAATTTTATAATTTAAATTATTGACTGAGCTATTCAATTACAATTATCATCAACGTCTTTCTCAGTAATTAGTAAGCATTGAAGTAGGAGCTACATCCCCTCTATAAAAAGCCCCTATATGCTCTTTAGTTCACACACAAATTGCCAGCCAAAATACAATTGAAAAAAAAAATAAAAAATCTCAAGCCACCAAAAGCATTACTCATGGCTGCTCCAACACTAGTTCCAAACCTTCTTCCCATGATAGATATCAACAAGGCAAAAATGATCTCACCAGGAACACCTTCATGGCTTGAATCATGTGCTACAGTTCGCCGGGCTCTTGAAGAGTACGGCTTCTTTGTGGCTATATATGATCAAATCTCCTCAAAACTCAAGCAAGAGGTCTTTGATTTGGCCTCTGAGTTGTTTGAACTTCCCCTCGAAACGAAGGTCAAGAACACCAGGAACATGGTAGATGGATACATTGGCCAACTTCCTAACGCCCCGCTTCACGAAAGCACCGCCATTTCTAATGCTACAACGGCTCAAGCAGTCGAAAGTTTCACCAATCTCATGTGGCCTTCTGGAAATGACCGATTTAAGTACTAATGGTCCACTCTGTTAAACTGTTTTTCCTTTCAACGATCGAAAAAGCCTAACTTTTTCATTGTTTTTTTTTTTTTTTGGATTGTAGAAATGCCATATCATCCCACGCTAAGCTTGTAGGAGAACTGGAGAACTTTGTGAACAAAATGGTGTTTGATAGCTATGGAGCAGGGAAGCATATTAAGCAATATATTGAGTCAACAACATTCATTCTTCGACTTATTAGCTATAAACCTCTCCAAGAAGGATTGGAAAATGGAGAAATTGGAGCTAATATTCACACCGACAAGGGCTTCCTATCCATAATTCATCAGAATCAAGTGAATGCATTGAGTGTAGAAACAAGAGATGGACAGTGGATTGATGTCGATTTTCCTCCAAATTCATGTGTTATTATGGCAGGAGATGCGTACGAGGTACAACTTACTACTTATAACAAATTAACCTAATCCACCCAATATCATCAATTAATTGTTGTACACTATGTACTCTCTCTGTTCGAGAAAAATAGTGCATATTCAATTTTAATATTTGTACTAATTTTAGTATAAATTTGATTTCAATACGTATGAACTGCTGCAAATCATCCTGATCTCTTTTCTTTTGATGATTTTACTGCGTACGAACTAGGCTTGGAGCAATGGTCGAATTCGTCCTGCAAAACATCAAGTGATCATGAAGGCTGGAGATCAAACAAGATACACCGCGGTCCTCACTTCATACAAAGAAGGAACAGTGGAAATACCAGAAGAGTTGGTGGATGAAGAATACCCTTTACAATATAAGCCATTTGACCACATGGGATTAGTTGAGTTCTCCTACTCCGGAACCCTATCTGACATGAGTGGAAGCGCTGCCAAGTCCTTTTGCGGTATCACTGCTTGAGTTTTAGAGTTAAATTTTACTCCTTCCGTCCTGAAATTATTATCTAATTTTGATTTTCATGTTTAATTAAAAACATATTAAAAGTAAAATATCAAACTAGAACAATAATTTTGGGATAGACGTTAATACTCATTAATCAGTTATGTACCATTTTCTTTGAGGGGTGTGAGTGATATCTAATTGTGAAACAGTATTTTCGTTGGTTTGTGGTTGCATTTTGCATGCATGTGTAGCCATCATGCTTAATCGTCTGGCATGAAGTTAAATATGTATTATGTATGTATCCATATGAATAACGAAGACTTTTCTGGTGGTGTCATTATATGTAAGATTTTGTTTGTTATGTAATAAGTTATCTAGAAAAGAAGTTAGCTCCCGATTTTCTATCATTACATCTCCCAGAAAAGAAGTGGTTATTTTCCGAGTTCTCCTAACAGTTCAGTAAAAAAAATTATGATCAACTTTTGATAACTTATAGAATAAAACAGGAATAAACAACAACAATTAATGATAACAAAACTAAAAATTTATAAATCAGGAGCCAAATCTTTTTCTAATGAAGAATTCTCAACAAACGCATTGCTCTCCTATATGAAAAGGAGGTTATACTTATTTGAAATTATTCGTGCAATGGTCATCGGATAGGGATCCTCACGATGCGATTTGACTGTGACTTCTCGTAAGTTTTCTCTTATAGCCTTAACTCCTTCATTTCAAAAAAAAAAAAAACATAAAGTAATAAACAATTAAATTTTAGTAAACCATTCAATTAACATGATGGAATTAAACATGAAAAATTGAAAATTGTGATAATCATATAATAACGGAATAATTTCATATTCTCTTCTGTCCAAAATAATCCTCATCTTGTTGTACTAATTAAAAATAACATAAAATTTGAATAATCATTTTGAGGTGGAGGAAAAAATAATTCTAACTAATGTAAGTGAATCAACTCAACGAGCAGTAATTTTCGTGATCCCCTTTGCGAAGTGAAAGATTCTCAAAATGTTGTCTCGGTGAATTCACGTAACTAACGAAGCATTATTGAAGAATGCTTTAATAAGCTAATAATACTGGACAAGGAAATTGGGAGGTAGCTTCTGAATTATCAATGAAATAAATTATAAACCTTAATTTATTACAACCTGCGTTCCAAAAAAATAGTACACATTGAGTTTTTAAATTTGTATTAAAAATGGTACAAAACTCAAAACTCAATGTGGACTATTTTTTTGGGACGGAGGGAGTAATATATTTTTTGAATATTACCTCTAATCGATCTAGTACTATATAAGTCAAGTAACAAATAAGACTAAACTGCATAATTGGTCTCCTACATTTGGTCAGATTTAAATTTTAGTCCCTTACATTAACATGTATATGGAATGAGCCTTTACATTTGATTTTGAAACTATTTTGGTCTCTTTTCACTGTTCCGCCATGAATTTCGTCTCGACAGCCGTTAATCCAATCCTGACCAAGGGTATTTTTGGAACACCACATATAAAAAGAAAAATACGTTTTATATTAATAATAAAATACTAAAAAATTTGTTTAGTAATAAAAAATTAAAAATTAATACAACTAAAAAATAAAAAAAAAATCATAATTCAGTTTTTTTATTTTACTTTTTGAAATAATAAAATTCAAATTCCCTCCCCACCGTTCGCCCCTCCCGCCGCCACCACCACATCCCTACCAAAAAACCACCACCACCACATCCGCTGCCACCACATACCATCTCTTTTATTTACCACAATCTCAACCCCAGAATTGATTCAGAATTGATTCAGGATTCGGATTCAGAATTGATTCAAATATTTCGTTAATTAGATTAGGAATCAAGGAATGGCCCGAATCCAAAAGAATAAATCATGCCTCACCCCCCATGATTCAATCTTTTTCCATTTTTTTTCCTAGTTAATTCTTGCTCTCTCCTCTTAAACCTCCATTCTTTCACCTCTTCTTCATTGTTTGTCCAGAAACAACAGCCACCACATCCATCACTCACCCACCATTCTTCTTCTTCTTTCACGTCTCCTGAACTCCTCCTCCTCCTCTTCTATCTTCTCTACAACTGCCATAACCAGATCCATCACCATCAATTTCACCACCTGCCCACCATCGTACTAAAATATCCACACACCACTCACCATTAAAGTGAGCCCAAAACTTACTCCTGTCATATTAGAAAACCCATTTAGTATTAACTCTTGAAATCTAATTCGAAAATTGGTCATTGTTATTCCGGTAAAGATGGAGAAGACGGGGGTATCAACTGTAATTGAGTGAAAATTGGGACATGGTGGTGAATGTTGGTGAAGAAGATGGCCGGATTGGTGGGGCTGATTTGGTGAAACTTTTTTAATCTTGTGATTTGACCCTCCACCATTTTTAGTCTACTTCAGATCTGAAATGTCGTTTTTAAATCTATTTATAATGGTCCATTAATAGTAATTGGGATTGAAGGGATGAAAGTGGAAGATTTCTGGGGTTGAGATTGTGGTAAATAAAAGAAATGGTATGTGGTGGCAGCGTTCATGGAAGATGGATGGTGGTGGTGGCGGCGGGGGAGGGGCCAGAACGGTGGGGAGGGAATTTGAATTTTATTATTTCAAAAAGTAAAATAAAAAAACTGAATTATGATTTTTTTTTTTATTTTTTAGTTGTATTAATTTTTATTTTTTTATTACTAAACAAATTTTTTAGTATTTTATTATTAATATAAAACGTATTTTTCTTTTTATATGTGGTGTTCCAAAAATACCCTTGGTCAGGATTGGATTAACGGCTGTCGAGATGAAATTCATGGTGGAACAGTGAAAAGAGACCAAAATAGTTTCAAAATCAAATGTAAAGGCTCATTCCATATACATGTTAATGTAAGGGACTAAAATTTAAATCTGACCAAATGTAGGAGACCAATTATGCAGTTTAGTCTAACAAATAATTAAAAATTGTTTTTGTGGGACTAACGTAAACGTAATGACCGTGACCTATTATTAGGACCATGGAAATTGGAAATTTTGAGAGAGAAATTGGACTCATTGTCGATGGTCCTGGGTCTGTGCCCTGCTAGACTCGTTTGAGGTCAATTAAATCGTTGTTAAGTGGAAATAAATATCGTCTTATTGTTTGTAGTTAATCTTAATTAAATCTGTTTATCGTTTGTAGTCAAGTAGTAGTATAAATGGTCCCTAAATTAGCTCCGTGTTTTGATTTAGTCCTTCGTTAATTTACGTCATGGAGTGAGACATTTTTCTTTCTTAAACCTATTAGGGACAAGCGTTTGTGGTAACACTCGAAATGAGAGCAGAAATGTATATCTAGGAATTGATGGAAACTGTTTGGTTGGGTTCGATCGTCAGCCAATATAAAAATTTTGCTACTTTCATGAATAACCTTATCAATTAATCAAAGGTGAAATTAAGTATTTTATTACTTTTTATTAATTGATAAAAACCGTAAATTAAAAAAATGATCTATAGTATATTATACTAAGAGAGAAACCAGAGAGAGAAAACAAAAAAGAATTCTAGAGGTGCCACATAGGATAAAATCCTATATGTCATTTTTCTATTGGTTGAGTCAAAAAATATTTACAACAATTATACTAATAGTCCTTCAAATTTTATGTAAATAAAGTTTTATCAAATGGCATTTAAAACTATAGTTTAAAATATGAAAATAAAAATTAATTAAATTTAAGGACGGGATTAATGAACATTAATGCACCAGAATTCTTCCCTCCCAAAAATAATCTCCAATTAGTATTAATTGATTGATTTAAATTATAAGTTCAAAGGGATAAGGCATTTATTATTTTCAACATTAATTCACCGGGATTTTTTACCCCAGCCAATTCGAATAAAAAAAAAAATCCCTCTACAAAATAATCTCTAAAATCACTATTCCCTCCCAAAAATAATCCCCAATTAGTATTAATTGATTGATTTAAATTATAAGTTCAAAGGGATAAGGCATTTATTATTTTCAACATTAATTCACCGGGATTTTTTACCCCATCCAATTCGAATAAAAAAAAATCCCTCTACAAAATAATCCCTAAAATCACTACTTGATTGATTTAAAACCTAAGTTCAACGTGCGGGAAAGTGGGAATTCTTTAGTGATTAAAAATTAATCAAATTTAATTGAAAAAGACTAATCAACATTAATGCAATGGAAGTCATTTCCCCACCAATCTTATCCCTTAATCAACATGACGTTATCATCTTTATTTCATAGTTATGAATTTTACTTTAGTTACTGATTATAATATCTCATTCAGACATTCACTATAAATATCCACGTCGGTCTAACTCTAACATGTACAATGACAACCGGTGAAACACTGAAGCGAAGCATCTTATATACTTTACAAAACATCTTTGCGGCGACGACCTCACTCCGATCATGTTTTATTTAATATGTAAGGTGTCTCTTTCTCCAATTGTGTGCAATCTTGATTAACATGCGTTTTTAACCGTGTAGATATAAATTACTTTGATTTATATGACATGTAACATCTTATTTATTATTTTGGTGGTCTTTTTTTACTTTTATTTGTATATAATCCTTATACATATTCAATTATTTAATTACATTTTTGGCATACAATTTATAAAATGTTGTCATTTCAAAGTATATATAACAATTTTATTTATCACGATCTAATTTAATTTTAATCATATATTTATTATTACAAATCAGTTACTTTATTTGTATTAATCACATTTAAAATTTAAAAATATATTTGAATAGATGTATATGTATAAACCCCTCACATCGTGCGGGTTTAACATCTAGTAATATCTTAAAAGCAAAGTAATACACATGCAAGATTTGATAAATGTTAGAGAGAATGTAACATGAGAGTATAACAAAAATTTTCACATCCTTATAAAAACTCTTTTCCAAGATTAAGGACAAAATAAAGTAGGGTCATAGTTCAATAAAAATACACATATCCTTAATCCAAATTCCAAACACAAAAAAAAAGTTTAAAAAAAAATTACTATTCTCGATATTCTAAGTTATGACCGTCTATGTCAGAAACATGGGCCGTATCAGATTGTGTGTTGTTTTTAATTTTTGGGGTGGGGATTATGAATAATACATCCTTAATTTAATTGCATGATGTATGTATGTATATTTATATTGTTTTTTTGTACGAAAAAATATACTAACATATACTATTATAAATATTTAATTACCGACAATTAACATTCTGCTAGATAGTCTGCGTCCGATCTATAAAAGGCTTCCCATCCCAAATGCTCTTTAGTTCGCACACAACTTGCTAATAAAAAAATAGAGTATATAGCTTTAGAATCAAGCAAAAGCAATACAAATGGCATCTCAAAAAGCTCCCAACCTACCCATTATAGATATCAGTAAGGCCAAAAGGACCTCAGGAACACCTTCATGGCTTGAATCATGTGCGACAATCCGCCATGCCCTCGAAGAATACGGCTGTTTTCTGGCATTATATGATGAAATCGCTTCAAAACTCAAGAACGAGGTGTTTGATTTGGCCAGGGAGTTGTTTGATCTTCCACTGGAGACGAAGATAAAAAACACGAGGAACATGATCGATGGTTACATCGGACAACTTCCTAACGCCCCGCTTCACGAAAGCACTGGTATTACTGAGGCTACAACGGATGAAGGAGTCGAATATTTCACCAATCTCATGTGGCCAACTGGAAATGACCGATTCAGGTACGTCGTAAAATATTCCTCTTTATTAATTATTATTGAACTAAAAATGAAAATCCAAACTAAACGATAATTTCGGGATGGAGGGAGATGTTTATTTGGGGCGTTTTGAATTTTGTTTTGAGATTGAACGTAAAAGGTTTCACAACTTCTCATTGGCTTGTAGAAACGCCATATCATCGTATGCTAAGCTCGTGGGCGAACTAGAAAACTTGCTAAACAAAATGGTGTTTGAGAGCTATGGAGCGGGGAAGTACATTGAGCAGCATATTGAGTCGACAACATGCGTTCTTCGACTTTTTAGCTATAAGCCGTTCCAAGAAGGATTGGAAAATGGGGAAATCGGAACTAACATTCATACCGACAAGGGCTTCCTATCTATCATTCATCAGAAAGGAGTGAACGGTTTGAGAGTGCAAACAAGAGATGGACAATGGATCCATGTTGATTTCCCTCCAGATTCATTTGTTATTATGGCAGGAGATGCTTATGAGGTACATACTTTTAACCAATTAACCTAATCCATCTAACATACCTCTCTCCGTCCCGAAATTATTGTCTAGTTTAAATTTTCGTTTTTGGTACAAATTGAAATAAAAATGAAATTCTAAACTGGAGAATAATTTTTGGAACAGATAGAGTATATACATAGATCTATCCTATGAGTGTACTTCATGCATCCAATACTTTTGCTTTTGGTGTGTATTAATTGATTTGAAACTTACTTTTTTACTACCAGGCATGGAGTAACGGTCGGATTTACTCGGCAAAACATCAAGTGATAATGACTGGAGACCAGCCAAGATACAGTGTGATTCTGTTTTCATTCAAAGAAGGGACGGTGGAAATACCAGAAGAGGTGGTGGATGAAGAACACCCTTTACAGTATAAGCCATTTGAGAACATGGAATTACTCCAGTATTACTACTCTGGAACCCCTTCCGACATGAGTGGAAGCGCTGCTAAGTCCTTCTGTGGGATCACTGCTTAAGCACATTAACAAATTTATGATGAAGAACTCTTTTCTTGAATAAAGGATATGTCCTCATTACGAAACAAGTAATTTTCCGTCCGTTTGTGGTGCATTTGCTTATAATCATGATCTGGGCATATGAAGTTTGTATTATTTGGTACCATATGAATAAGAATTGTGGATTTTCTTCTGGTGTCAATAGGTTTTGTTTGTTGTGCAACAAAACTGATAAGAGAAATTGATCAGTATGTTATTAATTGAAACACAGTACACATTTGGGTTCGTACTGTTTCAGAAGGGGGGAAATACAACAAAGTGGTCTTTTTTTTTAAAATGAAAACCATTGATTTTTTAGTAAAGGAATTTAAAACTGATCTTCTATCATTACATCTCTCAAAATGATGGCCAAATTTTGGTTAATAAGAATAAAACACTTTGATTGATCATGCATATGATACACTAAAATACGGGCTCTGACAACAACAATAATGGTGATTAATGAAACCATGGATTTGGGACCGCAATTGTTTCTGACGAAGCGTATTGCTCCTCTGTAATTCTGAAAACGAGGTTACACTTTTTAGCGTTGGACGTACGAGGGACAGTAATTTAAAAATGGATAGTACCGAAACAATAATAAAAAAAAAAACAGGTTTATATATGATAATGATGTTCGTACTTTACGACTGAATAATTTCATCTCAACTCCATCAGGCATGGGGGAAAAAATGTATAAGTTGCCTTCTGAAAATGACGTTACAACTTTTCAGCAAAAAAATAATAATAATAATACTATTATAATGATAATAATAAAATCTTCAAATGTATTCTCTTCGTTCAAACAAACATTGTTGTAATGTTTAACAAATGCAGATTTCCATGACAGGAACGGTGGGAATGCATGACTTCATGAGACATGGAAATCTTTCTAGTTTCAAGAGCAGGGATACTATAGAGTAAAAATGGTAAATAATGAAAGTTCAAAATAGACCATTACAGAGTAAAAATGTAGCACAAAGATGGGGAGTTGGGACCAAAATTCACTTCAAATTCTCATTTTCAGTTTAGGATAATCATCCAAAATAATAATAATACTCCCCGCCAGTTAGGATTTTTCATCTTTGGTTAAAATTGTATTAAAAGTAACAAAACATAATCTGGACATTATTTTGGAATGGATGAAGTAAAAAAAAATTACTTTCACCTAACTGTTAAAAGGGAAATAAAAAATTAAAAAATCACATAACTGGCCTTTGGAGGTGAAACATTAGGAAGTAGTAAAAGATAAGCGAAAGTCGGCATAGAACATATGATTACATTTTACAAGGGTGAGAACTGGTCTGAAGATTCACAGTTTGGAATTGGATCAGCACCAAATGCCTACTTCAGTTAATCTTTAGATAGAACTGATGAAACCGGAACACACTAATAACAAACTACCAGAACCTAATAATAGGCTTCAAGCCACAAAAGGAAAGAAACCACAGAGTAGATGACAAAAAAGTCTGCGACCTGGAGATGCTAGTATATATACCTGAGAAAAGCTAACACCTGAAAACTGAAATGGAAATGCAAATTCGAAAACGCTGAAATGAGCAGCACAAAGTCCCTTTGCTCAACGAGAACGTCGATAATAGTATCTGCATGCAGGGAACAGATATGGCAAGATGAAGAGCAAACAACAATGCACGTGTAAAAGCATGAAATCCAAACACATTCGTTCACTTTTAAATTCAAAGCATGTGTACAACAGTCCTGATGTCAAGCAGACCTATAAAATACGAAACCAACACGTAATTGAATCATATGTTCGGATTATCTTTTAAGTGTGTGATTTTAGGGGTTTTTTTTTTTATCGAGAATGTAAAAATGTGTATTGAAAATGTAAAAAAGGTATGGGACATTTATTAATAGAAAATTCTGAAAACCCCATCAAAAAAACCAACCGAACAGAGGTCTCGTGTGGAACACTAAATTTGTAAGTTTATAGAACATTGAATACCAAATCAGATCTTTTGAGTAGTATGAAATCAAAAGACTACATTTTTGAAAAACTGTAGTTTTAAATTTGAAGTACATAATCACAAAGGTGTTAGCAAGCTAAAGGGATACGGAGAAAGAAGATACATACACAAATATCTGGGTGCCAAATAGAGCAGCATATTTCCTTAGAAGACGTTCCACACTATACCACTCTGAGCGATCTGATCCATCCTGATAGCCAATCCTCGGCATATGGAGTGAAGCTGGTGGAATAATCAGAATAATATATTAGATATTTGAAAGGCTTTTAACTGACAGAGAAAAGACAAAGTCAAAATAATTTGAGTACTCGGCAAAAATCAATTAGCATCAGTATGATACGATGCATGTGGATCATGTATCCAACCCATTAAAGTGCAAATATAAACTCTTCTTTACTCAAACATTCAAAAATTAATTAAGCTCTACAAAACATGAAACAGGATATAGCCATCTGCTAACTAAGACTGCAACAATAAAACAAACTTGGAAATCAAACTCAGAGCAAATTTATAAATACATTTTTATTTTTCTTTCATTTACCCCTTTTTCGTATCAGTACTAAATAGACTCAAAACATATGGAACATCTAAAATATATATATATATATATATATATATATACGGAATCCCCCGTAAAACCAAAGAATAAGCACAAGACGCCATATAAAAACAAACCAAAAGGGGAAAATATTGTGTTGTCAGCAGAACTCAGTACCAGAATTTTGAGAAGCAAAATATGTTGCTTTAGCCAGGCAACGGTCCAAATCAGGCATAGAGATACTGCTTCGAGGAACCTTACGCCTTGGGTTATATGATTGGACAACTGCTAAAGCTACCCACTGATGAACAGCATTATCTTCACTTCCCTGACCATTGTCTTCTGACGAGAACAAACTCAACTATTAATAGCATTAATAAACAAATTCAAAGGATTTGCAAGCATATAATCCAATGTATGAGATAGAAAGGCATGAATGGAAATGTCATCAGGAGAGATAGAAAACACCATTCTGTCAAAGCAAGAAAAACCTTTTAAACTGATTATCTAGAGAAATTGAACAAGTTTAAACGTCAAAGGAGTTCCTAGTCCACCAAGACACGTCGTCGGCCATGTGTTCTCTCTTTAACGGGTAGACTATTAAACACGGTGGTCTAAGAAAAGAGGTGGAGTAAAACAAAAATAATGACCTCTGATTTCAATGGCATGCAAATCACCCAAATGGAGATCGCCACATTCCGAAGCTCTCTCATATGCAGCAGGAATAGATGCAGAAACTTTGGCCAGCGCGTCGAACAAACCACCTCGACCCCATTTTCCAGAGGTATCTACACAGCTGCCACCCAAATAAAAAATCATAGTGTCAGGTCTTTCTGCATGCGAGGACAGGTATCATAGTATGGCTTCTGGCACTACTTGCAGCATCAAAGTTGGAAAAGAACCATACTTTGAATTAAAATGTACAAAACAAGCACACTGCTGGGAAAAAAAAAAAAACTGTAATCCCGAGCGGTGAGAGGCCCCAAGGAGATTAAAAGTATATTTAAAAAAGAAAAATCATAGAAGTATATCCACCAAGAGAGATGAATGAAAAACCATGACCAAATAATCACACACAGAGCAGAGAGCAAAACAGATGGGGTCTTAATTGCATTTTACCTGAAAATTACTGTAGGTTCCGATGGTGAAACTGATGAAGGATGTGTACAATCCCCATAAACAAAATGCACAGAACCAGAATCTGATAAAATATCACTATCACCAGAGGTATCAGGATCTTCAATAGATAACGAATGATACCCAAGAGCTTCCCATTTGGACAATTTCTTCTCCTCTGCCTTCTTTCTAGCAGCCTCAGCTTTCAGGTGCTTAGCTTCCGGTGAGCCCCTCCTATTTCTCACCTCCGTCATAGTATCCTCCTTAACTGGCAGTACTTCCTTGAACTTTTCCACCCAAGAACGATATGTGGCTTCATCCAAGCCAGGATCATATGTAATGGACTCCACACTTCCCCGTGTTATAACATCTGCCCCACTCAACAGATCCATTGAATTGACCTCAAACTTTCGATCATCATTTTGCAATTGCGGCTTGTGGCGAAAGGCAATAACCTTTTCAGCAATTGCAGTCAATTCAGCCGCATTGATGTCCCCGGCTTCATTCATCTCTAGAAGGTCAAACTGATGCAAGCCAAGTATGATAGATCGTAAGTCACCATCTTCAGGGCCTGCCATCTCTTTCCCTTCCTGATACCTAGGATCCTCTCCTATGACATTATTACTGAGCTGCAATTTACGTTCTGCCCGACGCATAATCACCTATTTTCATTGTCCAATTCAGACAAGTCTATGTGACAAAGAAACAAGTAACTAGGGTTTTCAACTTACCTCCTCTACTGATTGTGCAGTTACTAAGTTTATTGCCAAAACATGGTTCTGTTGACCAATTCTATGCGCTCGTTGAAGTGCTTGCTTGTCCACCTGCGGGTTCCAATCTTGTTCATAGAAAATAACCTAGATGGTGGCCATTGAGTGGATGTATCATCAGATCAAAATCTAATTTTGAAATTCCTTAGTGCAAAACAAACAAAAATGAAATAAATTCATTAGACAGAGAAGTACAGGAAAACAAATTGAAGGCTATGCATTAAACATTCAGTGCTTAGAGTAGATAAACTTAAAATAAAATTCCTAAAGAGTAGCTGCCGATTCTTGCATATATATAATTGTCCACATGAATTTAAGTCAATGTGTAGAACTTCATCTTTATATTCTATCTCTTTTACAAATAGGCATCAACATGAGGTAATGATACTTACAGTATCAGCAGCCACCAGATTCAACCCAACACCCCCAGCTCTGGTAGAAATCATGAAGACAAATGGATTGCTTCGATCTGGTAGAGAAGTAGAGCTTTCCCCAACATTCATTTGGCTAAAACTTCTTATCGCAGCAAACCGCTCCTCTGCGCGGACTGAACCATCAAGGCGCTCGTAAGAATATTTTCTCCATTCCAAGAAATCCTGCGATGTAGAAAATTGAGTAAACAATTAATTCTTAATTGGCAAAGCTTATATCGTGTAACCAAAGTAAGTTCGGAAAACAAAAGATTTTACCTGTAATATGTCTAGTGTCTTGGTCATCTGAGAGAATATAAGAACACGATGCCCTGAATTATACAGATTCTTCAGTAACTGATCTAAAATGATTAGCTTCCCACTTGCCTGACAAGTTAGACAAGTTACATAAGAGCTCATTCTAAGCAAGCCTGCATGTGATATAGCACTTAGAGCTCTAAATCATAGTTTAGGTCGGTTTCATAATGCTGAACTGATAAATAGATATTGGGCTCCACCTTCATAAGGTAGAAACGAGAAGATTTGCCCCGAGTACAGGCATGATCCCAATAAAAATGTCCAAGTCAAATTGACAACCATGCAAAAGAGATAACACATTTGGATGAACATAAACAACCTGCACCAAGTGTTCACCCTCTTGGTATGGTTCAGGCTCAATTCCAGGAAAAAGGTAGGGATGACTACATGCCTTGCGTAGCTGAATTACCTGTGGACTTGGAAATTTTATCAGTTTTCTGTTCAGTTGATACTAGCATTTCCTTTCAAGTAAACAGTCGAAAAAGCAGAAAATTTAATAAAGAGACAGAAATAACAACCACTCTGAGCCGGGCACTTGCTGGCACTAATTTTGGAGCTCATGACTACAAATTAAGTTTCTATTTTCCATCACTTATGTAATTAAAATGTAAGATAATCTGGCGATAGTGAAACTGAAAAGAACATCACGTACAATATTACGCAAAGAAGGAGTATTTGAAGCTCCAGCAGCAAATGCTATCAGCTTAGGAAGTTCCTTCCTTAATATGGACGCATAAACCTTCCTCTGCAGAGAGACCATGGGTGCCATCCTATCAATACATGTTGAAAATCCTCTTATACAGTGGGTCGTGCAAATATTTCAAGAAAATAAGTCTAAAATCAAGTTCCCACAAACAATTGATGTAGCTCATATCCGCATCAATGTTAAAGTTCCCACAGCTAATTGCCATTATGCATTACAGTTAAACTCATATCCGCATCAAAGTTAAAGTTAAGGCTCATTGCGAGTAACTAACACAGTAATCTCAGTAAGAGGTGGCAGCACTAGAGTTCCAGATTCAACAAGCTTAGCTTTGGTTCTCCGAAGCATGAAAGCCCCCAATACATATTTCAAGCAAATGAACTGAACTCGGGCTTTTTCTGAAATTTTACCTGTTTAACAAGATGCGAAAAATTGTCAAGTGTGATTTTATCGCTTGCGATTCCATTTCTGAGGCCTAACGAATAATAATCAATAAAAATGCTACCAATGGTAAATTAAAAAAAAGGATAAAAGATACTGGTGCCATCACAAAAGGTTGTAAAAAAATTTCATTGAAAAATTAGAAAACAGAATGAAAACAATATTATCTATGGCCTTAACTTTAGCACCTTATTGTTCACAAAATACATAGAACATGCTAAAGGAAACTATAGAAGCTGAGAGAACAATGAGACTATACATAAGAAAAGGTTGAATTTTCAAATAATTTTTAAAGCACAAATTATGTGAATGCAATATGCTTTTACTATAACCAGAAATCCCAAGGATGAAGTTAGATAGGGGAAAGAGATTACATAAAGGATCTCCAGCTTCCTTGAATGCTGAAAGGAACTGCTCCAATGTTCCAAACACTAAAGGCACACAGAAATGCATCAAAGCCCAAAGTTCGGTTAAGTTGTTCTGGATTGGTGTGCCAGTCATCAACAATTTCCTTGGCATTATAAAACGGTCTCTGAGAATTTTATACAAGACCTGTTACAATCGGATAAGCAGAAACTTGCAGTAAGATTACAAAAATTCTGATTGCAGGGCTCTAAAGATATCATGTCTATTTGAGACATACACTTGAACAAAAAACTTTTAGACATACACTCGAAGGGTTTTTTAATCTCTGAGCTTCATCAATGATTGTGTAATGCCATGGAAACTGAGATAGAAACTCCTGATCAAGTATTGCTATGTCATACGTTGTCAGTAGAATATCAAAGGGTAATGATGGCACCTGAAACATTCAAAGACAATCAGCTATGCATGAGAGAGAATAATAAATCTAGACACTAAAGCATAATGAAACAGTATCTTCAGTTATACAAGCTCAAGAAGTTAGTAGCATTTCTAATCAAAATGGAGAGAAGCTGATTCGATGATTAAAGGAAGTGAAAAAGTCTAAGGCTAACTCTTATCTTAGACTACAGTAGCAGGTATTTACCTGCTCAGCCATTTTCTTGCGGAGATTGTATCTGTGTTCCTTGTCTCCAACATATGAAAGTATTCTTAGGTTGGGAGCATAATTAGCTACTTCAGATGCCCAATTATCAGTCACACTCAGAGGGCATAGCACCACTGCAGAAAATCACCGATCCAGTTATGCCTGAAGACCTTGTCAAGACTCCAAGAGAACTAGCCAAACGGAAAATAGTAATAGAACAGAAGATGAGGCAAACCTACTTACAAAATGGTCCAGGCGAACCCCGATGAAATTTCAAGTAACTTAAGAAAGATATGGCTTGCAAAGTTTTCCCCAGGCCCATCTGCCAGTGCACCAAGTTCCATTATAAACAGAATGAAGTCATATCCACACATTTACCAAAGATAACTAGCTTCTTCCTCCTACATCAGTAACACTGCAACTAGGGTTCTCCTACAATAGATGCCTTCAGCCAAACCAATAAAAGGGCGGAAACGATATCTGTAGGAGCCTAGCCTCATACTATAAAGCCTGAACAACTATGTGAAGAACCAACTACTGTACAAGAAATCTCTATCCCTACGCCATAATTTGACCTATCAACACATAACTGATGCCAACGAAGTAAAGCATACCTCATCGCCTGCCAAAAACAAAAAGGAAAGAAACAATCATCACATAATTTATGATAATTTCAAGAAGTTTCTGTTTCTCAGAGACTTGCAGATAGTTGAGAATTTTAATTCAAATTAGAAGATCAAGTTCCTCATAACTCGTGAATCAAATTCGATTACTTTAACATCGATGCACATTTTTCAAAAATTATTAACTCAATTCGTTTTTCTTCTTCAAAGAAGTCTTACCGAGGACGACGTTGACGCCGAGGAGGTAACGTTTAATGAGCCATGAAAGTCCTTCAGCTTGGTGTGGTTTAAGTGTGGCACTGATGCCTAATTCAGCGGAACTGAAAAGAGGTTCATCTCCGGCGGCGCGTTGGTCGCCGTCGTAGACATACTTCGCGGCGGCGATTAGTCGCTTCTGGTAGTTCATAATTAGGAGCACCGGCAGACTCAGCAGTGGCGGAGACCGGCGAAGAGCCAACTATTTGGCGGTTGCAAACGTCAGCGTCCCAATTTTAAAATTCCGAAATAACCAGCGCGCTTTCTTTTTTTCATTTTCCTTTTCTTAAGGGGCGCTTGTTACGTGCTGACAGGTTTCACATCATGGGCCTGGCCCTAGAAAATATGGGCTTTTCTTTGCGAACCTAATAGTACGGAAAACTTGGGTTTATGAACCAACATTACGCAATTAATGACTGATTTTTTTAGACAATGGCATCATATGGGCCCGGAATGAACCCCGCATAAATCAATCAATTATTTAAGGTCAGAATTAACCAAATAACCATCAGAAGAATGTTCTCCAATTGTATCGCTTTGTTTTCCTTTTTTTTTTAGCCAAGTTGGAATTTTTGGGGGGAAAAAAAATCTTCAAGAAAAAATGGAAAATGATATATCTTTTGAAAAAAAAAAAAGTGAAAAAAATAGTGAGTGATGTGGCTTATTCTTGGTCCCTAGTTTTTTGTCACTTTCCCGTTAAAATTTTATCTTTCCCTAAAAATTATATTTTTACCCTTCATTAATAAATATACATATTTAGTGAGTACGGTATATTTGTCTTTTCATTAGTCACTATACTTTTTCACTATAATTAATCACTATCTCTATCATTAATAGTGATAAATTTCATTATTGCTAAAGAAAATATCATGAATAAGCGTGAAGACGTGGTTGTTCATTTTGTCACAAATCAACATTTATGTACAAATGCTTATTAAACATGAAAATAAAATCTTAACTTGTACAATGATCAACTATTCGATATAGATTATAGTCTTTCCGTCTGAGATATTCATATTTGAAACTCCTAAAACACATTGTTTTGCATGGATTTAAGACAAATCCATCAACTAATTTCATAAAATAATACTCCCCCGTCCCAAAATCATTGTCCAGTTTAAATTTTCATTTTTAATACAAATTATATTAAAAATGATAACTCAAACTGGACAATAATTATGGGACGGAGGGACTATTCATCTTCAAAGTGTGTGGCGTAAAGTTATAGCCGATTAAGATGGAGACACTTCCAATTTGATCAAACCAAAGAAGAAGGGATGTTGACTACATCAACTGTTTGTAAGAACTCTTTCAAAAAAAAACTGTTTGTAAGAATCTCCTTCACTCCGGAATCAAATAAGCAGTTTTGTCACGCACACTGAAACCCAAAATCCGCCATGTATATGTGTTCGAAATTCAGAACGGTGATTCATGGACCCCTAATAAGTTTATAGGTCCTACAATATTCCCACTGAAAGATGATAAAAAAATCCCTATAAATTCCACATAACTGAAACAACATTTGATTGATTGGACCGTGGTCAAAGTAAACCTAAATTGGAAACTCCTATGGCCGTCGCCACTTGTTTCCGAAAGCACCAATGATGATAAAAAGTTAAGGAGCTGAAATCATCAAAGTGATCAAAAACTCCCCTCATTAGACGGCCATGGTACGTAACGTGGACCTCTCTTGTCTTCTTGCCCCCGGGTATCAACATTCAACCCCCCACAACATCATCAAGAGGTATCAAACTTATATTAAAAATTCAGGGTTAAAAGTTAAAACATGTCGATCAGGGTTTTAACATGTCTACCAACAATTATTTTTCAGTACACCTATTCAAAATTCAAAAGAATTGTTTTACGAATTCCAAACTTAGTATCACTTGTTTAATTAAAATATGAAAATATGACTTTTGTTTTTACGGTTAGGGTACTGTTTAATTTACGCTCCTTATCGAATAGTAATTTTCTTTATTAACTCTGTCACTATAGTTTTTAACATATATATTATTATCATAATTTACTCATGTGGAGGCTAATATTTTGTACTCCACCAAAGGGTTCATAGCCGTTGAAAATGCTAATTACCTACTCATTCATTGGTCGGAGAAAGGCCATTCCATGAAAGTGATGATTACAAAGATTGCCAAAGTTTTAATTTTGCTGGCCAGCTCCTCTAATTAATTAATTACTTGTCACCCAATGACTTGGCAAAAGCTATAACCTTTGTTTTGACTTGTTTAATTACGTAACTTACTCAGAAGCTTTATTCTTGTTACTAACCTTATTATATAGTGCAAAATTCATCGGTTGATTCCCTTTAGGATTCATCCCCACAGGCAGACAAAACTTTTTTGCAACTTGGAACTACTATAACTAATGGCTAGCTTGCTTGTCACAATCTTAATAAATTTTGGTAGCTTTAATAATGTTTGTAATTTTTTTTTTCAAAGATTGAAAATGGCATATTCTTCCCACTAATTCAATTGATTACAGAAATCTGTCGACCCTCAAATGTGCATTTTGCAATTTGGAAATATACAACCTTGTCGTCCAACATTAGATTCTAATAATGGCATAAGTGGACCCCAACAAGACAATATTGACGTGATCAATGAAATTAAGTTCAAGAATATGGTATACTTTAGTTAGTCTCACCATGCATAAAATCAACAAAAACTTATGATATTAGCATTGTGTAAAGTTAGCCGATTTTTTTTTTTTTAAGACAGAATTTGTATCACATTTCATTTAACACTTGATAGATGTTGATATCTTTTAGGGTTCCTCCGTAGATTATTAAATCTTTTGTTAAATATTTGAAAGTTAATCACAAAAAAGACCCAAAAATCATAATGTCACACGGGACAAACATAAAATTGGCACAGAGTATTCAATTTATAATGTCGTATCGCTGAATGGAATTTTTTTTATTAGACATATGATTTAGTTTTAATTCTTTGGACTTTGGACAAAAGATCCCGTTCTAATTTTTATGTATTCATTAATTATCCTCACATGAAAAAAAAAAAAAAAAATTGGCAATTTCACCGTCGTTTTTTCTTCATTTTAAGGATTTAATTTAAAGTTCAGAAATCATTCAGAAGACGTTGACAGTTTGTTCTACCCGATTTCAGGTGTGCAAAAAAGACCTGTATCCGAATGAATCGACCAGCTGTATCCAAAGGGATCATAAACAATATGTTACACATAACTATTACTAAAAGAATAATTGAATTAAGACCGCATAATCTTTTCCTCTCTAATAATAACGAATTGGAGGTTATTTATTCTCTAGAAATTGGAGTCATTTGCACCTGATTATTTAGGTTTGTACTAAGACATGCATCCGGAATCTGGTGAATAGTGTCTTGTAGTGGGAAATATTTGTTGAATTATTAATATTGAGTTTACTAGTACCAATTAATTTTTCATTATTTCCTTTATGTTGATGGTAATCTCACAATTATTAAATTAGTTGCTTCATTTTTCTTCCTAGTCGATATGTATAATATATATATATATATATATATTAAGAAATAGAATAGTTAATCAAAGTGGTTATGGTAGAGTAGAAGGGACTACGCCACTCTTAACCATAGGTCGAGGTTCAAATCTCGTCATGGATATGGAACAACGTTAAATACTTTGGCCAACTGTTTCACCCATTAGTCATGGAGCAACCTTAAATACGTTGGCCAGCTGTCGATATATATATATATATATTAAGAAATAGAATATAGTTAACCAAAGTGGTTGTGGTGGAGTGGAAGAGACTCAATCACCCTTAATCATAGGTCGAGGTTCGAATCTCGTAATGGGCATGGAGCAATCTTAAATATTTTAACCAATTATCTCACCCATTAATCATGGAACAATCTTAAATACTTTGACCCATTTTATTTTTTTACCTTATTGTTATAATGATCATCGTCTGTTTATTTTTGTCACTATCATGTCACTTGTGATATATCGAGCGCTTGACAGGTAAGGCAAATTCTGATTATTCAATTTATTTATCGATGATGGTCTGGCAATAAAATTAACAGATAATTTAGTGGCGAAAATAGACTGATAGTCAAAACTATTGGGTATACGTTTAAAATTTGTTCCAGCGTATATAAGATATAAGTAAGAAAAAAACAAAATTTGAGCGAAATGTACCGTGTACGTATTTTCTGACTTTTTTGTAATCACCCCACTTGTAATATTCTACAAATATCATACTGCTCCAATCTTCTTTATTATAAGTCATTTCGATTTATCTTAAATTTTATTTAATTAATTTTTCTTTTAATTTAAAATAAAATCTTAAATATATTTTATAATAATTAAAAAATATCATTTTTAAAATTTTATTTTTAAATAAAAAATATACTAAATTGAATTTAAGACAAATCAAAATACCTTATATATTATAATAAGAACGAGGGGAAGTGCCTACTGAATTTTATATATTCCATTGGCAGAAAAGCTTAGAAGTTCACTTTAATGGGGGGGGGGGGTTTAATTAATTGAATATTCCACCAATTAGGGAGCTTTTGCTGTGTATATATACTAAGCCATTGTTCTTTATCTCCAGTTCAAATGTTAAAACATTCTCGTGGCTGTGTCCCAAACTCTTTTTTTAACCAAAAAAAAAAAGAGAGAAATGCAGGCCAAAGCACAGAATTCGATCCCACCAAAGTTCATCAATCCACCACCAAAAATCCCCAAAAAACTTCCCCAGATTTCTTTGCCAAATTCTAACAATATTAACATTAAAGTCCCGCAAGCCATCTCAATCACAGCTCCAACCCATGAAGTTTTGTCACCTCATCATAAAGAAAATGATCAGTTGGTCCTAGACGAACAAACTGCCGCCTTCTGGGATTACCAGTTCCTCTTCGTCTCGCAACGGTCGGAAACAACCCGGCCGGTGTCTCTTCGCATTGTGGAAGGCGCGATCCCGACGGATTTCCCGTCCGGCACGTATTACCTAACCGGACCGGGTCTTTTCACGGACGATCACGGCTCGACCGTGCACCCTCTAGACGGGCACGGCTACCTCAGGACTTTTAAGATTGATGGGGCCACAGGCGACGTGGAGTTCATGGCCAGGTACATTCAGACCGAGGCCCAAGCCGAGGAGCGGGACCCGGTGACCGGACAGTGGCGGTTCACTCACAGGGGCCCGTTCTCGGTGTTGAAAGGCGGCAAGATGATGGGAAACACTAAGGTGATGAAGAATGTTGCGAATACTAGTGTGTTGAGATGGGGTGGGAGGTTGTTTTGTTTGTGGGAAGGCGGTGATCCTTATGAAATTGAGGCAAACAGTCTTGATACACTTGGGACTTTTGATATTGTTAATGGAGGAAGTAGACAAAACATTATGATGGAAGAAGAAGAAGGAGAAGAAGAAAATCACGGTGATGATGATTATGCGGGATCAATGGTCGACATATGGGAAGTTGCTGCTCAAGTTCTGAAGCCTATTCTCTATGGTACGTAATGTCGCATTTCTTTCGGTCCAAAATAATTGTCCAGTTTGGATCTTCAGAATATAATCCTTTCAAACACGTTTTTTTAACCAATTGTTTTGTTTTTGGACCCCAACTCCCATACTTGAGTACAGTAGATGCATGATATATGTTGAGTGGGGGGAGTAAATGAGTCATCCACGAAAACTTATTTTAAAAAAATTTTGATGACTACTATTCTTTTTTCTCTTGCTTTTGGGTAATATAACATTGTAAGAAATCATCTCTTTCCATGGAATTTAAGTACAATCTTGTGTGGTACATTTCATAGAAATTTGAACATAATATCTTCAAATAAACGCAAGCGGGTTTCAGTTTAAGTCTCTGGTTATGCGTCTAGTTTTGACACAAAAAGAAACGATTATTCTCGTTTTGATAAATGAAATTTGAATATAACCACCAAACGCATGATATTACGTACTCAAACTTTATAAATATAGTGCACTTCCAAGAGTTTGGAAGAGAATAAAATGTTACCTTGGAATCTTTGTCATTCTTATATTCCTTTGTGCCTTTATTAAATCTTGTCAAAGTAGTACGTACCAAAATAGTCATTCTTTATTCTTGTCGTAAAACTTGAATAAATTTTTTTTTTCTTTTATAATCTTTTTGAAAAAGGTTTGTTAAACGTCAATTGGCCTAATTTGGGTATCAAGCTTTTCCAGGTGTATTCAAGATGCCACCTAAAAGATTGCTGTCCCATTATAAGATTGATGCCCAAAGGAACAGGCTCCTTATCATGTCATGCAACGCAGAGGATATGCTTCTCCCTCGAAGCAATTTTACTTTTTATGGTAAGTACTATGATGATTACTTTTAGGTTCAACTTTATCATAATTAGTATCCCAAAAGACCAACATTTTACCATAGCAAGTAGTTTAATCTAGCCGAGTGGGAATTGGTTTGCTTGGAATATTTATCCGTACGGAGTAAAAAGTTAAAAAAAAAATCTGACTCACGTTCATTTTATTTTGTGCAGAATTCGACTCAAATTTTAACTTGCTCCAAAGCCAAGAGTATAGCATTCCTGACCATCTAATGATTCATGACTGGGCTTTCACTGAAAATCACTACATCTTATTTGGCAATCGGATCAAGCTGGATATTGCAGGTAGTATTTCTGGTTATCATTCGTTGTTGGCTAATCTGATTCTAACAAATGTACTCTTTCCTGTGCTTGTTACTCCATTTGTTCTAAAATTATTATTCAATTTGAATTTTCACTTTGATTCGAATTTTTCTAGAAATGAAAATTCAAACTTAATTTAATTTTTCTACTCAATTTGAAGGATCAATGACGGCCGTGTGTGGGTTATCTCCCATGATATCTTCACTGTCAGTAAATGCAAGCAAGCCCACATCTCCAATCTATATGCTTCCTCGGTGTCCGACAGAATCAAGAAATATTGCGAAAAGAGATTGGAGAGTTCCCATTGAAGCCCCTTCACAACTATGGGTTATTCACGTTGGAAATGCATTTGAGGAAAGTGATGAGGATGGAAATACTTGCATCCAGATTCAAGCCAGCGGATGCTCTTATCAGTGGTTTAATTTTCAGAAGATTTTTGGTAAGTTAATCAATTTTCAAACTAACGTTATACATGTCTTATTAATTATTCATCATGCTTTTATGATTGATTATAAACTTATGGACTCATGAACTCAATGATGTTTTTTAAACAGGGTATGATTGGCAAAATGGTAAACTAGACCCTTCTGTGATGAATGTTAGACAAGGATCAGATAAATTATTGCCTCATCTAGTTCAGGTTCGTGTCTCAGATACTTTAATCACAATTCAATTCTAAGAACATTCATAAAAATAAAGCAAAATTTGGTTAACAAAATGCAGGTATCTATAAGTTTGGATTCAAAAGGGGATTGCGAAAAGTGCAGTGTAAATGACCTGAATGAATGGTCTAAACCAGCGGATTTCCCAGTGATTAACCACGAGTTCTCCGGCTGCCAGAACACCTTTATTTATGCAGCAACTTCCTCCGGCTCCCGCCGAGCTCTGCCACACTTTCCGTTTGATACGGTGGTGAAATTCAATACTACGGACAAATCCATTTCGACATGGTCTACAGGCAGAAGAAGGTTCATTGGTGAGCCAATTTTTGTACCGAAAGGAACAAAACAAGAAGATGAAGACGATGGATACCTTCTCGTTGTGGAAGTGAGTATATCTGCTTTTAACTTTATGATGTATGTCCTGAAAAAATAGTCAACACTGAGTTTTTGATATCTATCCGATTATCCCAGCTGACACATGCATTTTTATTAATCTTACGTAATATTGAATTGACATTGCAGTACGCAGTTTCAACACAAAGGTGCTATCTTGTTATGTTGGATTCAAAACTGATGGGGAAGGCTAATGCATTGGTTGCGAGGATTGAAGTTCCAAGAGACTTGAATTTCCCACTTGGTTTTCATGGATTTTGGGCATCTGCAGGAGATTTTAGTATTTAAATCAAAGCCCTTCAACAATCATCATACATATATTCATTGTCCAAAACTGAAAAAGGGATACATGGTATGATTAATTTGTACATATTGAATTACCTACCGATGTAGGATATAGCTCTCAATACGTATTGGTGATCATTCTTTGTAATCAATTAATCTTAGTTGTAATTTACGGTACACAAAATTTTATTTTCGTATATCGCTAATACAAGATTTCTTCAACTTTAAGAATCAAGTAAATTTATATTTTCCAATTGGTATAAGCCTTCAGGGCTCAAGACTTCAACTCTGCAATTCCTAACATTGGACTCTTTTACTTGAAATTTGAACCTGACACTACTCCTTGTCTCCTCTCGATCTGTATACACAGATACGTTAGGTGTACAAAATTTATTGCATCTTCCATTATGAAATACGTAATATTTCTCTTAAAACTTTTCTGTTTCCTCTTTGCTTTTTTTTTTTAAGCAAAAAAAACAGTTTCATTCATTAATGACTGGAAATCTTCTAGTTTCGATTGCCTAAAGGTCACAGATATATGCAACTAATGAGTACATTCAATTTCACTATTCTTAACTAAAATCGCAAATTTATATGCTACTGTGTTATGTTCATGACAGACCCAAAAAATACTTAAGAGATGAGTCGAATGGAAAAAAGAGCATATAGTTTCGATCCAACTCATTCGAGAACTTCTTTAACTGCTAGGATAATGTTAATTTACTTCTTTGCTTTTCGTTGCTACTAAATCAAGTTTTTTTAATTATTTTTTTAGACCAATCCACCAAATTAAATATATATATATATATATATATATATAGACTAGTGATGTCTGGTCGCGCAATGCGCGACCCTGGCCCAGTATATTTTTAGATATTAGAATTATTTTTATTTGAAAAAAAAATATTTTGTATTTGGCTCGATATATTTTAGAAATGTTCGAAGAATTTAGAAATATTTTATAAGTGTGATCATAGAAATGTTTGTGTTTAGCAAAAAAAAGAAATTGTATTTGGCTCGTTACGTTTTAAAAATGTTTGAAGATCTTAGAAATGATTTATAAGTGTTACCTAAACCCTAAACCCTAATATATGTCTTGAAGTAAATGTTAGACAAAATATAAAAGTATCTTAATAAATTTAAATATTAGCAAGATGATTTATTGATGTTCTCCATTGGTCGTGCTAAATCAATACTTAGTAAAGGAGATTTATAATAGCTTTGTAGTAAGCTTCCTCCGAAGGGTATACGCTTAATTATTGGAACTGTTTCTTCAAAGGTTTTAAAGGTAGTAAAATATCAAAAATATGGTTTTGAAACTGGTTAATTGTTTAAACAAGTTGATCACAAATATGAGAATGAAAATTAATGTAAATTTGCATAGGTTTTAAATTATAGCAAAAAAGAATTCACCTCACCATGGCAAATAAAATAATAAAAAAAAAGTAAAAGAGTCCATTAAAAATTGAGAAATTATATTTTTCCTGTAGGTAAAAATAATATATAAAAACACAAATAAACTCAGAAACATCATTCCTTCCCTCTCCACCTCAAATTCATAAAAGACTTCCCCATGAATTAGTTAGAAGAAGCAACCTGAACTATTTATATGATGAGAAACTCAAAAAAGTCCAAAAACCAAATCCAAAAAAGTATATCCTTGAAAGTCCGAACAAAAAAAAAAAACGCACTTCATTTGTCAAAAAAAATAATAATAATAATTGGTCAACTGGAAGTATGAAACAAAATCAAAAGAAATTAAACAAAGAAAAAACACACTTCAAAACTGACCATATACGAAAAAAAAACTGAGACTCCATAATTAAAAAAAAAAATCACTCTAATGGAATGAAACATAAAAAAGAAATTAAAAAAACCACACTTTGTAACAAAAACCCAATTGATCAATTCAATCCAAACAAAACTAAAATCATACAAAAATTCTAAGTTAACTAACCATATAAGAAATCACATCATATTACCTGGCAACGGCTACAGTAGCTGTAACGGGTGGTCGCATAAAAATAATAGTAATAACACTATTCTTAAAAGGGAAAAGTAAAATATAAAAAAAGCCAAACAAATGATCTGTAGAAATAAAATCATTTCAATTTTAATACTTGTAATGGCATCACCACAACGGCCGAAGCAAGATCAATGAGAATTTTTTTTTTCCTTTGTGTTTATATAGAGAGGTAAAGAGAATATTTCTTGAAGTCAAAATTTTATTCCATTAGGATGTAGTTGATTATCACTAATGAAAAGATTGAACATGCTAATAGAAAAGGAGTATACTTCACCACATATTCTCAGTTGATGATTGATGAGGAATTTTTTTTTTTTTTTATTGTGGAGAAGGAATTGATTAGGGAGTCGATTGTCGTGGAAATGAGGATGAGGATTTGGGGTTTTTATGAATCCGTGGTTTTTTTTTTTGGTGAAAATAGGAGGTGGAGGTGGATTTGGACTGTATTTGTCTTTTAAGTCTAAAAAACTAATGTGTAAATAAAAATTTATTTTAAAATATGATGTGGAAATGCCACATGGCAAATGGTGGATTTTTCTCATAAGTGTGGTTTTTGTTTCTAATATAGTAAGATATATATATATATGTATATATATATATATATGTATTCAATTCCTACATATTGTTCGGGGAGGGCTTTCAGGGTACTATTAGTCTTTTATTAAAGTGTAAAAAAAAATTATAACTAGATTAACTAAAATTTATAACCATATTTGGATGTCAAAATTATATATTATTTTTCTTCAGATCATTAATGTTGATGCATTGGTTAAAAAAACTATTCACATAATCAAAGAAATGCAAATTATGATAATAAATTTTGAAGCAAAAATTATCCACCGGTCTAATTCACACAACCATTTGCAAAATTGAAACCCTCATGATTTCATGTTAATTTCTTTTATACACACACACACACACACACACACACACATATATATATATATATATTAGTACATATCTTGTTATTATTTGATTAGGATTCATCTTAAAAATTTCTAAATATCTTTTATTAGTTAGATTAGTTCCGCTGGGATATCTAAATATATTTTATTAATTAATTTATTCCGTGAAAAAGTAAGAACATAATGAAATTGTTTGGAATTGCATCTTAAGTATAATTTAAGATGTTTTTTTTTTGAAATTTTATTTTGCTTTATAAAATTCAAAAATACCTAAATATTGGTGGGTTGCTGTCGTTGATGTACCCCAAAAGAAATTTATAAAAACCTACTTAAAACTATTAGGTAGCGGTAAGTATCGTCGTTCCACAGAAATGACAGTCAACCACTCAAAATTTGATTAAAGTGCAAGAAAAGGAAAGTAAATGAACTGAACAGATTTGTCACTTGGAAGAGTGAGAATAGTCACTTGACAGAGTGAAGAGCCAGAAGGATCAATCACCTTTCTACCTTTATGATCTAGTTCCGATTCGACTAATCCTGTAATGTATAATTTATTGTTTGATCAGACACATATATTCTTTATAATTCCTCTCAGACAGAATAAAGAATCCTCGATTATCTAAATAAACTACCTCTCAGTCAGTGTAATTCATTAATCTAAGCCATTTAGTTCATAAGTCCTCTTAGATCACATATACCAATCATCTAACTCTCGTTGATGATTGAAACCAAAGGGTTTCCTCCTTTGTCATAGACTGGATTAAGCCGTTCTAAAGTTATGCTCTCAGATCTTCATAACTATGCATGCGCATTTAATTAAGTGGCCAGTTTAATCAAAAGGTTGATTGAAACACTTATCTAGACACAATGTGTCATCAAGGAAAACTGAGTCAAAACCTTCACATAAAGATAGTAGGGATTGAACCATTAACTAAGTTAGCTACTCATGTTTATTGAGTTAAACATGAAAGCAACAAAGTACAAAAAATAAAACATAATTCAAGATCAAAAGGTTAAAGGATAGAAGGGAAAGATGATAGCAGGGGCAGTTTCTGTTTGCTCACTATGGCGAGTGGCGTTCGCCACTTGACAGAATGACAGTCAGCACTCTTGCTCCTACTACTACCCTGTTTCTAACCAATTAAGTAACTATCTAACTACTATCTTTGTAACTGATTCCATCTATCCAATCTTGTTCTCCTTTTTTTAGCTGCTATTGACTGACTATTTATAGAGATTTGGAGAAACTTGAATTGGTGGAGTTTGGACTTCCTTGCAGCAGATTGGAGGAGGTAGCAAGTTGAAGCAACTGAAGTGAGTTGTTTATTCAGCAGCCAATTGGGCAAGTCGTTGTCTTCTCTTAGCAGTTCCTTTCTTCTCTTCAGCCGCAGTTAGCCACCTTCTGCTCATCATTGCTTCTTCTCCTTAGTCTTTTTTTCCGGCGCATCCTTACCATTTGCAACTACAAATCTCTATTTCTTCATTCTTTAATCCTCACAGCTCAACTAGCACTAGCAGCAAGCAGCAGCATCAGCAACATGCTTCCTTCCATTATTGTGTTTCCAGCCCCCAATTCAGTCTCAATCTTCTGCCCTTTTCTTCCTTGTTTTCTGGGTCACTTTCTATATCATTGCTGACCCTTCTGCAGCAGCCAATCCATCAATTCAGCAGCCGTATCAGTTGGTAAGTAGCAGAGTTGCAACTGTTGTTCTTCACATATATTCTCTCTTTCTCTTCTTCCACTTGCAGCAGTAACAGCTTGCAATGATGGCAAAACAATTCCTTCCTCGGGCACCAAGATTTCAGCTTGTGGCTTCTCTTTGATTGACAGTAGTATCAGCTATTGAAACAACAACTTGGCAGCAAAGCAGTTGCCATTATTCTCCTCAATCGAGTGTGCTGCTGCAGATTCCTTTCAATTGTGGTCATCTGCTGCCAATCTTTCTTCCTCAGCAAGGATTTCTCCACTTGCTTTAGCTCTGATCGACTCTCCGACAGCTTTATTTCATGCAGCTTCCAATTTAGTCCAGAATGATACTCTTTTGTGTAATTTGACCTCATTTATGTTGTTTTCCACATTGACCCCTTGATTATCCTAAAATACAAAATCAACCCAAAAATAGACTAATTCTAACTAATTGACACTTAACTCTAAGTAAAAATGAGTAGAAAATACCTGCTAAAAACGTATATATTTTACTGTCATCAAATATACATACAATTAATTATTCTATAAAAATTGCACTTAATGATTTCTTCAAAAGTTCCCCAAACAAATTTATTTTTTCTATAAAAAAGAGAATAATCTAAATTGACCATTTAGATAATCATCCCCTTTTATTCTTGCATTTTATGTATTTATTATACACCTTATAGTTTGGATTGTGTTTCTAGTACAAAGCTAGCAATTTTTACAATCTAATTTTAAATCGAACAAAGCAAGCATAAATATAGTAATTTCGTATATTTTCAATGATGAATTATTTTCAGGACATTAGTGAATCGCTCGATCTTTCACAAAGTTTTTTCAATGTTCAATAAAATGTAACATAAGTTAGTAGATCGAAATATATATTTTTTCTGTACCAAAACTATTGTCCAGTTAGATTTTCACACTACTTAATACTTAAAATTATTTGATTAAGTATTTTTTATTTAAGCTTGTTTGATAACAGAAAATGAATAATAATAAAAATTAGTTTATTACTTATTCCATAACTAATTCAGTATTAACATTCAGAATTAGCAACTAATTTTTATCAAAAAGACCCAGTTTGAGGACAGATGGGGTATTTTTTTAAGGTTTATCAGTTGTGTTGGCGGTTAATTCATTTCTTACTATATTAGAAACAAAAACCACACTTGAGAAAAAGCACCACAATTTACTATGTGGCATTTCCACATCATATTTTTAAAATAAATCTTTATTTTCACATCTCCTAGACTTAAAAGGTAAATGCAGTCCAAATCCACATCCACCTCTTATTTTTGCCAAAACAAAAAGAAAAGACGGGTTCATAAAAAACCCAAATACTCATCCCCATCTCCACGACAATCGACTCCCTAATCAATCCCTTCTCCACAATAAAAAAAAAACAAATTCCTCATCAATCATCAATTGAGAATATGTGGTGAAATATAGTCATTTCCTATTAGCATGTTCAATCTTTTCATTAGCGATGATCAACTAAATCCTAATCGAATAAAATTTCGAATTCAAAAAATATTCTCTTTACCTTTCTATATAAACACAAAGGAAAAAAAAATTCTCATTGATCTTGCTTCGGCCGTTGTGGTGGTGCAATTACATGTATTAAAATTTAAATGATTTTATTTCCACAGATCATTTATTTAGCTTTTATTATTTTTTATTTTTCCCGTTCAAGAATAGTGTTATTACTATTATTTTTATGCGTCCATCCGTTACAGCTACCGTAGCCGTTATCAGGTAATATGATGTGATTTCTTATGTAGTTAGTTAGCCTAGAAGTTTTGTATAATTTTAGTTCTGTTTGGATTGAATTGATTAATTGAATTTTTGTTACGAAGTGTGGTTTTTTAAATTTCTTTTTAATGTTTCATTCAATTAGAGTAGTTTTCTTTTTTTAATTATGGAGTCTCAGTTTTTTTTTTCGTATATGGTCAGTTACGAAGTGTGTTTTTTCTTTGTGTAATTGTTTTTATTTTGTTTCATACTCCCAGTTGACCAATTATTATTATTATTATTTTATTTTATTTACAAATAAAGCGCGTTTTTTTTTGTGTTCGGGCTTTCAAGAATATACTTTTTGAATTTTGGTTTTTGGACTTTTTTTAGTTTCTCATCATCTAAATAGTTCAGGTCGCTTCTTCTAACTAATTTCTGGGGAAGACTTTTCTGAATTTGAGGCGGAGAGGTAAAGAATGATGTTTCTACGTTTATTTGTATTTTTATACATTTTTACCTACAGAAAAAAATAAATTTCTCAATTTTAAATGGGCTATCTTTTACTTTCTTTTTTTTTATTTGCCATAGTGAGGTGAGTTCTTTTTTGGTATAACTTGAAACCTATCCAAATTTACATTTTTTCATTCTCATATTTGTGATCAACCAGTTTCATCAATTAACCAGTTTCAAAATCATATTTTTGATATTTTACTACTTATAAACTTTTGGAAGAAATAGTTTCAAAAATTAAGCGTATACCCTTGTGAGGAAGCTTACTACAAAGCTATTATAAATCTCCAAAACTAAGTATTGATTTGGCACAACTGGATAACATCAATAAATTATCTTACTAATATTTAAACTTATTAGGATGCTTTTATATTTTGTCTAGCATTTAATTCAAGACATATATTTGATCAAGTTTATTTATATTTAAGAAGTAACACTTATAAAATATTTCTAAAATCTTTAAACATTTCTAAAACGTACCGGGTCAAATACAATTTCTTTTTATGCCAAATACAAACATTTCTATGATCACACTTATAAAACATTTCTAAATTTTTCAAACATTTCTAAAATATATTGGGCCAAATACAAAATATTTTTTTTTCCAGATACAAACATTGCGCGACCAGACATCACTAGTATATTAATAATTAAACATTATTTATGGTGATATTTTATGTAATGTAATTTTTTTCCCCACTCGTGTGGAAATTTTTTTTATTCAAATTTATCCAGGGTGAAAAAGGAAAAGAAAAAGTAATTGCTAATGCTAGTAGAAGGTTGCGTTTTTCTCCCGCGCTAGTAGCTAAAATTGGTAAAAATTTCCCCCAAATTGTCGAATTAAAAACCCTCTTAAAATCTCTCCGCCACCGCCCCGCCCAATTTCCATCCGCTAACCACCGTGCCGGAATTATATTTGCCCTGAAACTATTTACTGTACTAAGAATTCCGATCGTAAAGAACCGCTTCAATGGCTGGGAACGGATTTGGGTTCTCGGCCAACCCCTCTACCTCGCCATTCTCTTTCGCCTCTTCCGCCGCTTCTGCACCGTCTCTATTCTCCTCCTCCACAAACCCTAGCCCTTTGTCCACCACCGCCGCCGCTCCTTCCTCCTCCCCATTTGGATTGTCATTTTCTAACCCTAGTTTCGGTACGACGTTGTCTTCCGCTGCCTCCGCTCCTTCCTTCGGCTTTGGCGCGTCCTCTGCTTCCACCAATCCTGCATCCACCCCTTCTTTTGCCTTTAACTTTTCCGGCTCCAGTGCCGCGGCGGCGCCCTCCACACCTTCTTCGTTATTCGGGTCTTCCTCTTCCGGTTCAAGCTTTTCTTCCGGTTTGTTCGGCGCAAGTTCTGCTCCGGCGGCAACAAGCGCCAGCCAACTATTCGGGAACAATTCGTCTTTTGGTTCTTCGTCTGCCTCCTCATCTCCATTTGGAGGCTCCACGGTGTTTGGGACTCCCGCCGCTAGCTCCGGCGCGGCACAAACCAGCTCAGCGGCGTTTGGAGGGTCGACGTTATTTGGGACTCCAGCCGTTAGTTCCAGTGCTGCACAAAGTAGCTCATCGCTATTTGGGACTCCAGCTGCTAGTTCCGGCGCGGCGCAAAGTAGTTCGCCATTCGGAGGGTTTGGGACTCCAGCGGCTGGTTCCGGCGCGGCTAGCTCATCGCCATTCGGAGGAGGATTTGGGACTCCAGCTGCTAGCTCCGGCGCGGCACAAAGCAGCATATTTGGTACGGGTCTGAACACAGGGAGCACATTCGGATCTTCAACCATCTCGGCCCAAACAAACGCGTCCGGGACTACGACAAGCACATTCGGATTATCCTTTGGTACTTCTACTGCACAATCAGGTTCTGGATTAACTACTGGTTTTGCTTCTTCTCCCTCTCCACTTTTTAGTGCTTCCTCTTCGCCATTTGGTTCACTGCAATCGTCTTCGCCCGCAACTACTGCGGCTCCTTTTCAAACCTTATCAGGGCAATCAACATTGGCTTCAAGCTCAGCTTCTTCTTCTCCATTTTCATTTTCGTTACCGGCATCATCTAGCTCGGGTTCATCCGCCCCGGCATTTTCATTCCCTACCTCTAGTTCGTCTTCGCAATCATCTGCGTTTACCCCTCCGGCCACATCCACGGCCAGTTTCACTCCATCAGCGCCTGCATTTTCCTTCCCGGCCGCCAGCTCTGTATCTTCTGCTCCTGGGTTTTCGTTCCCCTCCACAAGTTCTAGTGCTGCTACTTCCCCTGCTTTGCCTTCGGTCTCTTCTTCGAGTCCTGCGTTTCCATCATTTTCCATAGCCACTGGAAGCTCTGCAGCCACTGGAGTATCTGGATCTCTATCTAGCATGGGGTCTTCTTCAGTAAATCCATCATCAGCAACTTCTACCACATCTGCATCTGGCTCAGGTTTTTCGTTTGGGAATTCTGGACTTCAATTCCCTGCTTCTAAGCCCTCTGGCATTGGAGTGGCTTCTTCCCCCCTGTCTACCACAGCTACAACCACCACAAGTGCCTCTACGCCAGCAGCATCTGCTCCAAATGCTTCATCTACTGCTAGTACTAGTTTGACAACTGGTTCCGCTTTATCCTTCGGTACTACTTTTGGTACTGCTGCCTCATCCGGGACCACCACTGCTTCAACTTCTGGTTCAGCTGCTTCTTCATCAGCAGGGTTTACTGGTTTTGGATTTTCACCCGCTGCGTCATCACAACCGCAGACCACTGCAACTGCTGGTACTGTTAAACTGAATAATTTTGACTTTTTGTTCTGCTGTTTGCTTATTCTAGGAAGAAAGTGGTTGTGTCTTTGGTTTTAACTTGCCTAGTTTTGTTTCCTTACACATGGTAGTTGTTTTTTTTCACTTTTAATACATTTCCCTAGAGAAGGATCTTGTAGCATGACTTGGCAGTGTCATTTGGACTGGTATACTTCATGATATGTGTATATTTGACTGTTGCACTTTGTGAATTCCATCTTATCTTTAGTGAATATGTTCTCAAGTCTCTTGAAATGCTGATCGTCTATGTACCTCCTGTTTCTTAAATCATTAAACGGGGAGTGGTCTGCCCCCCACCATAATTGGTAGTATTTCTTAAAAAGAAGAAAAAGGGAAGTTGGATACCCTATGAAGAAGAGCTTTTATAGAATGAAACAATCGTTAGTAATTTGGGTCTATTTGGGCTTAATTGAGCTTAACTCTTGAATCCAGTTTAGGGGTTCTCTCCTTCTGCATGTTGTTTGACTTTTTTGTTATGAGTGCCAGGGTAGGCTTACATGATGAGTTAGAATGAATAAATGCGAAGGGTGAACTACTGGGAGAGAGGAATATTGATTTTGGGTGGGATGGAAAAAAGAGTTTCCTGAGTTGGGGTTTTATCATGGTGAGGAAAGGATATTGTTGCTCGTTTTTATAACTGTGAATCAACCACCAATTTCTTGCAGCTAGAATACTTGTCAGGGATCGCAACTGTTGTGACCCCTGCTGTATGCCTGAAATTTTTCATTGAACTTGTTATATGCGGGGTCAACCCTTGTATTTCCATTCTCTATATATACGAGGCTATGCAGGTGGTACATTCCATTTGAATAGGTACCAATTGTTTCAAGAAAAGTTGACTGATTGTGGGATCATATCAAAATCTTTTATAGGCACCACCCCTTCAACTTCTACTGCTGCGACAGTGTCAAGTACCAGCTCTGCGGCTCAAACATCATCTTTGGTTGTAGCTTCCAGTAGTGGGTAAGTTTAATAACTAAATGCTACCCCTAGTTCTTGTATTCTATATCATTCTTCTTCAATGCAAGACTAATTTTCTCATGAGATTATAATTAAGGGAAAGCTATTTCTTGTAGGAATTAGGAAATGGTGGAAGCATATTTAATAAGGTGTTGCTTGCCAGGTTACAAGTTATAAAGACAAATTTATTTATTTATTTAATTTTTTCCCTTCTTCTCTAATTGGAAAAAAATTTGAAACACCTGGGAACCCCTTCAGGTTAAAAGCTAAGCTGGAAGCAGAAAAATTTAGTGGCTAAGGGTAGGTCGATTTAAGTCTCTATGTGAAAACTTGAGATAATAATTAGGAAAACAGAACGGTGCAATTATACTGTTAAATGTAGGTATTAATCTGACTAACGCATGATGGACCGTACTCATTATTTATGAAAGTGTGCTTGGAAACATTTTGGTGGCATTGCTATTATAAAATTCATTGAGATTACCTTTTGTGCTTCTGGACCATGAAGAGATGGTTCCATGTTTTCTTTTCTTCTAACAACATCCTAAGTCCGCCACCCTCTTTCATTTGTTTTGTTGAGGACTCCCGATGCGGAAAACCACCTATTTGACTGTCTATTAGAAATTCCAAGCCTTTCTCTGGACACACTGTTCTCTATTTATGGTGGATACTAAATCTTGTTTTACTTTACCTGCAGCACAACCTCAACTGCTACAGCAGTATCGACTGCACCAAAGTTACCTTCCGAAATTACTGGGAAAACTGTTGAGGAGGTATTTATCTGTTCTGATATTTTCAGATTATGGCCTTCTTCTTTGATTGTGTTTGGTGTGTGCTTGTTGAGTTTTTGTATGATCAGCTTTTGTTATGTAGAATGGCTGTCATACTAATACTTAAATTGTTGATTTCCAGATAATCAAGGAGTGGAATGCTGAATTACAGGAGCGTACTCGTAAATTTCAGAAGCAGGCTAATGCAATTGCTGAATGGGACCGAAGGATATTGCAGAATCGTGATATCCTTCTCAAGCTTGAGGTGATGATTTGTAAATTTTTAATACCTTTGATTATAATGATTCACTCTTATCCGGTCACCCGTTCTATAGGACTAATGGGACGTAATAGAAAAGAACGGGATAATTGAGGATACAAACTTCCTAGCTACCAAACCAAAGAAGTACAAATTAAGTTGGTACTTCTTTTTATTTTAATGTAAAGTTTTTTATTTTAATGTAAAGGGCCCGATACTTACTGCTATCTTAAGTTTAAGTGCATTCTATTCGTACCAAAATAGTTTGAATTCAGAAAAATTCATAAATACTTATACTACCCCATTTACTTATGATCTGTTGACAAAGAGTAATAGATAATTAGTAAAAACTCGATTGTTAATAAAATGGAAAATAGATATGAAACAGAAGGTGTTTCCAAATAACTAACTTATCTAAAGGTGTTTCTAAATAACTAACTTATCTAACCCTAAATACAAAATAGAAAGCATATGATCAACCTTTTTTTTGAATTCAAATTCTCATAATCCATGTTCTCACCTTAACTGGATCCTCAATCGATTAAATTACACCCTTGCAGTTTTAGTTTACAATCAGTTTATGAAATTTATTTGTACCTATCAAGACCAATTATTTCTTTAAGTTTTCTTTGTGCCTTTAGGTTTTGTTTACCCCAAAATCTTTTTATAAATTCCTGTTTTTTCGTCTAAGCCTTTTTTTATAGTTATGTTGATCGATGTTAGCTTCTGTTAGTGGTTGCTTCTACATTGAATAACATTGCTTAAACGTTCTGCTAGACCGAGGTTGCAAAAGTTGTTGATACACAAGTTAGCCTGGAGCGACAACTGGAGCTTATAGAGACTCATCAAGAAGAGGTATGCTCCTTGTCTGTTCTCTGTTTGTATGTAATGCTTGGATGCATGTTGCTGATAGATACCACACTTTTGCATGTTTGATTGTTATGTGTCATCTAGCATCATAACCGACGTCTTTATGTTATTACGTCAGCAAAATTTGATAGTTCTGAGATGTGTGGTAATTTGTATTCTGTATTTAGCAAATGCTGTGTGCGCGCTTGTTCCCAAATATATCAAGTACTCTATACTCTGTATTACAATGTACAAGCCTCAATCTCCTTCCCTCCCTCCCCCCCCCCCCCTCTCCTCTCTCTCTCTCTGTCTATGCAACGCATTTTGATGATTTTGACATACATTTGCATTCTGGTGGTTTCAAAACTGCTATCTTATCAGTTAATGTCAATTTTTGAACCATATGTTGACAGTTTTGCAATTGATCTTTATTATTTATTATCAGATGATTGTTGAGCAAACATTTGCCCTTATTTTAAGTTCACATTCCAGGGATATGCTTGGATGTGAGACAAATTAGTTTCAATACCATTTTCCAGGGATCTGGTTGTATTATTGTTTCTTAATGTATGCGTTATAATCCTTCTACCTTCTCAAGGTTGACAAAGCTTTGCAAAGCATGGAAGATGAAGCTGATCGTATTTACAAAGACGAGCGTGGATTAATTCTTGATGATGAAGCTGCTTCCACAAGAGATGCAATGTAAGTATGATTGGGTTAGGACGCGAACCGCACCATTTCTTTTCTTTTCTTTTTTTTTTTTTTGTGTTTTTTCCCCTTTTCTTTTCCGGTTTGGACTACTGATTCTGTACTTTGATCTCAGGATCAACAGTCTAATAAGTATTTATATCTCTGCTGGAGTTTCCTTTTGCTTTGCCTAGTTGCTTCTGCGATATTTATCTGGTTTATGTATCTAAATGTATGGTTTGTGGAACTTACTAATATGCATGTGCCTGCTAGGCTGCTCTACATGATACTATCATGTTGAGAATCGTAATATGAAAATTTCTCCTATACTAAATAAGTGTAACTGGAAGCAATCTAGTTGAAACTTCGTGGGTTTTTTTTTTTTTTTTTATTTTTTTGGTGGAAGGTTGCAAACTGTTTTGTATTTGGGGTAAATGTTCAGTAAGAGTAATTATGGCATAGTTAGTTTGCTTTAAATTCATTAGTATCCAGTTTGAAATATGGATCCTTGAATTGGTTCCTGCCTCAAATGATTTGGTTAATTTTCTTTTTTTTTTTTGGATGTTTTAAAATGTAGAACCATTGCATAGTCTATGATTCTCTTATATACCCTCAATCACTTGGCACGGAAATGTAGGATAATTGATTGACTATAGTTGGCAATTTTAGTTGCTTATTATAGTCCTCAATAGAGGTAAATAAAGAAATACACATCAAAATTTTCTGGTACTCCCTCCATTTCAAAATGTAAGTCTTTTTAGAGTGTGCACGAAAACTAAGAAGACAACTATTTAGCAATTAATTTGTGTGTCAAATATCTATTTTACCCATCATTAATTGTTTTGAAACTATAACCAAGACTAGAAGAAAAATGGTTAGCATTATTTATTGAGGGCAAAGTTGAGAAGTTCATTAATTTGCCTTGAAATTCTAAAACAACCTACATTTTGAAATATTTCTCCAAACCTAAAACGACCTACATGTTGAAATGGAGGGAGTAATTAATAACTATCTTCATGTCAGCAGCACCTGTTGATTTTTGGTTGAATCTAAGTTTGTCTTTCCTGGTTTCTTTCTTGTATTTTCTGTAGAAAGCTTACAAGCATGGTTTGTAAATTGTTTTATGGTAGTTGTCAGTAAACTCTTTGAGCATTTAATTGTCATCTTATGTATGTTCTACCTTAAATTCAGTTAGTTATAATTATTTTCTGTGAATATTTTATCACATTCCGCAGCAGCTTTTGTGGTAATTGCAACTAAAACAGATTTGTGACTGGTCTATTTTTTTAATTTTTTTAAAATTTTTTAATCGTATTTTTAAACTCGGGTTGATTTCAGGTATGAGCAAGCTGAATTTATTGAGAGGGAACTGGAACAGATGACTGAGCAGGTCAAAGCAATTATTAATACTCTCAATACAAGCCAGGTAAACAGCTGCCTTTATTTTTCGATTTTAGAGTTGGATCTAAGAGGCTAGTTACTTACCTTGTTTGTTCCACTCAGGGGGGAGAATTGGAGGTAGCAGATGGAATGACTCCATTGGATGTTGTTGTTCGAATTTTGAATAACCAACTGACTTCTTTGATCTGGGTTGATGAAAAGGTTAGTGTCTTGTAACGTTGTCTATTGTTGTTAGAAATGATGTATACAATCAATTCACGGCAGGTAGCGGCTTCTGGCACTTTTAACCTATGCATTTTTGTCAAGTTCTTTTTTTTCCCTGGTGGAAGTTCCAGTATATTATGCTGTGCACATGTCGTGCTGCTCTCACTGAGCAGGAATTGCTTACAACTGATTGCTACATGAACATCATTTGAGTGTTCCTTCTTTGTCCCTTTGTCAACGGTTAAGCTCTGAACAATCCTCATATTTTCGTATTGGGCATTTCTTGTATTCTCATCTGTTCGGTTCTCTTGGGACAAGTTTCCACAATTTAGTAATTCCTATTAGTCAATCATATACTCAAATGTTTTTCCCCTCCCTAGGTGGTCTTTCCATTATTAATTTGTTATGAGTTTTCCTCTATTATTGGAAGGACATCTACAAATTTATAATTTAGGAAGTGTAAATTCTTTGACAAACACCAAGCATGAATGAAAGATAATGTGTTCTCTTGCTAACAAGCTGACTATTTTAACCTGTTTAGGCGGAAGAATTCTCTGCACGGATTCAGAAGCTTGCTAATGAGGGCTCTACTGTGGATCGGGATATCATGGCCCCTAAGTTTTTGTTGAAGTAGCTTATAATTTTTGGCGATGCCAGTTCGTACTTCTTACCATGTGGGATGTATGAAATGGAGAGAACAACTTTTGTTGCTTATAATTTCAGGTATTGAGCGTATTTTGCTGTCTATTTTTTTTTTTTTTTTTCTCTGGGAAATGACTTGGTTTCATGCTGGAAACACAAATATCTCTGTAATGGAATCAGCGAAACCCCGACTCAGGGCAAAACAACATCCAGGAAACTCTTATGTTCATTCTTGAAGATTGTCACGTTTTGAAATGTACTGAACGTACAGAAGCTGTCATGGAAAATTCGTTCTTGTACAATGGTAGGGCTCGTTGTGATTGTACTGCTCCTCTCAAATATGTGAATCTCCTAGAAATTTGTTAATATGTAGCTTCATTCTTTTATATACCATAAATTTTAGCAAAAAAAGAAGTGCACCCAACTCCAATTCTAAGATCTGAGTTCACAATAACGTGCAACACATTATTGACTCCTCTGAAGGTATGTAATAATGTAAATATGTGCGTAACCAACAATAAAATTACCAAAGATCATGAAATTGAACATCGTAAACGTCTTCCTAAACCATGCTGCAAAAGAACAATGAAATTACACATCAGAAACATCCTTCTTGTTTGGTCTTTAGACACTGAAATTTTTTTTTTCTCATAATCACACATGGGAGAAGTTTGGTGTATGTAAAAGGGTAGTACGATAAGACCAAAAAAGAAGTGATGTGGTAATAGTCAATTAGTCTATATCTCTTTTCGAAAAGCTCATAATGTACGCAAAGCCTAATTGTGTCCACCATCCAAACTCTCGGTATGTATATTTAGAAACAGTAGAGGGAACAAAAATGCTTCAGTTTCTGGTGAAAACCACAATGAAAATAACCACCACAGCAAGAAGGAACGAAGACCTAATCTTTTCTTCAACGAGATCAGTGAGTTCTGATGTGGGCTTCTCTTTCTGTTTAGGAACAAAGACCTCGGCCAGCATCGCACCAATTTTCTCGATCAATTCTCGTATCTTTGACCTCGCAATCATCTCCTCTATCCATCCCAGAACCATGGTTCCCATGTCGGGTCCTTCTTGCATTTGGAGTTGCGTTTCTCGTTCTACATGAGTTGCATGAATATAATAAGTGAGTATACAACATGAAGACTTTGAATGAACAAAAATGACTTGAACTATCTCCACAAAGAAAGAAAAAAAAAAACAAAAACAGAATTGCGAGGCAGATTCTAAGTCACAAAAGCATTTGCATAAAAACCTTGAGAAATGGAGCTTTGGAGATCCTGAACAGCCTTGTTGTTCATGATAGCATTCCAGAAATCCTTGTCAGAAGATAAGTCAACGACCAAATTCTGCACAAAAAGATTGAAGCCTCTCATTCAGATAACACAACAACACTGGCACATACCTAGGTTAAGTTAGTCTACAACAGAACATCTAATACTCCCTCCGTCACTAATCACAAATCTTAATATGGACTATTTTGTTGGGATAGAGGTAGTGTAATTTACCTCGACCGCGGGTTCCTTTTGGAGCATAACTAAGGCCTTGTGAAATCTTTCACGACCAGATTTTAGCATAACTTTTGAGTCGGGAGAGAGCACCTCCGGGCCGGATCCAGCTTCACCCTTCACCAACCTGCACAATCATTTTTTTATTTTTTATTTTATTTTTTATCTTTTAACAATCAAGATTTCATTGGGACAACATTATTATAATCCAATTCAGGGTCGACATTTTGCGAAAAATGGCCTTGTTTGGACAACCTTCTATTTTACATTTTCACTCATTTTATCTCTTAAACACAAAACCCAATGGAAAAAAAAACATCATTCAAACAACTTTCTGATTTATATTTTAAATTCCAACTTGAAACACTTTTTGTTAGTGTAATGGCCATTTTAGAACTACAAATAGTTCAATGACAAATTTGTCAGGATTCCGTTGTTGAGTGATTGTTTTTGAAAAAGTAGGATTCCGTTGTTGAGTGATTGTTTTTGAAAAAGTTCTTTTTTTTGCAGTGACTATAATTGACAGTATTGAATTGTTTAGTGATGATTTGTACTTAATATTTCAAAATGTAGTTCAAAATGCTTTTTTTAAAAACCAACATTCAAACAACATTTTTATTTCTCATTTAATTTTCAATTTTTTGAAACACTTTCCACTTTTAAGTGGCAAAATGAAATGTAAGTTGACGTCCAAACAAGCACCAAAGTTTTCTTCTTCCTAGTTTTTCCTCCTAAAACCATGCATAACTTATGAATTTTTTCAAACAGGCTTAGAAACTAAGAACATAACTAATTTTGGTTCGTGTATGCAAGAGAACACAATTATGATTATTTAATTTCTTATACTCCCTCCATCCTTAAAAAAAAAAGAGTTCATTTTGAATTTTGAAATTTGTACTGAAAACCGTACAAATATAAAAACTCAATATGTACTAATTTTTTAGGACAAAAGTAGTACTATAAAATAAAATCACATGAATCATAAAGAGACACTTATACATACCTTTGTAAATAAGCCATAGCACACTCAACTTCTATCTTCGACGGTGCCGGGCCGAAGTTAAAAGTAGGCGCAGACTTAGGTTTTCTCGCGGTGGTGGTGGCGGAGGCGGTTTTGCTGATGGTGGTGGTCGCCATGGTGGGTGAACTCTGTGGTGGTGGTGGTGGTCGTTTTGATCGTGTATTTAGAATTAGGGTTTCTCTATTGATATGATGAATGAAATAAAAGAAACTCGAAAGTCTAATCCAAGTGCAAATCACAGCTTTATCCAATTCAATTATTTCCCCGATTTTTTAATCACATTTTTTTAATTAGTATACCCTCCTAAGCGTGATTACGAAAAAAATCTCGAGTATGTATAACAATCTTTTGTTTCGTTTTTATATGCAATAAGTTTATTTATATTTATTGTTATTATTGCATGCCTTTGCAAGAAGCTTTATCTACTAACATGAGTTTAATAAAACTTACTTTCTTTGTTCGAAAATAATGGCCTAATTTAAATTTTTATTTATTTTTTACTAGTTACAGAGAACAATATATTCCGCTATATTTAACCGAACATAAGCAACGAGTTTGCGAGTTTTTTTTTTTTTGTCTCCAAACTTAAATTTATGATGAATGACCGAAGCTGAAGCGAAACCAAAATTGACTAGGTCTAGCTGATCACAATATTCCAAACAAGACCGACTAGGTGTAAATTATTGAAGACGTAAAAAAGTTCTCACCTTCTTTTTTAGTTTAAACAATTTTTATATGCTTAAAAATTTTCTAAACGATAAGGTGCAAATGCAATACAGAAATAAGATGACTCGCTAACACAGGTCGTGCGTAGATCTGAGTTTTTTTTTTTTTTTGTTGTTGAAGATAGCGTAGATCTGAGTTAAAGAAGAAAAAAAATTATGTTTCATATTTTATTTACTTTTTTTTGGTTGTTTTTGAAAGTCACAAATTTCCTTTACTGTATAATTATTACTTGGCTTGTGCGCAGTATCCTTTTGATTTGATCAGGATACATCATTATACTTGATTGGACCAATATACAGTAGTTCACAATTTTCTTCCTGCTATTTCCGTTCTAGAAAAAAAAAAAAAGCTCATTTTGTTGATCAATCATAACTACGAAGGAAGAATTATACTTCCTCCGATCCTTATTATAAATTTATAAGACATTTTGATTTCGTCCTAATTTTAACCTAAGATGACTTTTTAATTAGAAAAAAAATTTTAAAAATATATTTTCACATTTGTTATGTTCTCCTAATTATGATGAAATGTTTTTAAGGTTTTTATTCTAATTAAAAAGATATCCTAGATTAAACTTAAGACGAAATCAAAATACCTTATAATAAGGACGGAAGGGAGTACAAAATAGATCATTATACTCAAACCTACATTCGGGTTATATCAAAACTAGTGATTCCTTCATCCTGCAAAAAAAAAGTCTGATTTTTTGTGTTATTACAGTTTAATAGATCAAGAATATTTGTGGAAGGGAGATAAGCAGTCTTCCTCCGCAGTTTACAACATATTTTCTGTATTTTCCTTTTCTCGTAGCTAAGCATTTGACTTCTGCTGCCGTCTTTTTCTTTGGTCAATAAATGATGTGATGGAGAGGGGGAAATTCAATCGACAGTTAACTCCTTGGAATTTTTTCTTCCCTGATAGTATTACTTCTTTTTCGGTTTTTCCTCACTTGAATGTTAGGCACTTGTTATAATTATCTTTCACTGTTTTAAAAGTTATTACAAGGCATACATAAGAAATTAACAATTTGAGAAGAAAAAAAAAACGTTGTAAAATGTGATATAGTAGAGTACATGCATGATATAATTCTCTTTTAAATTGCACTTATAAAAATGATTAGGTACAATTCAATGGTTGAACACGTTTCTCTTTGAGTTTGTATTTTCAACAGGTCACGAGTTTGAACTACATCAGACTAAATAAATGGTGCAGGAGTTTCTGTAACACTTTTATATTTTATATATTCGATATCACGCTAACTAGTTAAATAACAGCCATGTGTTAGTATCATTTATAGCATTAACATCCCAATCAAATGGTAAATAAATCCAATTGAGTAAGTAATCGATTAATTAAACAGATGGCAATTATTTAGATTGTAGTATTACATAAAATCCTTTGCCTCGTAAGTATCACTGTTTGATCCTTTTACATATATAAAATCCAACATTATATTATCGTGGCGTAAGCCCTATAGTTGGTAAATCATGTATGACAAGAAGTACGCACTGACGAGCTGATTCGAATGATTATACACTAATAATACGAGAGAAAAATTATTATTTATTTAATTTCTTACGGTGGAACCATAAAATTAGTGATGGAAATTGGAAAACCATAGCAACGTTATATGCTTGAACAGGGTAAATTTGAAACTCATGACTTAAAAAACCCCAACAAACCGTTTACTCAGGATCGTGTGTTAAACTGATGATGAAGCAAAGTGGAAAATGCACGCGTACGTTGGATCATGTGTATTGTGCTTCTCACCAAACAATTTTCATACAACTCACTACAACCGTGGGGTTTTGGGAGGATGAAGACTTTTGCTTAATAATTGCTTAATTTGTTTTGTGGCTAATTATTAACGACAAACCACTCCGAATATTTTTAGCAAATTCCATTATTTGTAGCAAGAAAATGATATTTTTAGTTTGAGTTTTCATTTTTAGTTCAAATTGTACTAAAAGTAAAATCTCAAACTGGACAATAATTATCGGACAGAGAGAGTATATACTAGTCCGTTCGTCCCATTTGACTAATTCATTTTGTATCAAACTAAAACACTAATATTATTTCTATTATAAAATAAAAAAAATCCAAATTGAATTTTAAGATTTATATTAAAATTAATACAAATTTAAAAACTCAATACAGATTAATTTTTTGAGACAGAGAATGCAACAAAATAGATTGTTTAAACAAAACGGAGGAAATAATAGTTCATTTTAATGACAATTTGTCTTGTACAGGAGGGACAATTTCTTCAAGAACTTAGAATATTGACATCAGAGTTTTTGTTATTGGGGGAGTGCGAGCAAGTGTCAATTCAAAGATGTAATGTAGAGTGTTCATGAAAGTGAAGTAGTGAACACAAATATGATCGTTTGAGTGGAGATTAGTAAAAGGTGTGATTATGTTTAGAATTATTTATTCATATTTCATGTCGAGAAGAAAAAATCAACCGGTTTTATTTTTTTGTTTTTCCAGTTTTTTTAATTAATATCTGTTCCATCTTAACATACCTTCTTATATTCTCAATACATTTTTTTTTACAATGGAATATATTTTTTTTTACATTCCTAATGCAAAAAAACACATTCAAAAAACGATTCAAACATAAGGTGGGCATTGATGTTGAGGCGATTTTTCTTTTATTGAGGGAAATAATAATAAGATCAAAATCAACGTTGACCAGTTCTTGTTCTTCTTGGTGCATCCATATCAGGGTCTTTTGAAGTCATAAGCCGGCAAGAAGTGGTTCATTTCTATGTTAATTTTCCCTTCTAAAACTTCAACACAATCAATGCCAAGAATACAAAGTAATCTTTTTCCCCACCACAAAACTCTACTAGTGTGTATATGCTTCATTCCACAGTTCTACAAATGGTGTGGTAGGCCTACGTTAGAAATGTGGGAAGCCATCTTAAGTGGACTTTTTTAAGGTTTAATTATTAATTAGGTAGTGCTAACTGGTAACTACTAATTGTAACTTACAAAGTACAACTACCGACCCGCCGACTTAATAACCATCCTAATCCAACTTAGGATTCCCAACCAACCCAATCCTGTCTAATCGATCAGTAATCACATATTTTCAATTACTTCTTATGTTTCAGAAAAATAACTTACATTATATTTTATGATTTGTACTAAAATATCTAGAGGAAAAATAGTCCACACAAATATAAATCATTAAACGTAATGTGAACCATTTAAACGAACAGAGAAAGTATATAAGTCAAAAAAATAAATATTTTGTGACGGATTAAAATATTACTACTCCTACTATTTAAAACCTGCTACAAAAGGGGAGTCTTGTTATTTTCATCGGTGGTTCTCTATATCCTCTTTTGTGCGTGTGTGGGTGCATTGTGATTCTTTATCTTCTGAATGATTTCATCGTACAAAAATTGTTACGTGCAATGATTCCATCAGGAAGACGACTTGGGAGAGCATTGCTAAAAGTCAGGGCTACCGCTTTCGACGTTCGATGCCCTTAGCCTTGCCAAGTAGTACTTAATTCATCCCTACAATATATATCGTCACATGAATTTTTAGTTACACTTAGTACAAACCAATTAAGTCCTTTACATTTATAGAAACGTAAGCTCTTATTGAATATTTTAATTTTATTTTTTTAAAAATCGTGATCTTATGCATTTTTTTGGAGCATCTAGACAATTACACTACAAAATGGAATGACTAATAAGGGCATGAGTTCACACCTACACGCCCTCTTATTTGAATTTTAGATGCTCCGAGAATCTTATATTTCCTCTGTTCCAAAAGAAATAGTTTACAGTACAAATTTAAAAATTCAATTCAAACTATTTTTTATTTTTTATTTTTATTTTTTTTTGCGACAGATAGTACTTAATAACTTGAATCAATGGGTTTTTGTTCAGTTTCAAATTTGGTAGCGTGAGAATTGATCTCTACCTTTATTACTAGGACAAGCCTTTGTTCCGCTATCAATTTAATTGATTCATTTATTTGTTGCGAACGGAGTCAGGAGATGACACATATCCACTTCGAAGGGTATATGAAAAGAGAATCAAGGATTTTTCTTTTCCCCCTCAAGAAAGAAAGAATTTTGGGCAGTTAGAACGTGGGAATTGGAATTTACTGCATGATGCATATCCACAGAAATAAAAATCTCAAAACTTGAAATATAAGGAAAAGGAAAAGTAGAAAAAGAAAGAAAGCAAACAAAGAGAAATGGTATATTCTATCATTTGATCATGGGAGTAGTAGTACTATAGAACTCCCA